GCGGCAGAGTATCGTGCGGGGACTTTTATACCTATATAGTATACACAGCGTTTCAGGCTCCCTGTGTACTTCTTCCCCGTAAGCTCTCGAGGGCTTTCATTGTCAACTTTTAATGCAACTGGTGGGCACGGGTATGTATTTATATACATTCATTTATACGTGTATACCCTTGACTTGGGGGGGTTACCTTCGCAGTGATGGGCTTTATTCTCCGCGGGAAATGAAAGCGCCGCTGGTTTCGCTCTTCGCTCGCTCGTGTTGCATTAATGATCGGGCTTGCTTTGTTTTTGACCAAAGTGGCTGGTGTGCGTGTTTGCAGTTTGACTCCTCGTATCAGTGTTTGCTTGTTACGAAACTCATTACGGTTGCGTCGACCAACTTTTGGCAAGTAATTAAACACACGTGTTACAAACTGTTTGCTTTGTTGGCTCGATCGGCTCGAGTTATACTTTGACAGCGTGTATAAAAATTAATGCATAGGGGATTCGACAAAAAAAATTTACTGATACACGAGGTAGAGACTTGATAGTCGTAAGATCGGGTTACTTGACAAAAACTTATTGACACTGCTTTCATTGAATTTTCGAACAAGTGCGGAAGACCGAAGTTTATCTCTTGCTTTTAATTAAATTCTGGTAATCAGTGGCACTCGAGATTAGCGTTGAAAAGACATACAGGCGGTCTACTGGAAAAATCGAGTTTAGAATTTAAATTGACACGGACAGCATTGAATTTTGCTTTTTCATTCACGCTTTTCCATTGATAAATCGGTCTTTTTTAAAAACGATTGCGTAACGAGTTAACTAAAGGGGGAAATAATAATAGTACGGCGTTGCGCAACTTTTTACCGAAGAGTCTCATCGAGATATCACACGTCAGGGGGGTATAACTAGCAGTGGCCAGGTGATACTGGGACGACGCGCTTTTGTCCGTCAAAATGAAACCAATGTATAAACAACACAGCTTCAACTCTATCGTAGAAATATTTAATACTACCTGAACATTACATATCATTATAAATAAGTAATTATCCTTGTATCATCTCTTACGATATAAGAAATAATTGTATATCAGAAACGAGTAGGTATTCTTCGAAAAGCGCTTTATTAAATTTCTTATGATTACAGTAGTAAAAAGAAAGTGTACTTGTTAAGTTTGTATTGATTTCTTTCGAAACAAAAGGAGATGAAGGGTAATTAAAAAAGGAAGAATGTTACACTGCTTCCCTTGTTGGAGTCCTGAGATGTTTTAATTTGTGACTTATGAAGGAAAAATTCCAGATAATATACAGGAAATCTGAAGAGGAGGAATTTCATCTAATAAGACATCGATAAAGGAACAAAAGTAAAAAAAAAAAAAAAAAAACTAAACTTACTTTACTTTTGTTTATTTGGTATGATTGTTTGAACAAATTTTTTGCTCTTCGCGAGATAAAAACGAAGAATTTGTCTAAAATACTTAGAAAATAGTGACCAATCAATCCCATGGCACCTGTTTCTCCAATTAATGTCAATGCAAACAAAAACATATCGAGTGCACGTGACATTTGCAAATTAATAGATTAAAGTGCAACTTGTATACCTGCGGTCTGGCAAAGACGTGCTCCGTATGAAATTCAATGAGATAGTCAATGCATGCGCGCAATAATACAATAGCTCACGAGGACAACACGACATACACTTGATGTCCCTTAATTAAATGATTCGAATCGATGAAATTCTTCTTCGTGAGCATGTACACACGTAAACATTCGAGATTTCGATACGGGGTCGGGATATTGGAAATAACTCGAATGTCCGCGAGACGTGTAAAATCTGCGAGGCGAATTTTAGTCGCGACCAAGTATGCATGCAATGCGTGGTGCATGTATCAATACCATGAAATGGAAAAGGTTGGTTGTAGCGAGATTACAAAAAATGTATTTCTCGGTACATTTTATTTTATAGTACTTACCCGGAGTGTTTCCATGGTGAAAAAAAATCATGCTCATAGTATTATTGTTTAATAAAGACTTTTGCGTTATTTGCCGATAGTTTGTTCTTCAAATATTTGGTGGAAGAAAAAAAAAAAAAAAGAAAAAATTGAACCAACATCGGAACGATCCTCAGTTGTCTCAATCTTTGATACTAATCCACAAACTTCGAACACGCGAGGAAGAAATACAATGAAAAAAATTTATTGGAACGATAACAAAATATTCCGGATCCAAAAGTTTAATTTCGATGTAGCCGGGCAGTAAAATTCTCACCATACCAATTTCCTTTCAGTTTCAAGACTAAAATTACAGATGGATTTATGAATCCTATTAATAAAACGCAAAACGATGTAACCTCGTGTTGCGCGTGTACGTTCGCGCGCGACTCCGAGAGTGTCCTGTCTGCTGAAATTATTCGCGCCAGCCGGCAATAAATCGAGGAACACCAATAAAAATCCAATTTCACCGCCCGGCGAGGAAAAAAAAAATGTATTTCCCTCCTCCTTTAAACCATCACTTTTTCATCCTCCATTTCGCGCAATAACGCATCAGCTCGACGTGAATTTCAATAAACGAAAAAAAGTGCACCAGCTCGTCCCTGTAGATACACGGAGCGGATGCGGACGTGCATTATGAAAAATCAAACGTCGCGGCTGACCAATGCCAAATGTGCTGCGATAGTTTGCGCAATGTGTCAAAAAACAAGAGGGCGGATCCGAGAAGCACACATTACTTCGAGCGCTGGCTTCGTATGATTTGGAGCGCTGCCAGGCGCTTATTACGTACTTAATTAGATATTACAGGGCGTCTCGAGAGCGTGTCCGGCGTTTTAAGCTCCAACGTTACTTCGAAGCTAAATATCGGCCGGTCATTTCGCAAGCCATTAGAGTCGAAGATTAATTGTTTTTTTTTTTTTTTCTTTTGTTTCATTACAACAAAATAATAGTAGCGCCTTTTTACGGGTAAAGGAGAGTTTTTTGTTTTGCAGACTCTTCATTTCCTCTTTTTTTATGGTGCAATGTTTCTCCGTTGTGTAAAATAAAAACAACCAAGTAAGTACGACAAACTCGCGAGTGCGCCAAAGTCTTCGGCCAACGTTTGTATACGTGGCTGATCAATATCAAGTTACGCGGTGCTGCGCGGTAAAGAGGAAAAAAAAAAAAAAAAAAAAAAGAATTTCACGAATAAATGCACGAAGCCTCAAAGTTTGTTTTCCTGCAAATGTACACAGGAAAAACTTGGTTTCTGAAAAGTGAGTGCTCCCAAGCTTGGGCTGATGACATTTGACGTGAATAAAAAAGTTGGACTTTCCAAAGCAAAGCCTGCATGCATACACGCGCGCGCTGGCGAGTGGAGCAAAGGGACGGCAAACAATGGTCCGTTTTGAATTCTGCTTGCGAGTCTGCACACCCTTACAGTGACGGTATTATTTACGCGAACAAAGTCACGTGTACGTACAAAGGGACGAGAGAGAGAGAGAGCAAGAGAGAGATATCGATTCCACGTGTGAGGACCAGTGCGCAAGTTATATCTCACGTCGCGGTTGGCTTACTCTCCAACACCTCTGTGACAGCAATATTGCGTCTCTGTACAGTATATGTATGTGCAGCCTCTACTCTTCTCCTCCCTGACTGATCATCTTTTACGGCGCATTATTGCAGCTGTAAATTCTCGGGAGCTTTTGCCATGTCCACCTAGTAATCTTTTACATTTTTTTTTTTTTTTTTTGTACATACGACAATCAGTCGTACAAGAAACTTTAATTAAATTCTTCGGTCCGAGTTATTAAACTTGTCGTAGTTGTGTGCTTTGGGCACAGAAAATATATACATTATCGATGGGTACGGACTGCAAACTTTTAACGCGTAAAAGAAAAATTTTATGTCAACGAATATATCGATTCGGTACCGTATAGTAACACACTGGTCATTAGTTAGTAAATAATTCAAAAGCATAATATGAAGGTGTGTTAGCTGGTTGATTTTTTTTGTTTCAACTTTTTTTTCCTGACCCAAATATGCCTTTGTACCACTAGAACCAATTCTCAGAGGACGGCTGTCTCGTTGCAGTGCCGTACACGCAGAAAAGAATTACAGGAATTTTTACCGTAAAAGCAACGGTGATCCTGTGATAATTTGTCATTACGTAAATTTTTACAGTAGATGTTCATAAATTTTTACAGTAGATGTTCATAAATTTTTACCGTAGTTTACAGTAATTTTTATGGTAACTGTAAAATTTATCCAAAATTCACTATAATTTTTACTGTACGGCAACGGTAAAATTTCCCCCGAAAGAGTATATATAGCTATAGGTCGCAGGGTCACGTGGGCTGGAGGGGAAGGCCGAGCACCTGTTCAGTTGTCTGCTAAAGCGCGGACTAACCTACAAATTATAGACCTGTGCGGATATTTTCATTAATAGAATTGGTACTTAACGAATTGTTGGACACATGATGCAGTACTCCTTCGCTTATAGCCATTCATAAAAGATACCCGTACTTTCATCTATACGTTGATTTCGGTAGTACAGATGTTACGTCTATCTCGTTCTTTCATTCAGGTTATATAGCCCACTACAGTAGACAATCTGGTCAGCCCTTCCCTACAGCCCACGTGACCCTGCAGCCTATAGCTATATGCACTTTCAGGGGAAATTTTACCGTTGCCGTACAGTAAAAATTATAGTGCATTTTGGATAAATTTTACAGTTACCACAAAAATTACTGTAAACTACGGTAAAAATTCATGAACATCTACTGTAAAAATTTACGTAATGACAAATTATCACAGGATTACCGTTGCTTTTACGGTAAAAATTCCTGTAATTCTTTTCTGCGTGTATCGACACGACTACCCGTGTTTAAAATGTCATTAACTAACACAAAACTTTGTTTATCAGAGTATCGGGGGGAAAAAAAAGTCGTTATCTCAACCCTCTTTTGCCTGAAATGAAATTCCGCGCGTACTTCCGGACAGTAGTGTTTAAAATGTAAACCAAATACACGTACTTATTATTTTTCCAGGAAGTCCTTATCAAGAGGTTTTACCCCAACGCCCACCCCTTTGCGATGTCAGTGACACCTCTAGCGCCACCGTCTGTTCAGCTAGTACCGGCCAAAGAGTACAACGGGGCTCCAATAGGCACCAGCTACGACATACGAGTTTACGTAGGCAAGTACTTTTTGTTTTTTCTATCTTTTAAAAATAGATGCTACTTTTTGTTCTCTAACATCTACACCTGACCATCTTTCGATGGCATGTGTTTGTATTTTTACCCAACAAGTTAAAATAAACGGAGCAATCATCAAAGAGTATACCTACACAGAGCGCATTTTGTAAAATAAGGGGAAAGGGATATTATACCTAGACGAAAGTCAGAATTGTTTTTTTTTTTTTTTTTTTACGCGCACACCGGCACCAGCAGCAACACTAGAGAGGAGCAACAAGTGGTCGGGCGTCATCGTGCGGCAGAATGGTTTTTTTTTTTTTTTTTTTTTACCTTCTGAGATATCATCGAAAGAGAGGGAATGATCTACATTTGGTATATGAATTCGCCGGAAGGTAGACGTACAAAAAAATTTAATGCGAGTTTTCAGGAAATAACAGACGTTGAAAATTTGCGCGCTTTTCGCGTGTATACGCGTTGGATATTAAATTTACGTTTTAAGCTACATTCTCGCCCATTAAAAATACTCCACGCTCTTTGTAAAGCTTCGAATAATGTGTGCACACGTTTTCGCGTAACTGACTTTTACGAAATTCAAACTTAAAAGTAATTATAATGAGTATACTCGCGTACGTGGGTAAAAACAACGAGGTTCAGCAAAGTATTCAATGTCGACTGGTAAGAAACTTGATCGTGCATTTTTGAGCGAAAATATAGAATGTTGAAACAATCGGTCAAGTTACCAGATTCGGCAGTGCAAATTTATTTTACACACGCGCTTTAAAAGTATGGATTTTATTCGAGAGTTAATTGAAACAAGAGTTATTCATTTTTAGCTATTGAATATTGACTAATGTTGGATAAATTTCGTGTTTTTGATTTTTAAAAAAAAAGGTTCGTTTTAACTATATCTATAAGATTTTTTTGATGCCACTTGATGAAAAAAGTGCGCACTGAGTTTTTGCCTACGAATGTTGCTGCGAGAATACAGATTTAGCGCAGTCGATATTTGACGGAAAACAAGGGATTGATGTAACAATAACTCTGAGCGATTTATACGAGTTTACGTGTAGAGTTGGGCAAAGCAACATGACACTAGTGCCCATTGTTACGTAACAACGGCATTTGTTTTCCTCTGCTGATGCTGGATGGAAAAAATAAAATAAACTTAGCACTTAAAGGTGACACAAAAAATTGGTGATCCGTGCAAAATCAAAGTAAGCAGGAGTAGGAGAAGTGCTCAACCAAACTCAGGATTTAACCCATGATAAATAGTAGTTTTCCTACGAGTTTGAAAAGTCTTTGTTTGCGAACCGAGAGGTTTGCGGCCTGAGCCGAAGGCAAGGGACGTAACGAGGTTCGTAAAGGAGACTTTTCGAACAAGTTCCGGAAAACTGCTTTTTCGCCCAAGGAAGTACCAGCCTCCCAAAACCACCCGAGGACGGAAAATACGTTGAAAAAAAAAAAAAAAAATTAGAGGAGCGAAAACGAATTTTTTTTTTTGAAATGCCAGAAAAGTACGCAGTCACCGCTCTATTTATAGAAAGTTTATGTACCTCTTTTGAGCTTAGCCACAAACCACTACCAACTTGTCGACCTCCACTCGTAGATGAAGTCTGGATGTACACTCCGATGAACTTTGCGTGATTTATAACGCAAAAACTCGCCCCTCTTCTCTTTTTTTTCTTCCCCCTCTATCTATCTCTTTTATATACACCACGAAATGTAAAGTAAAAAAAGTCAGCAACACGTCAGCCTTGCATTTTTTTCTCTTCATGTATGTATGTATGTACTTATATATGAGCTAGCAGTGTCTAACTCTCTCTCTCTCTCGGCTAGAAATCGGTAAATAACCAGAGGGTGAACTTTATGTTCACGCAGCCGGTGTGCACGGAGATATACGCGGGCAGTGGGGTACAAGAAAAAAAGGAGAGGCCACTGCTGTCCGGTGGTTATATAAAGCGATACACGTACCCTTACACATTAGAGCGATTTTGTGAAAAACTATCCATCACGGGGTTGAAAAATTAAGATTTGGTCATTTGAAAAATTCATTTAATTTACGGGCGATTCGTTAATTTATGTCGTATTTGGTAAATTTTGTTAAATTATATAAATTTTAATTTTTTAACGAGTTTTGTTCTTTTCATCGATCCCTTTGAAGCTGCTCAAATTTCACGAATGAAGGTAATCATTGGAAAAGAAAAAGTAATCTATAAATAAAGACGAGGCAAAATCCACTATTAACGGGCAAGTGAGAGTTGATAACGCGATCAAGAGCCGATGTCGTTAGTCGCAGAATCAATTGCAGAAAAGTTTCTCACTCCGAGTAAATGACTTTTTGTTTTTCTTGCTTAGTTTTGGTATCGCTTTTTTTTTTTTTTTTTTTTTTTTTACAAATGATATCAATTTCTTGTATACGTTTTTTTACAACCTTATTCGTTCAGCTAGTTTTAGCTGTATATTGCTGTACTAAAAAAAAAAAAAAAAAAAAAAAAAAGCTTTTTACATTTTACGAGGGTACATTTTTGCCTTTTATTTTACGAAAGAGAGAGAGGGAAAAAAAAGGAAAAAAACAAAACCCTCCAATATAAAATCGAATAATCGACCAACAAAGGACGAGAGTGGGCGCATACCTATACACGAAGCCTAAAATTTTCATTTTGCGGAAATCACAGCAGCGGCATACAACGGAAAAATATGTATACACCTCACAGCCACAGCAGCGAGTCAGATCATGCAAAATGCATATTAAAGCCACGAGTTTCCGCGCAAAGAGGACTATTGCATATGGAGGGGGTGGCGCGGGCCAGTCGACTGCAACAGATGTGTAAATCTCCTCTTCCTCCTCTCGTAAAAGTTTATTACGGCTGGCGAATTTCTGTGAGTGTCATCGTGTGTTATACCTTCGCAAAAATAGCTGACCACGAGAGCGGACGCGAGAAGGTAATAGTGGTAATACGGAAGCTGGGAAGTCGTCCCTTTGCAAAAGCCCTTCGTTTTTCTCTTTCGGGAGTTATACATGTATATACTTTGTGTGTTTGTGTGTTCCCTCAAAGTGTCAAATTTTCCTCGGTCTGAGTGGAAAATAAGGGCACGTGGCGTACAGCATGAAAATAATAAATGACGCTGGTGCGTCTTGCTATGTATACACAATGGTATTTCATGAGGAACGCAAATAAATTGACGCCAGCTGAGGAGGGGTTGTTATTCAAATCCGCACGTCAGTGCAAGAAAAATAGCTAGAATACAATACATTACGTTTCAGGATCAAATTTACGTGCACGCAATACGAGAACGGTTCAAAGATCGTTAACAAGATGAGTTTTGATGAATATCTCGCTTGGAGTTGCGGAAAAATGTGACATCAAATGAAAATGTGAGAAATGCGGGATTCATGATAGTTCGGAAAAAATTCTGTTCATCTAATTGCTTTTTATGAATGTGCTTGGGTCAGCGTAATTTACGTTGTGATTGCGACTCTCACAGTATTGCAAAGTTAATTATCTTGGATGCGTAATTATTTATCGTTAGTGTTGCTTTTGTTATTACTATACACTATAAACATTGCTACAACATTTTGTTGTTTACTTTTATATTTAGGACTAGAGCAAATAGTATAATTACAATATGACCACAGAGTGATGTACGTAATATGATGTAAAACAGTTACTTAGTACAAAATGTATAAAAGGTTACGTATAATAAAGAGAAACAAAAATATAGAAAAGTATCGTATATTTGGTGTGTAGATTAATTATTTACACGGTATATATATGACTGAAAAATTCGTTGCGTCTGCTTATAAAAATATACTTTATAATCTATTGGTGAGTAAAAAACGGTCAGAAATCGTTCGCTGCGTGAGTTTATTTTTCAAAACAGCAGTTACTTCATTTTGGGCATTATGTGTCCAGCCATCGGTGCTGATAAGGACAGTTTACACCTGATTGGCAGAAACCATAGCCAAACTGAAAGTATCTGCAATCAATGAACCTGTGAAAAAAAAAAAACCAAACAAAAAACATTTTTAACCACAGCGTTTACACATTTTTCATTAAGCGCAAAAGTATAACATATAAATTACCTTCGACTATCTTCGGTTTCCATGGCAATTCGACGAGGTCGTACCATAGAAGGTATCGCAGAGTCAAAATTAATCCATGAGCACTTCTTTTTCCCACTTTTCGAGTCAACTCGTACATCACTGCAAGCCATGAACTGTGATGGCGTTCGACAAACTGGACAATTTTTTTTCGCTGATAGCATACGTGGAGGTTGGATGTTCGCATCGGCAGGCGAGCGCCACCTTTTCAAGCAACTCCAGCAAAACTTATGATTGCAATTAATCAAGATGCCGTATTTCTGCGGTTGTCTTTTCATCAGTATAACTTCCAAGCAGATGCTACACATGTCGTCATCTTTGTTCGATGCATTTAATGTAGACACCTGTAAATAAGTCATTACAGTATGCAGTAGTAAAAAATGCATTAAAAATTAGGAAGTTATTCTGAATTACTTGCAAGATAACAGTAGTAATTAACTTTGAATTTTTAGTATTTTTATCGTAAGAGCTCACGTATAAAAACATTTTGTTGCAAAATACCACAATAAAATGTAATCACGTACAATATGAAATTAAAATATTTCAATAATTTCAACGCGTACAAAAAAAATTTCGTACTACTTACAAATTCTGTTGAACCCAATTTATCTTTGCATTCACTGTCGGCGTGTTGATGGAATTCGTCATCCCGAGAACCGTCAGAGACTTTGTCCATCCTCGTACAATTGTCACTTATGTAAATCAATACCGATGTTACCTCTAGCAAAACTCAAGCTGGATTGAACTTCAGTGGTGTAAATCAGTCTCAGTATGCGTACAATAAGTGATGACGTACAACTTACCTGAATAACTTTTTCTAATAAGTGGAAAAGTGAAAGTTCGAACCTTTCGTTAGCGTAGGGGAAACTCTTCTCAAGACCACTAGACATTTTCCACTCTTAAGTAGATACTTTTAAAAGCTTCACTAACATAACACATGAATCATCAATTCATCATAAAAGTGGTCCGTTCAGAAAAATAGTAATTACTATAAGAGGATGAATTGCCTTGCCAAAATTTTGGGCGTGATAAATTTAAATATAGTATTTCACTTTGTAATCGTAATTTACATTTACTTTAAGTACAACACTATTGTATAGTTGAAACATAATATAAGGACAAAATTGTCTAGTTATTTACATCGAATCTGATGAAAATGACTCAAGTTCGTTTAAAAATTTATTACGTGCGCTCAGAATTGGCTACACGTGTAATGATAATTAATTGAACCATACTTGTCTTGTCATCAAAGCTTTTCGTACGGACAAAGTAGAGTATGTACCTATGTATATATGTTTACAAGCTTTGTTCAGGTGAAAAAATATTGATTTTTTGGAAATAACATTTTTGTTTACTTCTCTGTTTGGATAGCTAATTTTTTTCCGAAAGTTTTTTTTGTATTCTAAAACACATGTATTATAATTATGAACAAAACTATTATTAGTAATTTGTATTAACTAGATTAAGCTGGTTTTTCAGGAAAATTTGTGTAAAGGTAATATGTCCTATAATCGAATCTCAAAAGACATGTCAGTACTAGTCACTAATAATTAATGTAGGTCTAAGTCGGATGAAGAAGCTCCCCAAGACCAAAAGGTTAAATGCAACGTAAAACCGATAAACTGATAAAATCCCAATTGAACCTTAAGTTTCACAAATTAACACCATACTTGCTATCCTGTGAAAAAAATTCAGTAACGCTATCGTGCTCCAATCGATATTTCCCAGTAGGTATGATTATAATGTATGCAAACTAACGTGAACCACGTTCATTATTATTCACAGCTGACAGGCCGGACGAGAAGTTGACGAGAAAAATGCAAATCATAAGGATGGGCTTGCGAGTGATCCAGGGACCTCCTCCGACAAGTATCGGCGCCATCAGATTCCCATCTCATTTTTCCTGGCACCCCCACCCACCGGCATCTCTGGCTAACGAGTCGTCAGTCGTCGACGCCAACAAATTGCCAAGAGAAAAAAGCAGCAGTTGCCTCGAAAATGAGAACGAAATAAAGTCTGAAGAGGGTAAATAATGCTCCATTAAGTATATAACTACTCGTGTACCCATACATATACATATAACAAGTCTCGAGGGAGCCGGGAACAAAATGAAAGAAAGCTCGGATATCGTTTCCACGAGAACAGCAACTTGTAAAAATACGAGAACGTTATTTCAAACGGAAATTGCATGCAAATTAAAACACAATAGGGAAATACATATAGTTATATTTCCCGGTATTCCCGAGACTATAACATCAAAAATCTCTGCAACGAGATCGTTGGAACGTTTCAATTGTTTTCGCGATCTTAATTCCCTCGTCCATCTTATAACCGCGTACGTACGTATACCCGTCATCAAAGTGGCAACATAAATCTCGTGATTTAACGGCTCGATCGTAAAATTGTGAAACAACACTCGGTGTAGGTCATGTCATGCCTATACACTCCAATCATCGTCTCCGATGGCCCGTGGGGTAATTGAGCCGTCATTTGAGATTCAAATTTGGATGAACGGAATCGAAGACAAAGCCAACAAATGTTTTGTTTCCGGGAGAAAAAAAGCACCGCTTACTCGATAGAGCGTTTTTTTCTTTTTTTTTTTTTTTTTCATTTCGGTCGGATGGAACGAAAAAGGTTGGTAAAAACTGACATACCGGAATTACAAAAAGAAGATTGAAACGCCAACTTTGTGCCTTTGCAACGGAAAAAAACAAAAAAAACAATTAACTGACAGAACCAAAGCCCCCTTTTGACTTTTAATCCTCTCCCTCTCGCTCACGTTTTACACATTGCAGAACCGATCCCCCACGCAGTGGTGGAGAAGCAATTTCTACTGAGCGACGGCCGAGTCCGGCTGGAAGCCAGCCTCGACCGCGCGAATTACTCGCACGGCGACGCGATCACCGTCAGCGTCAACGTCGTCAACAACAGCGGCAAGTCCGTCAAGAGGATCGAGGTGAGATACATGAAAAAAAAAGCCCATTTGATACCTACCTTAATCTTTTCCTCCACAATCTTCGTGAAACAAATGAGCCCGGAGGAGAAAAATCGCAGTGAAATTTACGAGACGCGCGTGGAAGCTGAGGGAGACTTGACTCGGGTGTCGGGGAATCCGCGCGAGCTTTTCGACTGCACGCGCGCGCGACGCGATAAGAGAAGCTGCAAGTACTGGCGTATACACATCTGCAGGGAGACGTGTGCTGAAATCGTAAAAGGTTCGAAATACGATTGCGTAAAGTGGGTTTACCAGTAGCCTTAGGAAAAAAGTGAAATTTCACGTATCTGAGTTTACGTCGATACAAGCGAGCAGGTGTATATGTATGTATAGGGTGCACAGAGGGAGAAATAATGAAAATAAGATGTTTGAGACGATAAGATGCGAGACCATTTTTAGACAAGGTCTTTCGTGAAATCGATGCAGGCCTTCACACCTCTGATCCATAGGCGAACGCGGTTTCGAAGATTCTACTTACGGAACGCTCGCGTGGATGGTAAATCATTGACGAGTCGTACTCGATGGAGGAAATTTTTTTTTTTAATTTTTTTTTTCCATGGCGTACATTGTACTGTTGGTTAGCCATTACTATCACTAGCCTGAACACGCACATGTACATTTGTAGACACTAAATACGTAGTTTCGCGTATATGTATACGCCATGTAATCTGTGACGATGAATTTAATTCAAATACGTGATTTATCAAATAATACTATTAATTTTTATCTTTTCAAGCTGTACAAACACCTACAATTTTTTATACATATTTTTAATAAAGAAAGGCAAAAATTTGCATAAAACATATATGGATTGTTTCACGATGAATGCAATATAAACTCAGATGCGTAAAGTGGTATGTCAAAAATGTGGTATTTGTGATTTTTTTTTAAGTTATGTATTTATGTAAACTTCAAGTCCTGGCTCTAAAAATCCATGTCAACTTTAATATATTTTTTAAAAGTTTTAAAAGAGCATTACCGTTTTGAAACTACCATTGCCGAAACATTAAAATTGTAATTTTGAAGTCCAAAACGAGAATTTAGTAGTTAATATCATTGATTAAACAACGTTTATCACCTAGTATACTCTTATACAATTCACCATCTTCGATGAAAAATTGAAAGGTCACCGAGTTGAATAGCATTGAAGAAACAATCCGTTATAGTATACCTTAACTAATTTTTACAAGCTACACTCAAATTTAGGATATCAAGAAAATTTTTACGGTGTATTAAGCTACTCCAGTATATGAAACGATCCAATTCAAGGGCTCCAAGAGAGTATCACTTTATCACACAAAAATGTGTCAAAAGTTGTGGACCCTATACTATTACTCCGCGTGCTCGCCTAAAGATACTTTTTTCGACTCAAAAAACCTAATAATGAATTGAAACAGCAGTTGACAAAATTAAAAAAAAAAGTTTTAACTCGCTCGAACATATATATACATGTAGTAACAAAGTTTTCATTAAATGATCAATACGTACGGGGCTATGAATCAATTTAACGCTTGAACAACTCTTGCATAGCATAATTCAAATGGAAAAGGACAGTACTAGGTTAATTTGGGTGTGTTGGCAATGTTGACATTAACTAAATATACATATACATAATTACAACTAGTACTTTATTTTTGCATTTAAAATCAATCTTTGTCAAGTTGCTCGATTAGTGCGCTATTTCGAAACTGCCAATAGGAAGAAAAGCATTATATTAAACAAAAGCTCGACGACTCGGGTCTCTTTAGCACGTGTATGGGTAACCTGAAAACAGCAGCATGAGAAAAAAAAAGGTCAAGCAAAAATTTACATTAATTAACAATTATCGCCCTCGCAATGGGCTCCCAACGGCAGAGACGGCTTATCTTATCTTTCGCCGATCCAAAAGACCCGAAGAAGAACAAAAACTTAAGACTATTCGCACGCGCGGGCTCACCTTGCCCACCTATGTGTACACGTCTCGGCGACTCATGTAGGTTACGAGAGTGCGTTAGTTTGCTCTCGTCGCAAGTGTTTTAGAAATAAAGAACCATTAAGAAGCCGAGAACAAAACCTGACCCGACTTACTCATAATTCACATTGTAACTGCGCATACCTCGATAGGTATTTTTTTTTTTTTTTTTTTTTTTTTTTTTATCAGCTAGTCGTGCTCTGCTGTTGTTATACTGCACGTTGTAAGATATAAAAACGCGCAGAGTCCGACCGAGGGTTACAGTTGCTATCAGACCAAGATGAAGTACGCATTAGTGTTCGCGATATTGGCGGTGGTGGCCATCAGCCGAAGTCACTCGTTTGGTAATTGGGATGATATTACGAGTTTATTTGATTGGGATTACGATTCACAGGAGGATGGTACGTATATTTTTTTAAGAATTTTTTTATGTACCACCCATAGTTTTGATATAATGGAGAAAAAAAAATGTTATTTACAATTTTTAGATTCCTCTGCAGTTAACAAAACTAATGACTTGAAAATGATCAATGATCAACTTTCCAAGATAGGCAAGGATCTTGAGATGTTGTTGAAGCGGAACAGTACATAGTCATTTATACATCCTCAAAGTTAAATAATCATTTTCCTTCACATACCGATTTATGCAGACTATTATGTAGTATATTTTGTACGTCAAACTTTCTTTTTTAATACACTGTCTAAATTAAATTGTATTATTATTATTATTATTTCAATACCATTCGCCCTGTTAATTAGTTCATTGCTATTTTTATAGTTGGGGCACTCTTTTTTCAGACCTTGAGGTAGTGTAGCTATCGGTAAATCAATTGTCTTTTAACGATTTTATTGAAACTCAGACTATATATACTCTGTAAAAAATAGGCACTAGCTTTATACAGTGTAAAATTTTCAAAAATTCTATCTCACCGTTTTCGAGATATTTGTGACCAAAGTCGGACTTTTTAACATGGGAAATAAGAAATAAGTATAGGCAAAACCTCCGAATGAATAAGGTATTTACTAATATTGCAAAAAACTAATATATAATCAAGTTATGCCATTGTGGGCATAAACAGGAGATATAACACGTTCGGATATCAATATTTTTAAAAACGATAGTGATATTCGAAGATAACCCTAATGCGCGGAAAGTCGCTCGTTTCACTGCTGGACCTTTCATTTGAGGACTAAAACTCTTGAAAATTTCGTCATTGGAAAATGTAAATTGAATACACTTAATTTCATTACGCACAGCTAAAGAAAAAAAAAAAATTGAATGTCTGCAAAGTATTTGTTCAACGCTTGCATACATAAGTGTATGCAAATTTGAGGATAAAACTTGGCCTAATTTCTTTTTTATCTTCCACGTGGATTTTATTACCTACATTCAAAAAGAGCAAAAATGTTTTACAATCGTCCGTGATGACATTACTCAAACGTCCCATTCACAAAAGGAATTCTACAAAATGTCCAAAGGCCTCGAATCGCAAATTTGAAAGCTCCCCGTCATCGATAACTCATGGATTAGAAAAAAAAAAAAAAATGAACCGCAGCGACGTCAGCGCGGTATAATGACAGATTAAACAGATAAAAAATCCACACCATATTTCCCCCGCGTGTCGGAGAACGGCGCAACGCAGGAGCAAATTTACGCGTTACACCCAAACACGGCATAAATCAGTGGAACAAGAAGCGCAGCGGTGAGAGTCATCCCAAGGGTGCATTCGAGTTTGAAGCGCTTCGCGATCGAAAGCCATCACAACGCCTCCCGCGTGGCACGCACGGCGCGACGCCGACTCGATACTGCACAGCAGGTATATATTGCATAATCCAGTCACACGTGTGTGCAATGGTCACGAGCTCGGTATGGCAATCGACTACGCAGCTTTGCACCAGCTGGTGATTCATCTTCGGCGTTATGATGGTATGGATGTTATACGTAGCAAGCGGAAAATTCGCTTACTTTGCGATGAAGAAGAATTATGGGTTACACTCCACGTTCGAGGGAGATCGGGTGCACTGCCAAAAGTCGGCTCGTTGGGCAATTTGCCGTGTCGAGCGAAAAAACCCGGCGTGTTTCCTTTCGTGTGCAACGACGTGGTGTATAATTATACAATTGTTAAAAAGTGTCACTCTGTTGACGTGTCACGGGCTGTTGCAGGAAACTGTTTATTGACAATAAACAAAAAACAAAAAAAAAAAAACCAAATCAGCGCAAAGAAGGAAAGAACCGTGGCATTCCACAGATTTACTTTTTGAGAAGGAAATAGTTTCGTTAAATTCCCTTCCTGTACTCACGTGGCTCGTAGATGAGATTTTTTTCTGGCGATTATTACCGTCCGAAGCACACACAGTACGAATCGAAGTAGGGATGCTTCCACAACAAATGGGACTTTAATGCAAGGGATCGACTTTTCGCTTGGCCGGAGACAAATTGAATGGGTACTTATAGAGAGAAGCGACCCGATACTCCGTCTGGGCGAACTAATACAATTGATGCCTTGGAGTAATCAATCTTTCTGACGAGGTAACTTTATTTGCGATCTAATTTGCAGGTGCAGTACTTTGAATCAATTGATCGTTGTGCAAGTATAAATACACATAGTGTGCACGCGTGCAATAAAATTGTAGAAATTCTTTTCCTGTCGAATGGTTAGAGTTGCGCATGTGAAAACATGGATGAATATCGAGTGGGAAATGGTGCGGATGTTGTCAAGAGTGAATGGAAAGAAAACTCGGCACGGTAGACAATCGGCGGGCTTAGTGAATCGAAAAAGAATGATCATCCGATGATGAACTTTGCGCTATTCAAAATATATGTCGCTTGAACGTCAATGGTGCTCGAATGCGTTTCGTGTTTTCGTATTGTATAATATATAAGGACACCTATGTGTTTCAACGATACCGATTTTTCGCTGAATTAGATAATTGGAGCAACTTGGAAAAAAACGTCTCGAGAAAACTTTCGGTAGACAAAACACACTCGTAGAAACTTTTGAAAAACTTACACGAATCTCATGGATATAGGAATCATCAAGTTGCACTTAGTCCTTACACGACTAGTCCGTGTACAAAAAAACCCCAATCACTGGATGTAGTTGCCCATGAGGCAAAGTTTGTACAAGGTCACGCGATAAATCAACTTTGCGTTACATATACCTTACACGTGCGTGACGTATATACACAAAAGCTGATGGTATTTTGATGTTTATCAGCTGGACACGTATTTATCAGGGTTACGATGGGTCACCTAGACGTGTAAGTACTTTTATTGATAAATTGGCGGGTGGATGATAACAAAGGCTTCGTTTCTCACTAAACGCCCCGAAAAAATACCAAGCGCTTCCTCAACTAATAAGCTGCAAGAAAAATAATATAGTGTATACCCTTGTTGTTGGTAAATATATTTTTAGTTGAAAAAAAAAGAAACGTTTTTGTTTCAAGAGGAGGAGTAACGCGATTAAAACTATATGGCCGGGGAGGACCAAAAATCCAAAAACGCAAGGTATACGCAAACAAACGCCCGCGAATCGTCGATCGGCATCGCATTTGCCTGTAACGGCTGCATCATCTCCAAGTACACGCGCACATGGACGGCGACCCGGGAGAGTAGCAGCGATTAGATTATCGATTTGGGGCTGCACACGACTCTCGCCCACCCACCCCGAACCGATAAACCATTTTGCGATACCTGCCGTGGATGTATATTTGCACGGATTAGTTGAACTCGGCGGGACAACTGTATACGCCCGTCTCCTACTCTCGTTTCCCCGTGAATGTTTCGGCCCGGCTTGATGAACGGGGTTGTTTGCAGCTCTACAATCGTGACTCGTGTCCATAATTATACGCTTGGACGGAGGTATTTTACAGTATGGCACCAGTATATACAAATTAAAATAATAAGCAAAACCGAGGCGTATACTTGTACGAGCATGAGCTAATGGCGCGGCTGTCGCAGTCGTAATCAATATTTACGGGATTATTCATGCGAGCACGAAGCTGGAGACAATAGCAGCCAAACAACCGTCAAATAAAAAAATGTTACTTTGAGTGTATACCCTTTTACTCATTTGGTAACATAAAGGGGGATACCCCCACATAAATGTGGTTTAGTTAGTTTTGAGGGTATACCCATCAGAGTAAAATTTATCATTTGATGCTATACGATAATTGACTGCTACCATATTAAGCGACATTTGATGAGCATAATCAAATAAAATGCATGTATATCGTAACGTGTATGAGTACTTAATGATTGATTTTGAAGTATAGCTATAGTATCTCGAAATACACGGTTTATAGGGGGGTTGGGCTGCAGGACGTGACAAATCACAGTGGTTATATAGGGTCAAATTGGTCATTCGTCGACGCAGGAAGCACGTGTCGCTACACATTGTTGTTAGGGGATACTCTCTCTCTCGTGTGTACAGCCCGGCGTGTAATACATAATACACCCATCACTGACAAAGATTCACTCCATACTGAGTTTCTTCCGTGTATATGTATATGTACCGTTATGTATACACCACGTCCAGCTCGATTTTCCCGTGTATATAAACAATGGCCACGAGTAGACGTACTTAATACGCGTACAAGTCCATTGCGCGTTGGATGCGCATAGATTATACTCAACGGCTAGCTTATCAATTTCGGTTGTAAAGTACCTATACCACCTATATTATACACTACGCGTGCGGGGCTAACATGACAATGACAGATTTTCAATTTAACGCGTAGGTACATGATTTCGTGTTTGTCTCGTGACTCGGAAATTCCTGTACAAACAGTATGGCATGGGTGTATGAGGAAAATATCGCGTTTTTGTCCATATATTATAGATGATGTATACAAATATAATTGTAACACGTAAATCGCGAAAAAAAAGGGTGTCACCACCACTATAACCTTCGTTCATGATTTTTCCCTCACTCGTACATGGTATATTACGAATAAAACGAGCTTTATCTCAAAGGTGTGCCTCGAAAAAATTTTTTTACTAAAATGAGAGACAAAAACAGGATAATTTTTGTGGATTTTGTATGCGTTTGTGTTTAAAGCTCGAGCACAGCAGCAACAGGCGAATGGACAATGTGAAAAAAAAGATTTTGCGGAGCTTCCCTTCGATCGTGAAGAGAACAAAAAAAAATGGCTTTTCTTTTATGGCGGTATACTATAGTGGAAAATGGAAAATGTGCAAGGGAGTATAGATGATATTATATGCGTATCCGAGTTTGTATTTCTACTGCCATTGTTGCGGGTATTTCGTTGGTGTTGTAGGGTATCGCGGGACGGATTGAAAATTTGATTGAAAAAACGTACGGTACCTAGGTATACCTACAACGTGGCAAAATCGCTGTTAGTTTTAACAAATAAGAGACTCGAGCGATACGTAAGTACGTCGAAGAAATTATCATTCGAACGAAGTAACAATCGCGTGGTACGAATTTTAACACGTGCGAGGGTAATTTGCTTGTCCGTCCGAGAGGACTGTATTTTCTGGTGTTTTTCAGGTATAAAATTACAGTACCGAGTACGCGCGTGCAGGTACCGAAATCAATAATTTTCAATCGTAGTTCATCGGAAATACGGGGAGTACGGCGTACTAAATTTTTTTTTTTTTATCGATACGTATATCAGCCTTTGGTGAAGTCTCGCAAGGTATAGATTTTAAGGTGGGATTAATGTTACCATTGTGAGGGGGAAAAGAAAAAAAATTATTTGTTTCATGCGAGGAATGAAAAACTAGCTCCCGCTCTCGCGCGTGATGGATCCTCGAAATATAACGATCCGTTGGTTTCGAACAGCCACTATTGTGTCCGGAATCGCGATTGAAATTCTCATCTCTGGAATGCACGTGGTATTGAAATTTCGCTTGTGCCGAGGGGGGGGGGGAAAGAAAAAAGTTTTTTTTTTCATTTTCATCAATTACTGGAAAACTCACCTCTGAAACTTTTACAAAGAACGAAAAATGTTTAAACGCGAAAGAACCGTAGCCGCAGCAGCCGATAGGTATAAAAACCAAAGTACTTTTTCCCCCAATGAGTACCTGTGCAATTAAAAAAAAAGATAACCATAGAGCATTCGCCCCGTGCGTTCTCCAGGTGGACATAGTTCAGCACGTGGACGTGTGCATGTTCAGCAACGGCAAGTTCAAGAACGTGGTGGCGCAGCTGTCGCCGCGGGAGGACTGTCCAGTGGAGCCTGGCTTCAGTTTGTCCCGTACCTACGTGCTCAGACCGGAAAAGGGTTCGACGAAGAATTGGATCGCCCTGGAGGATGATCCGGGTTACCCGAAGGGTGGCGGCAATCTCGCTTCCACCGTAGTCTGCAAAAGCGAGAACCCCGAGGACCGCAACGTCTTTGCCATCTACGTCTCCTACTACGTCAAGGTAAACATTCCACCCGATCCATCCGTTTCCCTGAGTTTTCGTGGAAAAACCCCTATATAATACAGCTGGTGATGTTGTTACTCGCTGAGATGGCAAAAATTGCATTGTAAATGTGTCGATTATCGCTGGAGATACTTTCATCCCCCCAAAAGATTTGGAATACGGGGATGTTGCGTTTTACGCTAATGAGAGAGAGAGCATGGTATTTTCGGGTGCAAACTTTTAATAATGGCAAAAGAATCGAGTTCGCGTGATGCCGTTTGTTGAACTAACTTCGCCTTATCTATATTATTATTTAGCGTTAAAGCAGATAATCCTTGAAAAAATGTTTTGCTCTTATCCTCGTGTCTTTGTGATGAAAAAACAAAAATCCAGGTAAAGCTCGTGGTGTCCCCGATGGGCGAGTGGATAGGCGGGGTCGTGTCCCTGAAGCTGCCCTTCACCCTGATGCACACCCGAAGCGAACTGGAAACGTTGAACTCGCCGTCGCCGCCCTACACGCCCTCCCGCATCCTCGAGAAGATCGAGACGATAGACGACCTGAACGACGACTCGTTGCCCTTCATCGACAAGGACAGCACGAGCGACGAGGACAACCAGAACGACTCGCCGGACAAGCATGCACCCGACGCCGAACTCAATACCACCAGCACCACCACCCATCATAGGACTGCACGGAACAACGAGGGGTAAGCTCTTTTTTTCTTTTACGTTGCCTATGAAATAACGTGACTTTCTCCAGAACGAGCCCAACTACCACGACGACAGTAGTGACGGCAAGCGTGAAGGCGGCAGCGTTGGAAGACGAAGGCACGGGTATGAGGAACAAAAAGCGCCGGGAGAGCATGGCCAACGTCGATCTGATCGAGCGGTTCGACGAGCCGTCGGTGGCGACGAGGCGCAGTACCTGAGAAGAGGAGCCGAGCCGGGGCCTCGGCCGTAACTTCAAGGGGTTGACGCTGGCGTTGCCCTTGGTGGCCGCGGGAGGGGAGGGGAGCTCCGCATCGGCCGCGGGCTGCAAGCAGGGCTTCAGCGTCCACCGGGCCTGGTGTTGCTTCAGGCGAGCCTCCTAGCCTCGTTCATTCATTAACTTGCTGCACCTATATGATGTTTGTCAAGGGATATTTGAGAAGCTTGCTGTGTGTTTTTTTTCTTTTTTCTTCTTGTTTTTTTTTTTTTTTTCATTCCACTGGACGAAAATAGAACAAATGAGAGAGTGCCGGTGCAGTACATTTATGCATACATAATTGTTGTGTCCTAGCGAGGTGTTTCGGCTCGATTTATTAAGACTATCATTATTATTATCATTGAGAAACAAGCTGGTCTTGTTCTCGTGTCGTAGCGGGGTTTTAGTGATTTCGAAAATTCGTTTGCGGAATGTATATTGCACGCGTTTTTCGCTGAATGTACGTATGTTATAATTGTGCGCACTTGTGAGGCAAACCTGTCTTTCGATACTTTTGTTTTTTTTTTTTTGTTTGGGTGCTCAAAAACAGATTGTAAATATAATCGTGAGCATCTCCTTGGTATGGTTAAAAACATTATTTTAACGTTTGTGCATTTGTGCAAATGTATCAAAAAAAGCGCCTACCTGGTGTATCATAAACATGAATCAGTTTATTTGTTTTTTTTTTTTTTAATTTCACCACACAATATTTGCACGTATCAGTTTTGTAAAAGATTCAATGACTCGAATACCAAAGTACTTGAGAGAGAATTTTCATAATAGTGTTGCTTCTCCTAACAAAACAGTAGTTTATTGTTATTTCGAAAGAAATTCGTGTTTTGTGTTGATTTTCATTGAAAAATTGTACAGCCAATCAACGATATGTGAGACAAAACCGAAACAAGTATGCGCCAATAACAGATTTATAAATAACAGTCATACCTAAACAATAAATATAATACCGTTTCATTGCAGATATAAACAAGAAATATGGGTTACTTTTGTCAATTTTTGTTAATAATAAGAAAAATTATACTCCACAAAAAGGTGTCTTAATGTTTGTGTTTCGAATGCTTTTTAAATTTTTTTATGTAAGTTTTAATCTTTTTCATGATACTGAGAAAATTTCAACTGCCATACAAAAATACATAATTTTCCTGTACATAAAACTGTTTGGCTTTTTGATTACTACAAAATCGGACAAAAATATGACTCAATAAACTGTACAAACACATATAAAAATTTAAAATATTGTACGTAAATAGCTTAAGAAACAACATCATTTACAAGTCAGACAATTTTAAGTTTTCAAGTGTATAACTATATTCCATTCGTAAGAAATTATTTAACCATCACTGATTTTCGTGCATCATAAACGTTTTTATTTCACAGAAGCAGTTTTCAGTCAGTAATATGTAAATATTTACCAGCAGGCCTGATTATTTTTAAATTTGTGAATTTCCTGTACATATGATTTCGAGTGTAACGATGTATTATCAAGTATGATTAATTTTTAAATAAAGAAAAATTGAATATTGTGAAGGCATGGATTAAAAAAAACACTCTAAAAAATGTACGTTATTTACTTACCATGGTAGTCGCATCGTTGGTAGCCTCTCACAATTTTCTTTTCCATCCCATTATCCTTGACATGTATCAAAATGTATTTGAAAACTCCATTGGGATCGATATCCACATCAACCACTTTGTTTAGCGTTTCAGACATCGTGGATAAACTATGCTTGCTTGAAAATTTGCCTAATGAAACGCAAAAAAAAATAAAATTTTAGTAAATCAAACATTTTTTAGCGACACTTAACACAAGTAAGTAGATAGCAAATAACTATTGATCGTTAGAATTATCGAACATATTGGACTATTTATTATTGTTCGATAAGAATTAGAACAAACGAATCATCAACGAAACAAAGTAAAACACCGAAAACACAACAAAAACTCATAACCTCGAAATTCACGGTTCTAACGATTCACCTTCCATACTCATTAAGTACACGTTGTTTGAATTAGTACTCAAGAAAAATTATCACAGCTTTTTTTTCAGTAAAAATTTCAGCTAGTTAAAAAAACTACGCTACTATGTTCTTTTCCAAAAAAAGAAAATACCTTGCAGAGTTCGCCGGGCGAAAGTCAAAACAATTGAAGAAAACATGTGACACAAAAAATACTCCCCTCCCCCTTCCGCGCGCGCATCTAATCTAGCAGACACACGCGACATGCAAGTACAACAACAACAACAAAAGTGAGACCAATGTTTTTTGTTAAATCAACGAAATGTCCAATTACCAGCTAGATATAAGTAGTGTTGTATAGTTTTTTTTCGTAATATAATTTTTAATTCTCCTAAAATTTTTGCTTGGTAAAAGTTGGTTGGAGATTGAGACTGACACAAAGGGTTATGCAAATTCTGTTATTTATATTGAAAACTTTATTTTGCATTTAACTTATAGCAACTGTATGGTAAATTATGACAGCGTACACGAGAAACGCTCAGTTAGTGTGGAATGTGCTGAACGGAGTGTTTAACATTTACAAACCATCCGGAGTCCATCCTCTTACAGTTAGAAGCACAATAATCTCAAATTTGTGCAGAGGTAAAAATATTCTTTTAATTTTTTCGACAGAAAGACTGCTGATTACTCATATCATTTAAATTACTTTTAATAATGTAGATCTTAACGAATTGGATGTAAGACCTCCAATGGAGCATGTGAGCATCGAGGGGCCAACAAATAAAGAAATGAGGGTCACAGTGAGGAACAGCTATGCAGATCATCCACTTGTTGTTGGACCACGTTATTTGCCAGATAACTTCAAAATGGCTTTTGCAAACAAACTGCCTGTGGAAGCCTCTGGAGTTATGATTTGTGGAGTCAATTCTGGTACAGCATTGACTTATAAGTTGAAACAAGCTTGTTTAACGAAATTCTATAGGGTAAAAGGCATTTTGGGACAAGCAAGAGTGGATAACTACATCACAGGTTCAATTTTGGAAAAGGCAACTTGGAAAAAAGTCAAGAGAGGCAATATCGATCGGATCTGTGCAGCAGTACAAGCTGCCCACCAGAAAAAAATGTTTGAGTAAGATTTTAATTTATTAAACTGAATTAACAGGTTAACTGTGCATTTTTTTAACGTTAAAATTCCCTTAGAAATTCCGGAATAGACATACAGAGTCAAGAAGCATTTGATCTAGCTGCAAAGGGTCTAATAAGACCAGCAGACCAGCAAATTCCTACAATATATTCCATAAAATGTGTTGATTTCAAACCACCTGAATTTACTTTGGGTAATTAACATAATTGGAGATTTTGTTACTTTTTTTTTATCTTAACTTTATAATTACCATCATTATTGCATTTACATTTTAGAGATCGTCTGCATTAATGAAGACAATGAATACCTGAAGTCATTAGTTTCTGAAATAGGGTACCGAGTTAAGAGTGTGGCTCATTGCAGTTACATACAGTGCTCTCAGTTTGGTCATTTTAATGTCAAGAATTCGTTATTGTCCAAACACTGGGATTTACAAAATATTTTGGACAGCGTTAGTCAGTGTCATAGGATAATAAAAGAAAATCCGTACATGATAAAACAAGAGCATGCAAATCTTGTACCAGCCCAAGCCGTGGCGCAGCAATAAGAAAAAAAAAAAAAAAAAAAGTGATAAAAACGCATTGTACATACTAAATGTAAAATAATGTTAAGTTAAAACAATAGATTTCAAATATAACTTTTTTTATTTATTCAACATCACTGTTTGGGTTCTTTACACGATTGAAAGACACCTAGTCCACCTTAATCTCGATTCCATTGCTACACTAGCTTTTCACTGGAGTTTTGCGATTAAAAAATATGATTCAAAAGTTATCTAGGCGTAGTAAGAAATGTAACAAAAAAAATCTAACGTATCATTCTTGCAGATAACGTATTCAGTGTTGAAAATTGTATAACTTGTGTAGATGCCATATAAGTTTGTTAAAGCCACATGATTCTTATCACTTTTATTCAAATCCATTTATACAAAGTAATGCTGTTGTTTGCTAAAATATCTTGTATTTGATTGATGCAAGCCGTTACATCAAGGATGGATGAAAATTTAAACTCTATAGTACATTTCTTGAACTAGGAAAATAAATCACACGATCGGTTCACTAGAGTTTCGTTTTAATTTTCTTTTCAGGAGGCGTAGGCAAGTCACTTTTTTCATCAGTCTTGGAAACATTGGTGTCATTACTACTGTCTTCGTTATTAACATTATCCTCGCTGCTGGAATACGCCGCCACCAATGACCTCTTCAGCCCTTTGACTTCCGCACTATTTGCCTCATGTTCGGCCTCTTTTTCTTTGTTTGATTGCATTATACTATCATCATCACTCGAGTTAGATGCACAATCCGAACTAAAATATTCATCACCTGAATTATCGGTACGACGACGAGGACTTTTACTCAATTCGCGTCTCGTACACCGCAATGGCTCAGGGCTTTCACTACGCTTACGCTTCTTGTGTTTTAAGGACTCAGGACTAAAATTAGTAGTAGTGGTAGTGATATTTACAGTCACAGCAGCACCAGCAGTAGCAGTATCAGTAATAGTAGTTGCACTGATAGTCTCTTTTGTCTTGCTTTGAGGGAGACGTAGACTTTCACTCTCCTCTCGTCTCGAGCTTCTCGAGCGACGAGGGCTGTCGCTGCGCCCCCCTCTTGTACTTTTAGGAGATCGGCCTCGATTACTGACTGTTTCTGGACTGCGGCTACTGTCATGCCTGGCACTTTGGCGACGATCGGTGCTGTCGTAGCGCTCGCGCGAGCGAGATCGTCGCTGGGGGTCGCGTTCGCGACTGCGACTACGACGTTTGCCGCGCTCAGTGTTATCCGAACCACCGTCGGATTGGCGATCTTCTTGTCGCTGACGCTGCTGTTGTTGCTTGGAAGACTGAATGGCACGGTACTTCGAAGAGCTACTGGACTGCTGCCAGTTCTGCATCTTCATGCTCTTGGCTATCACGCGCTTCTGATGATCTAGTTGAGGAAACAGGCCTGAAAAATGCGATTATCATTTGAGCTAACAGTACAAAAAGTGGTTAAAAAATTATGTCGTTCTTAGAAAATTACCCTTTGACTTTTCAAGCGCTTCTTTAGCTGAATTCATTTCAGCCTCTTGAATGCTATGACCAGACGCCGTGGCCAAACGTTTCCCTTGGAAATACACAGCAACCGTGTAAACGCGCGTATTTGTTGGTCCAATGCATTCTACAACTCTGTAAGATAATCAGGGTGTTGAGGTCAATGACTGGCGAAAAGAAATTGATGAAAAATGAATTTTAAAAGTTGAAGGAAAAAAAAGTTACATACTTGTACACCGGTATGTCGGGCTCCCCGCCGTCCATAGTACGCAAAGTCAAGCAGCACTGCTGCAACTTGCTCTTTGGATCGTTCCAGTCTTGATTCATAATAAAGTCTCGAAGACGCGGGAAAAAACAGACATCACAAAACACCTGACAGAAATCTAAGCCTCTGTCGACATACAGAGCGCCCAAGAATGCTTCCAACAAATCGGCCCTGTCCTTCGTTTTCAAGTCAGCCTTAGGATTTCCGTAAACGGCGTACTGAGTCATACCTAGGTCGTCACAGACAACGGCTTGTGTTTTGTTATTCACCAACGAGCTACGTAATAGCTGTAATTTAAATAGAGTTTAAAATAGTTACATTAAACTTGTTGAAATCAGGACGAGAAAAAACAAACTTTTTTTTTTCCTTCGTTTTCCAGACTGTACTTACCGACAAGTGACCTTCATGATGTTCCGGAAAATATTTGTACAGATATTCTGAGACTATCAACTGTAATACTGTATCACCCAGGAACTCCAAACGTTGATTGGAACCTAAAGTTAAGTTTGTGTAGCCGATACTTCGGTCTGTAAATGCTCTAGCCAGCAAACGAATGTGCAAAAATTCAACTCCGATGCTATCTTCGAACTTTGTCAATTTCTGCACATCATACAGAATTGTAAATAATATTGTTGGTAATCAAGGAATAAAAATCTAGTTATAAAAAAAAAAAGAATCTCACTTGAAGTAGTTCAAAGCTCGGAATCCACTGTCTATCCCCAGTAGGTTCTTGCTCCTGGAGGGGATGTCGCGGATAATTAACCCAAATATTCAACAACTGCGACTCGTCTTTAAACAACGTATCCCCGAACACGGTGTCAGCAATCTTGATACCTCCGTCCAAAAACAAAGCACCCATTAGAGCCTCGAAACAGTTAGCCATGGCGTGCCTCAGCTCCAAATCATGGCACAAGTCGCTGCCGTGCGCGTACAGCATGTACTGATCCAAATTGAGTTTCTTAGCTAAAACGGCGAGATGCTGATTCTGCACGATCGCGGCGCGATAAGTGGCCAAGCCACCCTCTTCCAAATCCGGAAACATGTGGAACAGGTGTATACTTGTGAGAAACTCAACGACTGCGTCGCCCAAGAACTCGAGACGCTCGTTGTGCGCGATCGACGATTCTGTTTCTTTCTTGGCACCGAAACGTGACATTATGTTGATGAGCGTGTTGATGCCGCGTTTGCGAGTGTTCATGTAGTGAATGCGACGGTCGCCGTACTCCGGTTGTCGAATACCGCAGTTTGTTAGGGAGTTGCGCGCGTGATCTGGATTTGTACCAAAATTTTCACGATAACTCGGATGCGTGAGAGCTTCGATAAGGTAACGAAAAAAAAAAAAAAAACCCAAGTATCGATTATTAATTTTACACTTGTTTCAATTGTAAGATGTGTGAGAGAGAAAAAAAAAATTTAATTACCCAATTGTAGTAAGTATCGGTTCTTGAACTGATAGTTGATGGTCTTTTCGAGAAAATGAAGGGAATTGTGAAATCTTAAGTGGCAGACGAGGACAGGTATCAGCATCGCGTGCTGAACGATGTCGCACATAATGCCGGTTCTGTAAAAGCCCCTGGATGACACGTCTACTGTGACGTCTCGCTTCATCTTGCTTTGCGTTCGCAGCTCCTGCAGTTTGTTTTCTTTCGATTCTAATTTACGCTTGTCTTCGAACGACGGCTTTGGCATGTTGGCTAGTAAATGACGGAACTTGACGTAATCTCGCCAAGCTTTTTGATAACTGTAAAAAACGTACGATTAATTTGATTGTGTAATGTTAAAAAATATAATACATTTAAGATGACTAACTCACTCGGTATTTCCAGCGTAACTCAGCTGGGGAGGCCGAATGCCAAAGTGCACTATTTCAGGAAAAGCTGGTTCTTGATCTTTCGGCGGTTGAATATTTTCATTCCTGTCCAGTTGATCGACGCGAATGCTACACGGCTTTTTACCAGGATAGGTAACGACCATGCCTTTGACTTCGTCGGCAAAGTTTTGCCAATCATCTCGAGGCATTTCAAGCAGCTTGGATAATTCGTCAGAATTGATCAAGAGCTCGCTGCTTTTGATCAGGTAACGCAAGACTTCGTTCATGGATAGGATTTCCTGGCCGTTGTCGGGCAAGTCGCGAACGAATCTCGGCATAAAATGGAATTGCGAACAGCCATCTTTGTTCTCGGCAATTTTCAGTTCAAAATCTACTAATTCTAATACCTCTTTGAACAAGTATTCGTCTGGAAAATAAGAAAAGTTGATTAATAATTTTCTTTAATTCACGTGATTTATTGGATATTTTTTTAACTTGAGAATCTTACAGATTAGATCGAGTTCCCTGACTGTGAAATTTTCAGGCATTTTTTCTTCGATGTACAAAATCGTATATTCGATATTAAAACGTATGACTTTGCACGTTGGTAATTTGGTGAGAGGAAAATGTGAGAACATGGAAAATCCTTCAAATATGAACTCGTGCTCGTCATGATCGATAATAGTGGGAGTTTTTGTAAGAAAATTCGTCGGTGGACTAATCGTGATGCGGTAATGATACAATCTATCGGCATTGTTGGTATTAGGATTACACTTTTCTATCAGTTTTTCACCTGCGTATATACCGTGTCTAATGCCTGATCTTCGGGATTTTGCACTACATCGGCACAGCGGTCCATCATTCATCTGTAACAATTAAACAGATGTTTAAGGAATTTCGTTCAATAATTTTTTCAGCCAAAAAATAAGTAACATTCACCTCGCCAGGGTCATTGAACCACATTTCAGGATGAAGTCTGTGGGGATGAAGTTGTTTATTCATCAATTCTTTCATAGTCCTATCTTCGTTATCCGATTCATCACTTTCTGAAGAACTACTGCAAGCTTCTGATTTATGCCTGCAAATGCGAGTTTTTGTTTTTCTTGGAGGTGGCTCGTAGGGTGGCTGCAATAAAACGGTATTTATTTAGAAAAATTGTAAGAAACTAGCGGAAGATCTACTGAAAACAACTTACTTGCAGCGCCCTTGCTGCAGCAGATCTTTCAACAAGTAATTTTTGGAAGTCGTCACAGATTTCTTTTTCCCTTTCAGTGCTAACCACTACTCTATAGTCGGCCTCACTTCTCTGGTAGTACAAGTCAGCTGGTGATGATCTTGTCCAAATTTTCTTGTCCGACGCCACATCCGTACTTATATTTTTTATCTTTTTGGTTATTTCATCTCTCGTTTCGCAATAATTACTTCTACAAATATTAATGTGATTTTAATAACATTTTACTGGATACAATCAGAAACAGATTGCTCTTACCTATATTTTTTCAATATCACTTCTCTTTCAGTAAGTGGCTTATTTTTTGTCACTCGACTGACATTATTTCTGGTAGTACTTCCTCTGCTACTACTGCTTCTACTTATGCTCCTACTTCTGCGGTTTGATTTCTCATTTCTACGGCTGCTGTAAGAATTGTTATTCGAATAAGACTTTCTATCTGAACTCCTGCTTCTTCTTCTGATAGACCGTTCCCTTGATCTCCTTTTCTCTTTACTTCTGGCCCTGAATCTACTTGAGTGCTCATCAAATTTTTTCCTATCTACGTACTTTGAAGAGCGATATTTGTTTTCAGGACTGCTCGAACGTTTTCTTTCCCTGTTAGTTGATTTGTGCTTGGAAACAATGGAGTTGTTGCTGATGGATGAGAATTGCATGGAATTGTTAACAGTAATTGATACCATTGGTTTGTTGGTTGACGATGCTGATGTTGATGCACTGGCTGCACTTGAACTAGTAACTGTCACCGACTGGGAATTATTATGCTGTGGCCAAGTAGAAGGATCAGATGCTATCCATTGGGGACTATCGGTCTTTGATTTGGTTTGGTATGAGCCATTTGGATTCCAGGCATAGTTGTATGCAGTTTGTGCATAGTTGCTATAATATTGACTATTTTGTGCTGCTCCATGATTAGCTGCATATTGCGTATGACTTTGATATTCCATGGAATTTCTGTAACTTGCGTTGGCTTGATAATTGTAATTGGGATAGGCATTAGCATAAGTAGAGTCAGCAGCCATAGAAGGGTAAGAGTAATTATATGTTCCATAGTTTGTCGCTGGAGCTGCATAAGGCAAAGGCGGAGGTGGTGTGGATGGATCATAAGCCACTGCTCCAGAAGTATTGTTGTAACTGTAATTTTGCGCCTGTCTAGCAGAGTCATTTTCCCAGTAATGTTGATACTCTTTGTTCAGCGATGCATTGTCCATATCGCGTGCGATGGTCATTCTGAAATAAAAATAAATACAAATGGAAAATAAACTAAACAACGATATTTCAAAAGTATGTGCTCGAGGCAATGAACAAAAAAAATCAACATAAAAGCTAAGTATCATCAAGTATTATTACTCACGGGTCGTGATATTTCATGTTTGAAAAATACACGCTACTTTCACAACAAAAACGACTAGTATTGAACTGTTATAACCTTCTAAAAATCAATAAATCTATAAGTAAAAAAATTGAAAAAAAAAATTAAAAAACGAGAAGAAATAGCAAGGTATATGTGGTACATTGTCAACTTACTAGATCTTATAATATTTTCCGATTTCCATTACGGAGCTGATCATTTCATTTAATTATTTACACAGCAGCAGCAAGTATAGATAACAAGTGACATCGATGGCATCCATTCGCGTGAATGACCACACACCAGAAATGCAGAAATGATGAGTACTTAGGTACCTATCTACTTATACTTCCTACTAGAGAAAAATTGTACTAGCACCACCATCGCTCTAAGTAGTCGTCAGTTAGTCTCAGAGAGCGATGTGGACAATAATGGGGACATATGTGATGACACTGATGACGAACATGGACCATAATGGTCATGTAGTGTGAATTCTATGATTTTATCATTGTACTGTACCTACCTACTTATGCCTATTGTATATTTATATGCAGCAAGAAGAAGCAAGCAAAGTAACAAGTAAAATTGTTAGTGAAAACTGTACATAACAGCACATGCGTTGGCTTTATTAGTAAAATGTATGAAACGCATTATCCAAAATCAGATTTTAATAATTTATTTAAGAGTTTGATTTCAATTGAATGTATTAACTTTCATAACGGCTATGATCTAACTCGGAATTGCACTATTTTGTTGTCACGCAAAAGCAGAACACAAGAAAATAATTAACATTGGCTAAATAAACCTTTTTAGTGACCAACTAACGAACTGACCATTGAAGGCATTGACTAACTAAACAATTTTATCTTAACTTATACGCTCTTATATGTTTTACATACACGCACATACGTACAGTGAGTCAGTATAACTATAGACTCTATAATCTATAAGTTTACCCTCACCCTTACCCCTTACCCCTTACCCCTTACCCCTTACCGCAAAATACGGAACGGAAGCTCGGTCACGACATCTACATAAAAACGACGCACAAAAACAAGTATGAGTGCACGAAAGCGCGCGCAATAACAATAAGTTATTAAGTTGAAAATCAGACTCAGTATGTACAGCTTATAATTGTTACATCTTTACTTTTGGAGGTCAATTTTCGGGTAAAAGATAAATTGTATACTTGCCGCAAATAGCACCATCAATGTTAACTTTTTATCTTCTATCTATACGATATGTTGCGGCTGGTTTATAATTGATTAAATAGCTCTTGGCCCTAAAGCTCTGATTCAGAATTTTAGGAACTAGGAGCCACTCAGCCACTTAGCGCTTAGAGCCATTTGATTAATTATAAACCAGCCGCAACTTGTCTTCTAGCTATAAAATAAAAAAATAACGATACGTGTGTTTTTGGCGGCAAGTTAAAAATCTATCTTTTACTCAAAAATTTATCTTCAAAAGTATAAATACATAGGAGTTCGTTTTTTTTGGTAGAAAATAGATTGTTAACTTGCCGTCAAAAACACATATATCGTTATTTTTTTATTTCATATCCATGTGATTAGTTGCGGCTGGTTTATAATTGACTAAATGGCTCTAAGTCTGATTGCTCTGCTTCAGAATTTTAGGAGCCACTTTTCGCGAAAAAATGAAGACCGCTAGATGGCGCTGATCCGAACAATTAATACCACTTACGGTAGAGCCATGTAATTAGTTATAAACCAGCCGCAACTAATCTTTTTGGTAGAAGATGTAAAGTTAATAGTGTTTGTACTATTTGCGGCAATTAATTTTTGACTCGAAAATCGACCTCCAAAAGTAAAGATGTAACAATTATAAGCTGTACATATTATATACTTAAGTAAATGAAATAAAAACGGTCTGCTTTGCAACTTGTTGTTGTGCACGCTTTCGTGTACTCGTACCGCTCGTACGTGTCTTTGTGCACTCATAACTCATAACTCATATTTGTTTTTGTACGCGCTTATGCGTTTTTATGTAGATGTCGTGACCGGGCTTCCGTACAAAAACCCCCTAACACCAGGAACATAGAAACATTAAAACATTTGTACCATATAAAGCTATACTTATATATAGTTTAAGAACAAAACATATACAATTGAGAAAATTTGAGAGAGAGAGGAGAGCAGAAGGCAGAAAGAAAGATTGGTCTGCTGCTTTTGCGAGAAAAAATACATCGGCCTGCACCTTAACGGCTCCACGTGTAGGTATCCGTGCACATACTTATTTACTTACCTATCACCACTGTTAGCGAAGTCAAACAAAAAACAGAGAAAAAGACGCAAAATTGAAGTTTACTCATTCAGGTATATTCTCGCTTCTGTTCACTTAAATACATCACACACGTATAGCGTGGCAAACTTCCTCACTACCCGGGTTCATTTCGCAGACGATGGCGGATGCCGAGGTAAGTTCTTATCCAAAGACACGCTACTTGAAAACACTGCCCTGGATTTGATAACATGCCGGCTTTTTTTTTCTTCCTCCTTGCAGCTGACCAAAGCCTTGAAGGATCTGCCCAGTCGCGTGCAAACCGCCAGCAAAAACGAGCGCCGAAATATACTCCAGAATGTCGTCGACGTCCTGTCAAATCCCGGTCAGTATGCTTTTTTTTTGTTTTTTTTTTCTCTTCCTCATTCATCGGAGAAATGTCGACTGCCTGGGGTGTATTTTGTTCTCGCTGTTGCGTTATTTTATCGACACCGGTCTGACACTCTTTTTTCAACGCTATTATTATGTACCGACTTTTAGCGAAATAGCAACATTGTTGACTTGCCACGATAATATTTATGATTGAGCAAGGTGTCGTTACTATAACCGTTGTTTTCTTTAATTTGCCCTCTGTGTTACAGGCATCAATGAAAAAATCGTGGCAGGCATATGCAAGACCATATCGCTCACTCTGCATAGGTATGGCGACACAGCTTCACAGTCCTACGTAACAAATTTGATAGTGGCCCTGATCAAGCATCATCCTCAGGCCACTATCAAGCACCTGACTGCCGTTGTTTCCGAGCAAGCTGTTTGGCACAAAAATGTGATACCCACGTGAGTTGTGGAGAAGATTATTTGACGTATTTATTTCATTTAGGCACGAAAATTTGGTACTTTATTCTTTTGTTGTTTTAGGTACAACACTGCTGCGTCGGCATACATTGTACTTAAGTGGAGCTCATTGATTTTTCTTCATGGCAACAGTGAATTTGACAGCTCGGATAACAAATCGGATTTGTCAAAGTTGATAGAAGCTCAGGCTGTGTTGAGCGCAGCTGCATTAGCGGCCAGGGATAGGAAGCTCAAAAAAAAAGTGGAGTCACTTTTTACTTACGAATGGAATAAAGTCGAGAAAGATGTCGAGGAGAAATATGTGAATGTTTTGATTAACGCAGAGGCTAGCGAGGGTCTTGTTGCACTAGCGGGTCTGCTAACAACATACTTGATCGCGGCAAAAAAGAATGAATTGTCAGATAAGCTCAAAATCGGTATTTTAGATACATTTTTGAAAGTCTGCGTTAGCTGCAAGAAAAAACCAAATCTATACATCATAGATGCAGCCATACCATTTTTAAAGCAGATTTCTCACGACGATTTCAAAAATCAACTACTTCCCGCTCTGCAGAAGGCTATGCTAAGAAATCCGGAAATCATAATTGAAACTGTTGGTCACATCCTGAGCGGTCTCAGTCTAGACTTGAGCCGTTACAGTCAAGACATCAGTAAGGGATTATTTGCAAATTTACACTCCAAAGATGACTTAGTTAGGGAGGAAGCTACAGTTGCCTGCAGAAAATTAGCACTTCGGTGCTCTGAAAGTACGGCTGTTGAAGGATTACTATCAGCTATTTTTGCAGTGTTTAATGGCTCGGAAGGAAAACTTACCGTCGCAACCCACAAAATCTCCGTGTTACAGGGAGCTGGTAATCTAAGTTACAACGTTGTTGGCGCAGGTAGTTTGCACAGTTTGGCGGAAAGCGCTTGCAAGTATTTCATTGAAGTGTTGAGGACAGAAGTTCACGAGACAACGCTGTGCCACGCGCTGGAGATGATGTCCCTGTGGTGTGAAAAATTTGCCAATGACGTGCCCAAAAGCGTAATTGACGCTTTCAAGCAAGGAATGTCGTCGAAAAATGCAACACCCACGGTGCGCACGTCGTACATAAAATTGCTTTTTTCCGTGTCAACTCCACCCTTGGCCAGTCATTTTGAAATCATTGTCCCGATATTAGTTCAATCCATCACTAGAGCAACCACGCAAAGCGCCCAGCCACCCGTGGTTACTGAAGGCCTACATGCGGCTTTTTTACTCCTAAAGTTGATGTCGACCAACCAAGTTGGAAACGATAAACAAAGCGTCTTGTGGTCTGCCGTCGACGATCAAATATTTTTCTCCGAAAAGTTTCTGGCAACTTGCAACGACGACACCATCTACTACTTGATGTTGTTTTGTGAACATCTCATAACCGAATTCACGGATAAACTCAACGAAAAAACATTGAGCGGAATACATCGCGCAATTATCGTTTGTATAACAACGCCCAAGTATTCCATCAGGAATAAATGTTGTCCGCTAATGAAAAAAGTCTTAACGGGAATAAGTACATACGAGCCGATACAGTCACTTCTCGTAGAGTTTAATAAATTTCTCGACTCCACGAAATTCAAAGCAGAAAACGACAAGGAAGATGCCGTCAACGAGAAAGTTATCTGTGGAATCTCTCTGTCCGACGGTCTTTTGGCCATCTGTTCTGGTACATTCTTATTTGAGCAGCACGCGTACCATTTACTCAAGGATCTATTAATCCCAGCTCATCACCCTGTTATTTACAAAGCAATGCCAAACCTCTGGCTCAAGGCGCTCAAGCGCTTCTTCGATGGAACCCCGGCCAACTTTTTACGCAAGTCCAGTAGCGAGATTCGCAAGCTTTTCGTTCAAAACTACAAGCCCACCCTGAGCTACGAAAATGCCTTAGCTCGAGTAGCTTCGCTGGCTCCAGATGTAGTGCTTCCTACTTTAGTGTCGCATGTCACGGGTAAACTCGACGATCCTGAAATTACAAAAGTAACAAAGGACGAGTATTTCACGTATTTGACTCCTGAGGGTGAATTATACGACAAGAGCGTTATGCCGGGGATCGACGAGAACGATATCCTTAACGCGATGAACATGAAGCGCGAGAGCAAGGTGTACTCGTTCAAAGAGCAGCAGGAAGAATTACAGCTACGTCGGGAATTGTACGAGAAGCGTAAAAAGGAGGGTAAGATCAAGGAACCAAAGCTTACACCTAAGCAAGAGGAGGCTGTTAAAGCTCAATACACCAAGGAAAATGCGATAAGGCGTCGACTGACGGAATTAAATACCAACGTGATGAGTGTCGTATCAATGATCAAGGCTGCGACTCAAGGAAATGGTTTTCACCTGTCGTTCTATTTCAAAGATCTTTTACCCTCGATTCTGAAAAATTTGGCCTCACCACTGGCTGCTCCGATCGTGTCCCAGCTCTTTGTTGATCTCCGTAAAGCTGTCATTATTTCTAGCGACCCGATATTGGATCAGATGATCGCACACGTCACGCTCAGGCAATTCAATCCTCAGTGTGACTTGGATCCAGCTTGGCAAGAGGAAGACCTGCCAAAGGCTGTTAGACGCACCCTGAGTCTTATCCACTCGCTTACCGTGAAGAAAAAGGAACTGATGTGCGCTCCAGCATTCTGCTACTCGTTTAACTTTATCAAGAAGACTCTTCTGACCGCGAAAGATGAGAATGTTATGACTCAGGGTCTACAAATAATGCAAGATCATGCAAAACAACGCGGCGACTCGACTAATCCGGAGGACGCTCGTCATCCACGTTTGATGCCACGTAAACAACTGTTTGATCTGCTGATTGAGCTAATGAGCACGACAAGCGGCCGAGTGCAAGCTCACGCGGTTGCTACTCTTTTGGACGTGGCACACTCGGGTGATGGATCCGAAGGCGCAGCCTTGGCTACTTCGGATGAAATAGAGTCGCTCACTGGTGCCCTACAGTATCCAGTGAGTGCAGTAAGGGATGCAGCTCTTCGCGGTCTCATGGTCATCAAAAACTCCTTTCCCTCAAATAAAGAAGATCCGGCACAGCTACTTAATCTCACCAGGAGAATCTGGATAGCCAAGTTTGACGTGTGCGATGAGAATAAGGAACTAGCTGATCAACTGTGGACAGCCGCTGGTACGTATTCACACGTGCAACCAATTGTTTTCTTTACAAGTACACATATAAGACTCTACATTTTTTTTTACAGGTCTCACTGCAAATCCAGATGTTTTATGTGGTGAACTGTTGCAAGACGTTGCTCATCCAGTAGAGTGCGTGCAGCAATCCGCAGCCTGTGCTCTTGCCGAGCTACTGAAGCAAGATCCCAAACTTATGCCAAATATCTTGGACCAACTACTCTTACTCTATCAGACAAAACTGACCATGATTCCAGCTAAAGTCGATGACTTTGGTCGCGTTATCGAACAGCCCGTCGACACCTGGGGTCCACGTCGCGGCGTTGCCTTGGCTCTAGCTCAATTTGCTCCGCTCCTCCTGCCCAAATCCATACACACCCTCATTCAGTTTTACGTTAAAACGGGTTTGGGTGATCGCAACGAGGTCGTTCGCAACGAAATGTTCACGGCCGCGGTAGCTGCAGTAGATTTGCACGGTAAAGACAACATCGCCTCGTTGTTGCCTGTGTTTGAACAGTTTATGGATAAAGCACCCAAAACCGGCAGCTTTGACTGTATTAAGCAAAGTGTTGTTATTTTGATGGGATCGCTGGCCCGGCATCTTGATAAAGACGACCGGAGAATCAAACCGATCGTCACGAGATTGGTCGCCGCTCTGTCAACTCCGTCGCAACAAGTGCAAGAAGCCGTTGCTAATTGTCTACCACATCTAGTACCGTCCATCAAAGACGACACACCCAAAATCGTTGAAAAACTCATGCACCAATTGCTCAACTCGGAGAAATACGGTGATCGCAAGGGAGCTGCGTATGGTCTTGCTGGCCTTATCAAGGGCATGGGTATCTTGGCCCTGAAGCAACTGGACATTATGACGAAGCTCACCGAGGCAATTCAGGACAAGAAAAACTATCGGCACAGAGAAGGCGCTCTGTTCGCTTTCGAGATGCTGTGCACAATGCTTGGCAGACTGTTTGAACCATACATTGTTCACGTATTGCCGCATCTTTTGCTGTGCTTTGGCGATTCTAGCCAATACGTCAGAGCAGCAACGGACGATACGGCAAAAGTTGTTATGAGCAAGTTATCGGCCCACGGTGTCAAGCTTGTGCTGCCTAGTCTTCTTGCCGCTCTGGAGGAGGATTCGTGGAGAACGAAAACAGGTTTGTTGGATTACTTTGACTTCGTTCTCGCAGTCTAAAATTAAATATACTTAACATTGAAATGTATGTAGGTTCCGTTGAGCTTCTCGGTGCAATGGCATACTGTGCACCCAAACAATTATCCAGCTGCTTGCCGAGCATCGTACCGAAACTCATCGAGGTCCTCAGCGATTCTCACACGAAAGTACAAGAAGCCGGTGCCGAAGCTCTCAAAGTCATTGGCAGCGTCATTCGCAATCCTGAAATCCAGGCTATCGTGCCTGTTCTCCTCAAGGCTCTTCAAGATCCATCGAAAAAGACGGCCACGTGCTTACAAACTCTACTCGACACGCAATTCGTTCACTTTATTGATGCCCCATCGCTCGCCTTAATCATGCCTGTCGTACAGCGTGCTTTCATGGACAGATCGACCGAGACGAGAAAGATGGCGGCGCAGATTATCGGAAATATGTACTCCTTAACTGACCAAAAGGATCTCACACCCTACTTGCCGACCATCATACCAGGCCTGAAGATGAGCTTACTCGATCCCGTGCCAGAGGTAAGTAAGCATTGATTTTTCACTAAAATCATCTCACCGAGAACTCATGATTGTGAATTTTCTTAGGTGCGCAGCGTGTCTGCCCGAGCATTGGGCGCAATGGTACGAGGCATGGGAGAAACGAGCTTCGAGGATCTCCTGCCTTGGCTCATGATAACGCTTACGTCCGAGACCAGCAGTGTCGATCGCTCGGGTGCGGCTCAAGGTCTCTCGGAAGTGGTACGCGGCTTAGGCGTAGAAAAACTGCACAAACTAATGCCCGAGATCATTAGTACAGCTGAGCGTACGGACATTGCCCCACACGTCAAGGATGGTTACATCATGATGTTTATTTACATGCCGAGCGCCTTCACCACTGAATTCACACCTTACATCGGTCAGATCATCAATCCCATTCTAAAAGCCCTGGCTGATGAAAACGAATACGTGAGAGAAACGGCTCTCAGAGCCGGCGAGAGGATCGTCACTTTGTACGCCGATTCGGCGATTATGCTGTTGCTGCCCGAATTGGAGAAGGGGCTGTTTGATGACAACTGGCGTATCAGGTATTCATCGGTGCGGCTTTTGGGTGATCTCCTTTATAGAATCTCGGGGGTGTCGGGTAAAATGTCGACGGAGACGGCGAGTGAAGACGACAACTTTGGTACCGAGCAGTCGCACTATGCCATAATAAAGTCTCTCGGTGCCGAGAGGCGCAACCGTGTGCTGGCTGGTCTGTACATGGGCAGGTCAGACGTGGCTCTGATGGTACGTCAAGCTGCTCTCCACGTCTGGAAAGTCGTTGTAACGAATACTCCCAGAACTCTGAGGGAAATCCTGCCAACTTTGTTCAGTCTGTTGCTGGGCTGTCTAGCAAGTACGAGCTTTGACAAGAGACAAGTGGCCGCTCGAACGCTTGGTGATCTCGTGCGCAAGCTAGGCGAGAGAGTACTCCCCGAGATCATACCCATTTTGGAGAGGGGCCTACAAAGCGAGCAGGCTGACCAGAGACAGGGAGTCTGTATCGGTTTGTCCGAAATCATGGCCAGCACCAGCAAAGACATGGTTCTGTCGTTCGTCAACAGTCTCGTTCCCACTGTCAGAAAAGCTCTCTGCGATCCTCTGCCTGAAGTACGTCAAGCTGCAGCCAAGACCTTTGACAGCCTGCACTCGACAGTCGGAGTCCGTGCGCTGGACGACATTCTCCCAGCTATGTTGAATCAGCTCAACTCCTCGGATGAGGCCGAGGCCGAGAATACCCTGGATGGTCTTCGTCAGGTCATGGCCATCAAATCGCGAGTTGTCCTGCCCTACCTTGTCCCGCAGCTCACCAGTCAACCCGTCAACACTAAGGCTCTGTCCATCCTTGCGAGCGTAGCTGGCGAGGCTCTTACGAGGTTCCTGCACAAAATTCTGCCTGCTCTGCTCACTGCCCTCTCAACGGCTCAAGGTACGCCCGATGAGATGCAAGAACTGGAATATTGCCAAGCCGTGGTGTTGTCCATCACAGACGAGGTTGGTGTCCGAACTGTCATGGACCAACTGATGGAGGCCACACGTTCCGAGGACCCCTCCAGGCGTAGAAGCGCCGCTACACTACTGTGTGCGTTCTGCAGAGACACCAGAGCTGATTACAGTCAATACGTGCCGCAACTGCTGCGCGGACTCATTCATTTGTTCACCGACGACGACAAGGACGTGCTGCAAATGAGCTGGGAAGCCTTGACCGCTGTCACCAAAACTCTTAATTCGGATCAACAGATCGCTCACGTGCAAGACATTCGTCAAGCTGTGCGATTCGCAGCATCCGACCTCAAGGGTCAGGAGCTCCTGTCTGGCTTTTGCTTGCAAAAGGGCATCACTCCCATCCTGCCCATCTTCCGCGAAGCTATACTCAACGGTATGCCAGAGGCTAAAGAACAAGCGGCTCAGGGTCTCGGGGAAGTTATTCAACTAACTAGTGCCACTGCGCTGCAGCCGAGCGTCGTTCACATAACCGGACCTCTGATTCGTATTTTGGGAGACAGGTTCAACTGGAGCGTGAAGGCTGCTGTACTCGAAACTTTGGCCATCTTACTTGGCAAGGTACGTTAAACAAATGCCATATTCGTTGCGTTACAATTTCGTGATAAACATTTGTTGGATCAGGTCAAAGTTATGCTGAAACAATTCTTACCACAACTGCAAACTACATTTTTGAAAGCACTGAACGACAGCAATAGGCAAGTCAGGCTCAAAGCTGCGTACGCTTTGAGTAATCTCATCGTCATTCATACGCGCGCTGATCCACTGTTCGCTGAACTGCATACCGGCATCAAAAGTGCCGATGATCCATCCATCAGGTAATATACTTTTATCTTTATAACTTTCATTGAAGCAAAAAAATTTTCTAGTGACTTTCAGAAATTGAAAACATTTTTTTTTTCTTCCAGGGAAACTATGTTACATGCCTTGAGAGGTGTGATAACCCCAGCTGGAGATAAAATGAGTGAACCCATGAGAAAGCAAATATTTGTGACTTTGAGTGGAATGCTTGGACACCAAGAGGACATTACAAGAAATGCCGTAGCAGGATGTTACGGGGCTCTTGTTAAATATTTGAATCCCGACCAACTTAACAGCTCTTTTAATGAGCATCTATTCTGTGAGTTTTTTTTTTTTTTTTTTTTTTTTTTTTTTTTTTTTTTTTTTTTTTTTTTTTTTTTTTTTAATTAAAAGGTATTATTTACTGGAGTTTCATGAAAATCATATTTTTTGCAGCTACCAATGTCAACGACGACTGGATGCTGAGGCATGGTCGATCAGCTGCCCTGTTTGTGGCTTTGAAAGAAGCTCCAGCAGTTGTTTACAATGATAAGGATAAGGATCGTGTGTGCAAAGTATTATTGTCACACTTGGCGGCTGATAAAGTTCAAATAGCCATGAATGGTGTGCGCGCTTGTGGTTACTTGTTCCAATACCTTATGAACAATAATTTACCAGCCCCTCAAGTCATTGTGTCGCCTTTTGTTAGGGTAAGCAAAGTTAACGAGACAATCATTACACAATTTATATTATTAATAATTGAAAATTTACTCATTTTACTTTGTACATTACAGTCCATGAACAACAATAGTAACGAAGTTAAGCAACTTCTTGCTCGTACGTGTACTTACCTTGCGAGAAATGTCACACCGGAACACATGTCACCTGAGTTACTAAAAGCATTGCTACCAATGCTAGTCAATGGGACTAAAGAGAAAAATGGTTATGTGAAGGCGAATAGTGAATTGGCTCTTATTGCTGTTTTACGTTTGAGAACTGGAGACGAGGAACACCAGGTAATTATTACTTTTCGTGACATATTCGACAAGCAATGTGGCCTCTTTTTTCTTATACCGTTAAATACTGAATTTAACGTTTTTAATGATTTCAGCGATGCATGAGCTTGTTAGATGTTGGTGCAAAAGAATCTTTGTCAGACGTCGTCAGTAAAGTTCTGCGCAAGGTCTTATCACAGCCCGAGGGCAAGATCGAAGAGCTGGACGATACACTGCTTACGTGAGAGATGCTGTATTGTCAAGACTTTATTGTTCATAATTTTCGTTCCTACTTTAGTCGAGTAGTCTTCAGCACATTTCATCGCTGGAAGTGTCGCTTGCTACGAATTAGAACAAACGAAAGAGTCAAAGACGAGGACCAGACGAACAGCAACTCCAACAGTGACAATGACTGTAACGACAATGTCACGAATTTTCTAGTTAAAAATTTTTTTAGGAATTCTACGATAGACGTTAAAGTACTCACACCGCCAATTAGATAATATCGTCGGTTGCTTTGTTCATTCTCAATAGTTAGATAATAAAGACTGTAATTCATTCGTGGTAAAAGAGAGAGAAAGAGTCAGAGAACGAGAGAAAATACAATCAAGTATGTTGGATGAGTATGTGATGAATTTGCGCGAGTTATGATGCAATCTAGTCGGTCAATGCAACTGTCTCTCACTTCGATGAGTCGCAGCAGTAGCAGAGCAAAAGTGTTGGGGCCGCTCGATCAAGAGTAGTTGGCTGAGGTTCTTTTTCTATTAAATCGTTGTTTCCTTATTGTGCATTTTTTAAAACTGACGTAAGTGATACGAAACAAAAAAAATATTAATTATGGTATCATAGGCATGTGCCGTGGTACAATTATTTGATATCGATGAGAGTCAAGTAAACTGATGTTTTTACCCATATGCTACTCTCGAAGCACTTTTTCTCGATAATTGCATTTAGAAAGAAAAAAAAATGAACACAATCGTTATACAGCAAATGAATCATTAATGCATTAACTTAAGTTTTTATATCATTTTAATTTACCATTTTTTTTTAACTTGGCAGACAATGTTTTAACATAACAGCGAAAAGGGATACTAATTAATAAGTAATGCTCTATTTCCGTTTGTTTGTTTGTTTGTTTTTTTTTTTTTTTTTTTTATGATCAATTGTATATATTTGTATTGATAAAAACTACACATCCACTCGATCACCGCCCGCCGATAAAAAAAAAAATTATTACGTATAACGCTGTATAACGAGTGATTTATGAAAAAAAGTGAGTAAAACTATAAGTGAAACGTATTAAATTTATCATGATGCCGACTGGCGCTTGAAAAAAAAAAAAAAAAAAAAAAAAACCTAAGTATAATGTATTTGAGATAACTTTTACGAGATTTATCTGTTAATTTCTGTACTTTGTTTAAATGCTATTAAAAATCATAGCTACTACGAAAATCCAAAGTGCCATTTTCATTCACCCATGCCCACAAGTGCGTGTATCATCCGAAATATAAACAAGATTTTATGAACCTGCATTTAAAAAAAAAATCACCAAAGATATTGAATTATTTTTTATTAGTAACCTCCGTGCCTATAAATCTCTCCATCGTTTTCGAAACATTTTTCTCAATAAACAAACGAATCTTCTTTTTTCGTACCAACGACTGAACTCCGCTTGCAAAGCAAAGAACGAAGTATACCCGACCCTCAATCTCCAAAATGACAAAAAAATAAGGGGTACAACGGCATCCAACCACCGTAACGATCGAAAAAGCAATTGAACAAACATCGCCACAGCAGTAAAGACGACAGCGTTTGGATACCCGTAGTGTCGAGAGAGGAAGCCGCAGAAAAAACTCGGTCCGACGAAGCACAATCAGCGCGTGTAAGAATGAAAAAAAAAAAAAAAAAAAAAAAATTGCACGAGGAAGCGCGCAGCTGTTTCCAGTAGCTATACTCTCCGCTGGTGTAGAAAGTTCAAAGGCGATCCTCCGGGGTGGCCGCTTGTACGTCCCGATCCTTTCCGGGAAGCCTCCGCGCGTAGTAAAACGTTTTACGTCCTCTACGTGATCGAAGCATGGAATGGAAGTTTTGCCAATCAATGATGGGAGCTCTTTTGGGAAAGGTAACTGTTGCGAATGTTTTTTGCGGATATCACTATTTGTAAGCCTAAGAAAAAAAAAACAAAACCGTGAAAATTTACGAATGACAAAAGTCAATAGTTTTTGCCCAAGAAAAGTCGTGTCGGTTATTTCAATACTTATCAAAAAATTGATACAAGTGATTTTTACGGTACTTCAATCGGTTAATTAAAACAACTATTAACAACAGGCTGCTAAATTTATGCAAAACTTTAGGTCTTGCATTTAAGGCGTGACCAATCGAAGGTTTGCAGAAAGTATAATGTAGGATTTTAGTTTTACAAATCAATTTGTCCGCCATTTCAAAACGATTTTGTTGTATCTTGTGTCGGATGGCATTAAAGACTTGAACGCCAAACAAATAAATCTATTTTAATAAGATCTGTACGTTTTATACTAAAAATTTCAGTAAATGACACGTTAGAAATGTATATGCTATAAAACGATTGTTTGAGTATTTTTAAACGATTCATTTGTTTGAAGTGTAGAGATGACAATAGTAACAAAAATGATGTAATGTGTAATTAGATTTTTACCATTTGTAGTGTTAAGACAGCATCATAGAGAGATACTTTCTATACAAAAAAGTTTCTTTTTAATGAGCTTCACAACTTTTTTATTCAACACTTTGTTGTTCAATTCGAATTTCTTCCATTGGCGTGTAAAAAGCGATTTTTTTCGCTGTTTTCACATTTATTTTGCATTACGCGACAGAGTAAAATGTGTGATACAAATAAAGTTGTATTAAAACTTAGAGCCAAACACTTGTTTTTAAAATCTTATAGTGCTTCAGTAAAAATGCTACCAAAATTTTTCTTTCCCATAAAAACTGACCGAACGGAATACATGAGCTTTGACATTGAACTTGAAGTTATCAACAAAAATTGAATCCATTTGGATAAAAATGACTCGAGTTAGTGGAAAAACTTGATAAACGTAAACACTGTGTGACTAACTCAGATCACCATCATACATAAGGTAATTTAAAAAAATGGCTATTCCCTAGTAAAATGATCGAAACGATTTAAAAAAAAAAAAAATTGTTGACTTTAAAATCCTCGGTATTGGGGGGAGTCGCAAAAAACGAAAAGACTACTCTCGTGTCTCCTCCCCAATGTAAAAACTCTTGCGCGATTGAAACCCCATAATCCATGGGAGGGACTTTTCAAAAAAAAAAAAAAAAAAAAAAAAAAAAAAAAAAAAAAAAAAAAAAAAAAAGGAAAGTGACGATCGGTAAAAACATTGGCCACGATCGTTCGAAAACGTCGTGTTCACCCTCTCGTCATCAATCCTACTCGCTTTATCAGCGAGAAAAATCCCAGAAGAGGGGACACACGGTATCAACCAGACTTCCTGCCAGGGCATCGTCACGCAGACAGAAGCCCTCCTCCTCCTCCTGTAGACTGAGATAAACAGAGAGCGATAAAACAAAAAGCTATGCCCAAGAATGTACGTATACATACACACGGATCATCCTTTTGGCTCTTTTAAAAAAAAACACGCCATCAGTAGCATATATGTGTATAGGTATATACATTTATATGCGTTCCACTGGCGTTGCAAGGGTGCACGAAAAGGGGTTGTGTGTGACGCATCAGCCGTGGCCTTGTCTCTTCAAGACAGTGTATAGGCTCCCCACAAAGTGTACCCTCGTGTGCGACAAGCTGCTCTCCTTGTACCTCGAGCTCTTGACTCTCTCGAAAGGATATGTTATACAGCCGAGAACTCTGGTATATACAGAGACAAATAAACCAACTGCACGTATACTCGACGCTTTTAAACAAAAGATACGTGTGGTCGTCCACCCTGTTTATTTATTATCTCCTCCTTGTTTCCTTCTCTCTCGCTACCCGCTATACTATAATATGTAATACGCGTGCTTTACTGATTTATTTATTTATTTATTTACCCCCTATTTTTTTTTTTTTTTTTTTTTTCGTACGTTCGTTCCGTAAAGCACGTGAAAACTCGGGAGGTCCTGGGACGGCTGTTTTGATAAGTGCGTCGAATTTGAGACACCTTTTACGAGATTTATCTGTTAATTTCTGTACTTTGTTTAAATGCTATTAAAAATCATAGCTACTACGAAAATCCAAAGTGCCATTTTCATTCACCCATGCCCACAAGTGCGTGTATCATCCGAAATATAAACAAGATTTTATGAACCTGCATTTAAAAANTTTTTTTTTTTTTTTTTTTTTTCGTACGTTCGTTCCGTAAAGCACGTGAAAACTCGGGAGGTCCTGGGACGGCTGTTTTGATAAGTGCGTCGAAACCAAGTCGCGCCTCATGTATATACATACATGAGTATACAGGCGCGTCATCTTTTGTGAGCACGTGTCTGTGATATGTGATATATATGTATAGTGCACCTACCCCGCGTCCCATTTTTTTTTTCCCTCCGTCTCTCGCGCCGTCGGGGGAGGAAGAGATAATCCGTCCCTTCTAAAATACTCACACTGCCTCCGATGTGTGTATTTTTTACTTTCTAAATACCGACCTTTTTTTCTCCTCCACCCGTTTTGAGAGATGCGCGGCTGCTGCTGCCGGTGTATGATAATGTGCAGTGGCAGCCTTAAACGACGGCAATTAGTGCAGAAGAAGAAGAAGAAGAAGGTTCATTCGTCGACCGAGAGCTGTGCAGCGCGGGTGACTTTGTTTTTTCAAGTGCCCCCCCCCCCTCCCTCTCGCAGGCACATCCAGGTATGGGTGGAAAAGACGGCAAAGTCCAAAGGAAACAAAAAAGCAAGACAAAATATAAGTATACGAATCCAAGAGAGAGAGAGAGAGAGAAAGAGAGTGACGATTTCGTTGTAAGCGGTTGGTATATAGGTATAACCGCGCGTCGCGATCGGCAATATACATCAAGCGGAGGACGATGAGCCACGAGCGTGGGCGATCTTTACGATCCGCTTCCTGTCACGCGAACCGCGTTTGCGTGCGTGAGCTCGTTGATGCCGGCCCTCCGTTTGTACCACCCCCTCCCTCCTGTACTTATATCATTATTAACACCGTCGATGTGTATATTGGCGCGACTCTTGCACACGCGTCGGCGAGATTTTCTGACACGCTCTCGTCCGCATTTCGTGATTGTACAAGTACTCCTTTTTTTTTTTTTTTTTTTTTTTTCAAGTGCATAATGCAGTACAACGTGGGCCCGGTTAATTACGTAAATCGGGAAGTTACTTGTTTATGTAGCTCATTTTTTTTCACGTGCGGCGTCTTCTTCCGTTTTGTCGGGCTACTATTACTTTATATACTCATCTGCATTCGAGTGTCAAACGTTACAGTCCAGATTAGTTCTTTCAATTATAACGTACTGTTGTTTCGTGATTTTATGGCTATACAATTCGCGTGTTTTCGTTTTTTTTTTCTACCGTCATTGTGCAGTTGTTTATAAATAATCCAGCAATTTGTTTGAAATATAGAAGAGCTCGACGTGGGACTCACAATTTTTTAAGAACATGTTTTTTGTTTAACAACATTAGCAAAGAACCCTACGTATGGATAAATAAATAAATAAATTTTACAAGGACTACCTTCATTTCGAGAATAATAATTATTGGATTATTACACACGTATTATTTTTTTTGTGTAACTAAACGACACAACGAAATCGTTCGAGTCCAACAACATACGAGAAGTACACATTTTAAAAACTGTGTTTTTCATATTGACAGCTATCTAAAAATAACGCAGCCCTTCGGAAAATAGTATACAAATAGTTCGTTGTATATTATTATTATTTGATAAAAATCATAACAAAATAAATAAACAAATGAATGAACTGACGAAAAAATAGACAGTGATATCTATACAGGAGGCCACAACTACGTTTTTGGTACATGTTTTTTTTTTATGAAATAAAGTCTATTGTTGAAATTTTGGTGCAAACCCTGTACATGCGTGTACGTGGCAAATACCTGATAAAAAGCAATTGTAGAAAAATTTTGCAAGTACAATGGATTATCGGTTAGAAACGTATTTGTTGAACAAACCTGTCGCGTTGTAGGTACATACGACGCATTTTACAACTCGAGAAACAATATACAATCATATAATATAATGTATACCTATGGGGGTACTCCATCGCCGGGAACCGTCGAGCCGGCTGTTATTCGACAAGGCTCAGCCAATGGGGCCGAAAGGGGCGGGATCAACTCCCCGCGTGACCAGTGGAAACGAAGCAACAAGGGACCTTTTTGGCTTTTATTTCTATTTTTTTTTCTTTTTCTCTCTCTTTTTCACCGCCACTCCGGACGTCCCGAGCATGTTTCAACTTCCAACCAAAGCGGGCTCTTCTCTCTCTCGTGTACAACATTATACGGTATACCTAGACCTACTCTCTTTCCAACGCGCGTGCCATCGTTTTCCGTCACATTTTGTGTGGCCAGTGCAGCTCGAGAGCCCCCACGAGTCAGACATGAAGGAGCGTCGCGCCGATTTTTGCGATTTTTAACGAAAATCGGTATCGTCCATCGTTATCGTTGTGCTCGACGCTGGTACCATCACCCCGTTGTTGTTCGTTAAGTGCTGATTGCCGCTAACACTTTGTTTTTCAAGTGATTGCGTACACATATAAAACACACTCTGCCAGTGGAAAAAAAAAGAGGCGCAATAATGGACTACTTGAATATGATGGCCTTCCCGTACATCAAGGAGCACCAATACCTCGCGGAGCCTTACCGATTTTTGACTCCCTATTCCGGACGTAAGTATACATCTTAATTTTTTTAATACATTATTTTATAATTTTGTTGTTAAGAGTCAATGCGCTGTTAATTTATACGCACGGGTGTATTACATATATGATTTATAAAAATATTTCAGTCATCAGTTCCGTGTAAACGAAGCTGATAAATATAGCTTTTACCGCGTGACAATTCCCTTTATAATTTGTATTTTTAATGAATTGATATAATCTACCTCACTATGTACCTATACTATAATATATGTTGTACGAGCATCGAAAACATATTTTTCTATCAGATCCTTATTGTATAAAACCTTATTTTCACCTCACTCCCGTAGTATAAATTACATTATATTGCCAGTGCCGTTGCAATTAAATTTCCACCTCTCCACATGGATAAAAATTGTCTCGCACGATTTTTCCTTTTTCGGCTCCACCAATGTTGAAAAAAATAATAAAGTCAATTCTTGCACACCATTAGAAAAAAAAAGGTACAGAGGAAACGAGCGAGTCCTCCCTCTAATTACCGCGAGCGTTGCCCAACGGGGGCACCCCACTTATTTCATCATCACCTCATCAACCGATCTCCTTCGGTGGTAACGAAGCCCCTCGTTGTTTTTTTTTTTTTTTTTTTTTTTTTTTTTTTTTTTTTTTTCATTCCCAACCGATCTTCCGCTAATTTCGTTTCTTCCCCTTTCTCTGCAAAGACACCATTTTTACGATCGACTTATATTTATGTAGTAGCTTGTACGCGGCCAACTGCTGGACGCGAGGGCGCGTTATAAAAAGAAACCAAGCGGCCCTTGTTATTAGCGGTACATAGGTACTGACAGATGCGCGCAATAAAGGTTGTAAAATCGGTATAACTAGTTTGGCTTTTTACATAGCAAAATCGGAAAAACTCTCCATCTAAAGTTATACATTAACGAGTCAGAAGTTCACGCGTGAGTTAATATTTATGTATACCTATACGTATGCGAGAGGGAAAAATCTATAAAGGAGAACTCTCTCTCTCTCGATGCTTATCTCCGACTTGTTCTTTTTTTTTTTTTTTTTCGGTCCTTTTTCCCTCAAAGGTATACAAAGATCGTGGCGACAAGGCGCCTCGCACTTCTTTTTAGCCCTCGTGTTCTCACCGAAGCGCCACCAGCTTCTCTTTCTTTCTTCCTTCATTAAATAATGTAGTGTGCGTGTGTATAGGCCAGTGACGGAAAAATCGGTAGGCGAACAGGTCGTTTCCGACGGCTTTTCTTTGCCCTCCCCCTTGATTCTTCGGCGGAGATAATAACACACAGCAGCCAAACACACACTCGGGTAAACTTAACACGCGCGGGATTATACTTATACGCCACTACTGTTTGAATCTCCCGTTAGCGGCTTCTGGTCGGCGGTGCCCCTTTGAATCGGCACCGATGATCTGCGTCACGTCGCGCGTGCATATACCTGCATACGTATACATACGTGCGAGCGCCGCGGACAAACATCTTCGAGATAACGCATCATATTTTGTTATATTGTAACTGCACGAGCCCACTTGTGTTCGTATTCGTGAATGCGCGTGTACACCACCTCTCGGATGAATCCGACCTGTTTAAAATCTCGGGCACGAAATACAGCGATTTTGTATACGCCCCCTCGAAGGACGGAGTTTTACGAGTTGCGGTTTCCGCGGTAGCTCGAAATTTTTGTCTCTTCCTTCCCGGAGGCTTTTGTTCGGCATCCGATGACTTTGTACCTCCACCCAAACGAGGACTGAATTTCTTTGTTTGTTTCTCCTCTGGTATAGCCTGTAATAACGTAACGAGCCACTGTTTGCCAACATCCGGGGAGCCTTTTTTTTTTTTTTTTTTTTTTTTTTTTTTTCTCATTATTGTTACTTCACTGTGCACTGGCCATCATTATTATTTTTTTACATTTTCGGCGAAAAAATAAGAACTAACGTTATTTACAGTTTTTTTTTTCTTCTTTTTTATTTGTCGACAGAAATCATGTTTGCTTAATAAAACACATGCTTTTTTTTTTTTTAAATCAAGTTTTAGTGATATGCAATTAAATTTTTTTTTNCCCCTCGCCCTTTTTTTTTTTTTTTTTTTTCCTTTCTTACCGATTTTTTCGTTTTTTTCTATTATCGATGCTGCGTTTTCTTTACGGAGAAAAGCTGTTTTACCATACTCCAAGCATGTCGAAGGTTTTAAAATAGAATCGGTAATACAATATCTAATAATGGACGATTGTATTAATTGCCCCCTCGTCGCACATTTATTAATAGGGGAGCTTTTGATTGCCCGCGATCATATTAATCAATCGATGAGAAAAAAAAAAACAAAGAGTCACGAGAGCTACACACGTAAAGATAAAAGCCAAGAATCGTTGAAGCGAGATATAGCGAAAAAAAAAAAAGAAAAAAGTGAACGTATAGACGAAAGAGGTATATTTGATCTATTGGGAATCGCGGTATGGCAAAAAGGAAAAGAAAAAAAAAAAAAAAAAAATTGCCATATAGACGAAAGAGGTATATTTGATCTATTGGGAATCGCGGTATGGCAAAAAGGAAAAGAAAAAAAAAAAAAAAAAAATTTGCCGACCTCACAGAAAGAGAGAGACCGGCGCTTATAATATGGATGGATTTGAAGCCACTCAGCGCCGGCCAACGTCCACATATGCATGTACACCCGTAAACACGACCATAAGTGTATATAGGTGTACATATATATATAATACACCTATATACGTATACAGATGCCAAAGATGAAAGGGAACCGCCGTATACTCGTTATCTACTGGCCGTGAAGTGAAGAAAAAAAAAAAAAAAAAAAAAAAGAGGACTTGTGTATATACGCGTACCTATTGCACGCACACACATTATATGCATAGACCTGTATTATGGAAAAAGAAAGAAAAAGAGGACGACGCCAGGATGATCTCACCTCTTGGCACTTGAAGCTCTCTCTCTCTCTCTCTCTCTTCGCCATTTATACTTCAAACGGCCCCGAAAAATAAAAGAGGAGACTGTCTCTTTGGGGGGTCGGGGGGGGGGGTGCTCAATTATGTGCATCTCGAGACATCTTGTGGAAGTGAAAAGTATATATACAGGGAGAGGTGCAGTATATATAAGTATATATACACAAGGAGCACACTTTTACGGCCATCGGGTCTGTAACCCCGCGTACAGGTATATACGTATATACAGTCGCCACTGCCGCCACCGCCGCTGGTTAATCCGCCATCGACACCTCGACACCCCTGCTGAGTTACGGCTATACGTATTGTCCACATCCAAAGGGATGAGGAAGTACACGCGTATATATAACAGCTTGACGGAGGCGGGAAGATGTAATAAAGGAAAGTCGACGATGCGGAGGCGACGGCCGCCGAGCCGATAATACGCCCTGGCGTCGCATCATCGACATTGTATTACCCTGTGTATATATATATTATACTTTGCATTGTAACGGCGCTAACAAGTGTATATATATATATTTATATATATATAGGTACACTGCATTTACCTTAGTTTTGGGGATTCTCGTCACCCCTACATGTGTATAATATATGTACCTATAATACACCCCCCCCCCTCACCCAACCCCCGGACGGAGCTTCCCTTTGGTCGTAGTCGGCTGTGCAAGGGTATAATGTACCTTCGCCGAGCTCTCGTTGACTCTGGTGTTTTTCCCCCCCCCCCCCTTTTTTACGCGCTCGACTTGATTTTCTAGACTCAATAGCCACTACAATAAGTAAAAAATTATTTAAAAAATAATCCCTCTCGTGCATGGTTTTTACCTCGATGCTTGATTTTTATTCATATGTGAGAGGAGATATGTTATAACGATTTCAGCCGTAAATGTTTAACGGAGAGTTAAGGGCTTTGACGAGTTAGGGACAGTACAAGTGTGAAAATCAGGTGATTTTGATTTCACGCCAACACATTTTCTAATTCACAAAGTACAAGGCACCCCTTCTTGTTCGCATGGCATTAAATATATATATCCCAAGCAAACCCGATATCCTAATGATTATACGCCAAAATAATGTACACTGTGTACCCACACCTATAAATTAACGTATATCGTATAAGCGTATGACGAAGCAAGTGTAAAAAGAGTCAGTACTTAATGGTAACGTTCCGTTGTTTTTAATTGTTTCAGATCCGTTTTACGTGTCGGACACCTACTCGAGTCTTCCCTGTCCCCACGGGGACCGCCACCTCCGCGGCATAAGCATGGAACTGTCGAATCGCGACCTGTGGCGGCAATTCAAGAACCAAGAGACCGAAATGATCATCACGAAAAGCGGAAGGTGAGGCTTTCCAATGATTATATACGTTAGGCAAATTAACGCAAATGAGTAATATACATATAATATATGTATGTATACATATAATTGACAAGCCAAACTACCCTCGCAACCTCATGGTCCCATTCTATGCGTGGGTGTGTACCGTAATCTTGGAATCTCAAAGCCCACGAGGTACCATAATCTCGTGATCACCGGCTCGTGTGAGCATTATTATACACGTACGACATCATATATACGTGCAAGGTCGAAAGAGAAAAGAAAGAAGAAGATGATACAGACGCATAGAAAGACGGAGAGAGGGGTTGGGGGATGAGTCCCAAAGGGAGCGGTAAGCGATACACTGGCCCATTAATCCATACTCGGCTGACTGCTGCTACTTTTCATGCTCGAGAACACGTGTAGACGGTACACCTATGTAATATCCCCTGTATATCTATCCTATATGTACTTGAGTGTAGTGCACGGGGCTTTACGTATATATATATACACATGCGAGTTCTGCGCGACAAGTGTCGGCTGTCGCCACCGCGTCCTGTTTTTAAACGCGTCGTCTCTCGACTCGATGCCCCTGCATTGTCGAGCTCCTGCCGATGCTGCAGCGGACCCAAACAGGGACATCCCTAAGTACATATACATATTATGCACACGAGCGCGCGGGGGAAGTGCAGCTTTCTTGTTCACCCTGACGGGGATGCGATGCGACAGGAGGACCCGTGAAGGATCCCTCTGTGTACTTTGAGAGGACACCGCTTTGCCTTTTTTTTTTTTTTTTTCTCACGAGGACGCTCCTCCTCTGTCTCCTTGCCCCACGTTTACACGCATCTTTTTTTTTTTCCTTTTTTCAAGGGTGTACACACTAGACCCAACGCGCCGCGAAAGACTTTTTTTTTCATTCTCAACTTTGCCGATGCACGTCTCGTACTATCTCTCTTTCGATCCCCGCGGGCTTTGTTTCAACCACCTAATATCGTGGGACGGAGCCAGCCGCGGGGGTATTTATATATATTATATAGGAGAGACAGAAGGAGAACGAAACACGCGTTTTCATCAAAGGAGGGGGTGGGGGCAAGCGAGTGTCGAGAGAGAATCTCCTGGCGATCGAGCGGAGGGCTCCTCCTAAGATCGTGTGCGCACGACACCGCGTCGCCAGGAGAGAAAAATAAAAACACCGCCCAGCCAAAACGATGAGCGAAAGGCAGATGGAGAGAAAGAGGTGAAACAAAAAGTCGAGCGCCACACGCGCATGTACCTACATAGAATAATAATAATAATAATATATTATAACCATGTATAGCACGGGACACGTATGTATATATGTAACGATGTAACGTGTGTATAGATAAATGCGCGCATCTGTATGCATATATATAATACATTGTATACATGATCATGAGCGTGTGCGCCATATAATGATGAGGAGAGAAAGGATCGAGAGAAGAAGAGGGTATTGGTTATTGGGGGGCCCGAAAAATAAGGAGGGGTCCCACGCGCACAGGGGGTCCGTCTCCTCGCACTCTCTCGTAAGTATATATATAGGTAGGTGCGTGCGTGTGGAACAGGCGCGACGCCGGCCGACCGGGCGCCCATCCGACCACTTTTCTTTGTGCCGCCACCGACGTCGTGTAGTCGTCATCCCTTTCTCCTCCTCCTCCTCTCCTTATTCTACTTGACCTCTTCCCTCTCTCGCCCCTTTTCCCCAATATACCCATATTTTCCACGTGCACACGTATAAATATACATGTCGATGTACATCCCTTCGCGCACACCAGCATCCTTCATCATCTCATCTCCGGCGCACCTGTGCGTTATTACATATGGGAAGCAGCGGTCTGTACCCTCTGCGACAAAAGATCCGAGGCTCGGATAAGAGCGCGTTTATATATATAATACATTATGCAGAGAAGCCCCGAACGCCCAGCCTGTATGTGTATATATACACGTAGAAAGCTACACCCGACGACTTATGATTTCACGACTAATTAACGAACAGTAAATTTTCCTTTGGTAGCTCCGAGTATATGGTGGGCCGAGGAGGAGAGACGAGCTGTAAATTTTTCGTCGATCCGGGCCAGCGATACGCCACCACCGCTGGGTGTACTTTTTTTTTTTTTTTTTTTTTTTTTCGGGGGCTGGCGAGTGATAATTTCAGGATGCCCAGACAGGGTTAATAATACAAGGGGACGGACGGAGAGTGTGGCGCTATGGGCGGGGTGAGGACGTCGGGACTGTTTGCTCCTTGACTTTGTGTTACGCGCTACAGCCATCGTATATATACGCTTGGAGCAAGGGTGCGTGCGGCTTAACGAATTTTCACGGCTCCCCACCCTATCTTTTTTTTTTATTTGGCGCCGATAGCGTATATAGGGTTACTCGGCGCTAATCATCTGAACTTTGGAGTTTGATTTGAGCCCCTCGCCCGTACAATCGAGTACTAATGATTCTCACAATACGGATATAGGAGGAGGCGCACCTGTTGGACACACGAAAAAAAAATGTGAAATTTATTCCGTCTTCTTTGAACGTGTGAAATTCCCATGAGGTGCACGCATGCCCAAGTCACACCGCTGAAACATCGATAATTGATCGATCTGTACTCTCAGCAGTGTCGGCTGTAGAGGATTTTTTTTTTTTTTTTCCTTTTTTCAAGAATAACGCGCTGTTATCTATAATGAAAATCGCGGTCGTCGTATAGGACGTAAAATTCAAGTTGTCGCTCGGGGATCGAATTTACATAATTCAACCTGCGGACCGTGATTTAAAAAAAGAAAAGAAAACAAGCCGCGATCCCTCTGATCCGTGAAGAAAGGCGTGAGGAGTCGCGATCGCGCTTTGATATTCCTTCCAGTGTATGCCTCTCGTGTCTATTTTTTTTTTTTTTTTTTTTTTTTTTTATTTCATATCTCTGAGCGAGAGGGCTCTCGCACTCGTTAAAAACGTGAGTGGCGCTATTGAAACAAGTCTCTCTTGTACCCCGCTGTGTTTTACGAGTATTACGTAAATTTGAATATATTCTCGTTCGATTCTCCTCCTTTAGCCCTCCATATACATTACACCCATATGATTTCGGCTCGCGCGAGGTAAATTATACTTGACCGGTTGCTCGTAAATTATCGCCGCCCGGCGGTGCCGGCCGGTCGCGGCTGCCCTCCGTCCTTTCCCATATACTACACACGTGTATATTATATATTATATACTCACTCCTCTCCACCCCTTTACACCAATATCTGTACTTCTCCCTCGATATCTCTTTTTCTTCCCCCACCCTTTTTGATACGCCAGTGCGATTTCATGTCTTGTATTATATCTGTCGAAGCTTTTGCGTGTGGTTCTGGTTACGATTGATAAAGCCGATATACTCATGTTCCGTGGAAACTAATCTCATTCCGGAATGGGAGTTGGATGCGCATTTACTCCTCTCGTACACTTATATATATATATATATAATTATATGTGGCTCCGTCAATTTTATCTGGACGAACACGCCAGTTGCAGCTCGATCCGGTGTTCGGAAAAGTTAAGGTTATTTTCGCGAATTGATTAGACAAGCCGGAACGAATTCCCTGATAAAACCGCGTTACGCGCGAATCGCCGACTCGACGAGTGTTGTTTTTACCATCGGTATACATATTTGCAGATGATGTTTCTTCACGAAGCAAATGTATAGAGGGTGAAAAATCCCAGAAAGCTGTGGGATACGCAGTTGGGTGTGTAATACATATACACGTACGCGTACAGCAAGAACTTTACAGCCGAGGGAGAGACAGTGTGGATGAGGGAACGGAAATAATGACTTTGGCGCGCTGCTCGTCAAAACACCATCTGACCGGCAGAGAGTGAAATATCTCTTGTCGTGTGGGCCCCTCTTTTTCTCCTTCTTCTCGGGACAATCGAAATTTGCCTCCTCGGAAACAATATCGGTTCTCGCTCCCTTTCCTTGGCGAAAGAAAAAAAGGAGTACAAAAGTACCCTTCGTTGTTCGTGTATAGCCCAACAGGAGGAACTGTCAAGCTGAGCTGCCGGTAACCGGTATAACACGCAGGCGTTAACGACATTTGTCGTTGCTGTACGGCAATATAGACTCGCACTAGCTGTCGGCCACGTGCCCGGCACATGTTGGCCCCGCTGCTGCAGATACACCCGGCATGTGCGAGCCGATCGGTACACTCCCGCGCGCGATTTTTCACATCATACCGATCTTACGTGTACAGTGCACGAACAGGGGGCAAAACTTGGGCCAGATTTTATAATTTCCGCTTCTCGTTGGAGCTACCGGCGACTCTTTGGTTCGGTTTTTGCTCGTTACGTCTCCTTGTTTTTCGATCCCAAGAGCCTATATGTGTATATACACGAATGCCGGAAGCCCGGGATATTGGCCCGCTAACTCGAAAATTTCGGCTCGAGCGCGAAATTACCGAGCGCGCAACCGGCACTTATTTCCGAGAGTATATGCTGGCCGTGAACAAACATTTTCTCATTTTTCTTTTTTTCTTTTTTTCTTCCCTCCTACAGTGTGTAATACTCGTGTTGATTGGTTCTCCGATTCTTTTTTTTTCTTGCCCCTCAACTCTTTACTTTTGAAAAACCAAATCTCAGAAAGACCGAAAGCAAAACAAAACAGAACGTATGAAAAAAAAAAAGCCGCGCGTGTATATATTACAGAGAAGGAGAGCGCTTCCAAGCGCAACGAGAGCAGCTCATCTGCTTCAAATAACGTTTCGGGCCCGATCACACGCGACCGCCGCCCTTACACGTGTTCGCGGTAGCACACACACGCCTCACAGCGTCCCATCCCGTTCGTGTTTTTTTTTTTTTTTTTTTTTTCTTCTCCTTCTTATCTTCGGCATCGTTTTCTTCTTCCCGGGTGGCGGCAACATTTTTCATAAAATTTCGCCAGTGCGTACGCATACACGCATCAGCTCGACCACACGCTCCTTGTTTTCTGGCGCGTATAGACGGCAATTGGGTTCATATAATTTTTCTTTCTTCACTGACGCTGATGCGTACATGGGCATACATGTCCAGATGAGCGCGCGGGTTAATCGAGATTACGGTAGCGCTTCCTCTCTTCCCTTACATTTATAATACGTGTTGTTACATGTATATGTTTATATGTACACGTGATGGTGCTCCTCGCACGTACAGGTCCGTCCCGAGACTCGTGAACGCTATGTAAGCGAGAGAAGCAAGAAGAAGAAGAAGAAAAAAACGAGGAGGAGGAGGCGCGGCTTGACGGAGCCGAAAAGTCGGCTCGGCTGGAGCCCTTGGAGTGAGGCCTTCGTGGCGCCACTGCTCTAATCTCGCATTCTCTCCGCAGGCCCCCTTCTCTCTGCGTCTTCTCCCCTTTTTGACGGTCTCTTTCATACAAGGGGCCTCATGCTCCTTCTTCTTCTTCTTCTCCTTCCGATCCTGGCCCGAACTTATTTGGAGCCACTTATTTTTTACCTTGTGTGTTTGCCTTTGCCTCTTAACGCGAGCCTCTACGCACACGTATACGTATACTCGATACTCGTCTTTCTCTTTTTTCTCTTTACCTTCGGGGGCCCTTCTCTCTCTCTCTCTCTGTGCGTGCGCTTATTACCGATAGCTTTGACGCCCTTTTGTGCCCATCGACGAGCGTTTCATTCGCGCATTTCTTCCTTTTCGCAAAAACCAAAGCTCCCTTTCTTTGTAGGGGGGGAATGGGGGTTGCAAAAATTTTACAGAGACAAGGGAGGGAAAAAAACTTTGGATGATCACACGCAGGAGCGATCGATTGTACGTATAGTTGAAACACTGACTCAACTCACGGAGAAAACAAAGAGCGGCGCCCTCCCGGCCGCGTCTTTATATATACGTGTAAATAAGTATATATATATATATATGTATGTGTATATGCGCTGCCACAAGTGGCCCTGTGCTGTGTCGGCTTCGCTAAAACAAAAGGCGAAAATTTGCTCTGTATCTTATTATATCTTTTTCTCGTGAGCTTACCGGACCCTGGGGAACACGTGTTTACGAAGAGTATCCCGAAGAGCAAACACAATTAGCCGGTCGCTCGGGTGGACTCTTTTTTTTTTTTTTTTGTTTTTAACAAGTCCCGGGATTCGAAGCTTGGGAAATCATTAGATATGAGATCGAGATTACAAACGAATGCATCGAAACACTCACTTTACACGAATACACGCTATTTGGCTTTTAGTGTGTAAATGGGCAAATCATTACCGATAAAAAAAAAAAGAAGAAAATAAGAAATACCAAAAATAGTTGCGTTGGCTCGACATTCCGTTTCAGCTTTACGACCCCCTGTACTCGAGATGGGGCCCACATTTTTTCGTCCCTGACCCGTGTGAGGTATACGATGCGCGTCATATCGGTCGTTGCGACATCTCGGTAAAAACAACAAACACGCGACTGATTGGTATTTCTCTATGCATAATGGCACTTTTCTCTGCAAAAAAAAAGGGCTCCCCGCCCATCGGGCCCCCCCCCTCCTCTTTTCACCCCGCACTAATCCCTTCTCGTTTTCTTTCCCATTGTTCGACGCTTACTCATTTTTCTGTTTGACCTCTCGAGTTTTTGTCGCCGTCGCCCGTGACCACCCGGCTCGCCTTTTGACTCCTTGCCATCAAGGCTTTTGGGCTAGTATGCCTATACATACCTACAAACTTGCGGACCACTCGACCGAGAGGGAGAAACACCACACTCGTGTTCTCGCGAGTCATTGTCGAAATTGTAGCTGTTGGGCCCTCATCTTTCGGGACTTTGTGTGTTGTCTCGCTTTTTTGGGACTTTTTTTTTTTTTTCCTTTTAGAGGGCAGGGATTGGGGGGGGGGGTCCTCGCGTATTTTGGTAATTATACACGAGTACGCGCTTTTGTGATCAGAGACTCTCAATTGCCAAATATAAAGCTATTTTTTTTTTATTTTTGTTTGTTTGTTTATTCTACTTCATGAAACGACAATGTGCGCAACAAGCCAGTTGTCGAATGAGAATTGACAGTTATCACACGGGCTTAAACGTGATTTGCGGGTGTCAGCTCATCGTGCATGAATTGTGTGTATACAAATAGTCGGTCAACTCAGAGAACGAGAGAGGAAGGCCTGAAAAATCCCACGGTATATATAAATATAAACGGCTAAAGTAATTCCCAAGGTACCAATAGGTTATTCGGTACTACCTACTTATTTAAGCTTATTTAGGAAACGTGTGAGAACACGTCCACCGCGTGCGTAACATACACAAGATCCGTAAACTTAATCCACTTTCTCACATGGTATGGGGGTGGTATCCGGTGATTGGTGAGTCACTAATTACCTCCGTAGGTATTATGTTATTTTCCAACTTTGAACAGCTTTGCTACTTAAGAGGAAAAAGACGGCGCTGAGGGGGGGGGGGAGACTTTCTCTATCTCACAGTCGCGCAGATCCGGTGTTATCTCGGGAGAGATTTTCCTCTCGCAAAAGTCGAATAGGAGAAAAATTCCTCGAGGATGCGTGTACCAACGGGCTCGTGTATCATAGTGCCGGAAATTCCTCGAGTGTACCAAAGCTATACGGATGATGCGCGTATACATATATATGTATACATATATAGATAAAAGACCGAGTTTACGGTATCTCTTTTTGTTTTTCGTGTTTTGACGAAGGCGCCGTTGGCCGCAGTGCCCGGGCGCCAGACCATTTAGGCAAATCGTCCTTCCCCCTGCCGCCCTCCTTTTCGGGACCCGCCTCCTCCTCCTTCCCGACTCTCGAGGGGGCTTTCGAAAATTTTAATTGCTCCAAGCTCTCTTGCGAGAGACAAGCTATACGTACAGGTGTATATATATATATATATATATATAGCTCAACGGTGGAAAAAGCAGCAGCCTTGAAAGCATCACACGCGCACACATCGCTACCTTGTAGGAGGCACGTAGAGCCTTAAGTGCTATCCCCGAGGCGGTCTTTCCTCTCCTCCTCCCCCCCCCCATTCTCCTGGGCCCCGCTGCCTCCTCCTCCTCCTCCACTGCTGCACCACCCCGGGGCATCGAGCCCANCCCACCCCCCTTCTCCACCCCCTCACCGCCATATATAGCTACACTCTTGCACTTTTATGAGTCACTGGTTTAGTCCTCCCTCTTAACCCCGCCCCCGTATTCTTGGTGGTGCATTGTAAATCGTCCTAATGCAGGTGCGTGTAAACCCGCACGATAAGTTTCTCTTCTTTGCGTGTATATTTATATGTACTCTATAGTGCCATAGGCGACGACGGCGACGGCGACTAGTGTGACTCAGTTTCGACACAATACATGTATATTTGTGTGTGTACCTTGTATATATATATAGGTAGCTCCTGTCTCGGGGTAAAAGGGACCTCGGCAGGAATCCAAAGAATTTATCGACTTTGTCTAGACAATCGCGATAATTACAATGTTAATTTACAAGCTGTGTATACATTAATACATAAATGTATATAACGCCAATAACAACATCGAGACGATAATGTTCTTTCGTTTTGCAGGCGTATGTTTCCGGCGATCCAGATAAGCGTCCGCGGCTTGAATCCGGACAAAAAGTACTCGGTGGCCATCGAAATGGTACTGGTTACGGGTCACCGTTACAAGTACAACAGCACCGGTGGGGAGAACAAGTTGGCCGGTTGGACCGAGTCGGGCCCGGCCGAGGCCCAGCCGCCCTTGGGCCGTAGGTTTTTCTGGCACCAGGACGGCCCGGCCCCGGGTGCCCACTGGGAACAACAGCCCCTCAACTTTTCCAAGCTCAAACTCACCAACAACGCCCAGGAGTTGCACGGCAATGTTAGTATACGTATATATCATAATACAATGCAATCAACCACCTCCCCAACCCCTATTTTTTTTTCTTTTTTTTTTTTTTACTTTCTTGGTTTTTCCGTCATACTTACACTCACTCTCTCTATACAAGTATCGAGCTTTTTACGAATTATGTCGATGTATTCGCCGATACAGCACATAATACATGGATCATCTCCTCTCTTTTTCTTTTAATGATACACCCACCGCAAGGGTTCCTATTTTACTTGGTTTGGGTTTTTTTTTTTTTTTTTTTTTTACGTAATGGTTGGGTACGTGTATACATCCCTTGTATATTTTCTATTTTCTTTTTGTTTCTCGCGTGTAATTGTAACCGTGAGCTTTTCCCATCTCTCGAGGTCGGATAAGGTGTATATATATGCATAGACGTGTGTATTTTCATCTTTGGTATTTTCCAAAAATCTGTAGCCGATCGTTTCGGGGCGTCCGTATACGGTGATCGTCGAAATGAGATTTATTTCCATTTTGGAGAGCCCACGGTTTATCATCGGAATTTCAAAGGGGAAGGTATACAGGAGAAAAAAAAAACACTCTCTCTCTCTCTGGGCTGCATTGTTTCAGAAATAGTCGTAATTAAAAAAGAAGGGGAGGAACGTAAAAAAGAGAAAAAAAAAGGTATAAGCAATATCGAGAGGAGCGCACTGCACGTAATCGTGTAACTATATATACATGTATTATACACGCCTTCGTTTTACACGTGATGCACGCACGCAGACAAATTCATCAATGTCACGGGAGCCCGGCGCCCTACTCCTCATGGGGTGTATATATACACATATACATGCCCCGTATTGCTGTCTGTCTGTCTGTCGGTCACTGTAATATTGTATCCGGATCCTCCTCTTCTCCTCGAACGACGGCGCGCGCGCGCGCTTCTAATTCCTTTCGTACAATGCATAATATAGCTTTGCAGGCATAAGCAGTCGCTCTGTATGTATATATTTCTTATTGCTGGTCACTCGTTTAATATATTGTGCCACGATGATCCGTCCATTCTGGGAGAGAGAGAGACGGACACGGGAAAAAAGGGGTGGTCTCTGCGATGGGCCATTTACAATGCGCCATTCCTCCTTCGTTCGAACGATTTTGGCGCCGGTGTATTATAAATATTATGCATTACGGTGCAGCCTCCACCGGTTACACCCTATATTATATACAGGTGTGTGTGTGTGAGAGCATTCCTGCTTCCGTCCTGCAATGGTGCGGTATATACTTATTATTGCTGGACACTTTTTTTGTGGAAACAATTGTCAAACAGCTGCGGGAAGAAAATATCATCGTCGGCCACTCGATATGTACCCTCCCGAGTTTGGGAAAAAACAAAAGAAAAGCCACGGGTGATCAATTCCCATTGTGTATGATGTCTCCCACGTATCCGGAAACAAGGCCGGAAAGAGTGTACCCAAAAAAAAAAAAGCATACTGTCCATCGGCGTCACACATGCGTTATACCCATCACCGGCTTATTGCCTTTTCCGAGTCCCAGCTCTTTTTGGGGGCTGAAGTAAAAATCTGCGCCACACCACGTGTGTGCAGTGGATGTTGTATTGTCTCGTATCTCCGTACGCGCGCGCACAAACACACATGTGTCATGTATGGGCACAGTCCATTTATCGGGGAGGGCCATGGGTCCGAAAAGGGGGCATGTTTGGACAGCTTTTGTACACCGGCTATGCAGCGCGGGGCCTGCCTTCTCATTTTTTTTTCTCCTCCTCCTCTTTCCTCGCATCAGCATCAGCGGTGGCAGCTGGACCTCCTGTGTACGGAGGGTGAGGGAGGCGTCAGGGATGTGCACGTCGCCGCATACATATATATACACAAGGGGGCGCGTCAAGTGTCCTGTTTGCACGATCTCACCCTTCTCTCTCTGCTGCTGCTGGTGACGCTGATGCAGTCGCGACGTCCCCGGAGTATATTATGTGCACAGATAACCTACGCGACGGTCAATGTGGGCGGTCACGTGTTTACCTATATATACATACTTTGTACCGGTGATGGATACGCGTATACGTGTATGTACGTATACTCGGCTGTAGGGATTCAATTTCGTTTTTTTTTTTTTTAAAGATTCGCTCATGCTCGCGTATATGCGTTCTCACAGTTTTCTTCTTTTTTTTTCCACGTACAATATTTTTCAACACCACGTATTATTTCTTTCATTCTCTGCAAATCCAAGCGTGTTGAAGTATATACGTTCAAAGTGCGTGGTTACGATTTTTTTGTTTTTTATACAAGGCATGAGAATTTTAAGAACAACCAAAGCTATGGTGCACCAAGTGGTTAACCGGTTCCATTAAACTAATCACTTTTGCATGGAAAAAATGTCACAGTTTTACCACGCTCGCAAGTGCGTAAAATCCGTGACGCAAGTTTTTTACTCTCTACAGCCTATTGATGTCAATAGTTTACCAAAAAAAATTATTTTACTTTGATAGAACAGGTGAAATAGTTAACGAAGCATCGATTTGGTTGTTCTTAAAACGTTTATCAAAACAACTGTAATGCATTTTCTAACTTGGTACTTTGACGCACTTATAGATTTTACGGCTTATTATCTATTAAACAGAGTTATGGTATATATTATAGTGTACCCCGAAAAATAATAAAATAAGTGCATTCGGTGTATTATTGTACACCTCCGTGTCGTGTAGGCGATTCATATTAAAACCATCACATGCCCCGGTCTTTCTCTCTAAAAACGAGCAGAGGAAAAAACTTTGAAAAAGGGATACACGCGCGCGCGCGACAGCCACACTCGCAAAAGAAAGAAAAAAAAATCCCCTTTCCCCCCCCCATATGTATACACACAACTATTACCTTTTTCTCTCCCGAGACGAGCTTTCGACCATATACCCTCGCTCCGCTAAAAAGCTCGCCGCGCTAATTTGTCGGTAGCCTTTTTTTTTTACACTTTTTATACGCGCCCATCTTCCGGGAACGGGAGCCCGTCTTTGCAAAAGAAGAAGAAGAAGAAGAAGCTGCATGCATGGGCGCATGTTTCGGGAATCGCGTCTCGACACTGCTGCCAGCCTAGCATGTGTATATACGTATCCATGTATACAGTGGACCCGATAGCGGCGCCGGCTCTGCTGTTGTATCTACCCGCTGTGGCTGCGCGCCGGGCGGCTTTCCTTTTGACGGATTCCCCAAACCAATTATGATTTTAATAAAATTCTCACCCCACGGCATTGAGTGCGCGCGTACTGCTGAGACAAAGTTTAGCATCTTTTGCTCGATTGATACAAAAATCGTACAAAACACGACGACGAACAAAGTGATGTTGACGATGAAAAATTAATTTCTGTTGCAGATACTCCTTACCTCGATGCACAAGTACCTGCCGAGGATATGGATCGTCCAGTGCGACCACACGCCCTCCCTGGACCACATAACGCAGTTGCCCGCCGCGGTATTCGAATTTCCCGAAACTGAATTCATCGCCGTCACTGCCTATCAGGTATGTGTCAAACACGATTAACACGTATCACGTTGATCATCGTTTCGATGAATTCCCAACTTTGGCTTCCAGAACGAAAACATCACGAAGCTGAAAATCAACCACAACCCCTTCGCCAAGGGCTTCCGGGAGAACGGGCTGTCGGCCAAGCGGAAGCGCGGCCTCTGCGACTCGGGCAAGCCGGACAAGAGCACGACCGGCGGCGTCGGCCCCACCACCAACGACACGAGCGTCGTTTCCGACGACGACAACAGCAGCGACAAGTTTGACGAGGCTCTGACCCCCGTGTCCAGCCAGCACTCGTCGCCCCCGGCCTCGCCCAAACGATTCTGCCCGGAAAATCGGCAGCAACGGTCCCACGAGGTGACGAGCGCCAACGCGTTGGCCGATTCGTACACGTCGTACCGGCCCCTGACGCCCGACTCGCCGGACGAGTTGGCCGAGCCGAGGGACAGCCACCCCCAGGATCTTCGGAAAGTGAAGGTCGAGTGCGAGGTGAAATCGGAGCCGAGGGAGCATCACGGGGTCGAAGAGGGGCCGGCCGCGATTGTTCACAGGCCTTGGGAGGACAGGCCGTGGTTCGACATGGCGAGGAAGGAGTCGCTGCCGGTGGTGGGGGCGTCCTGCGATTATTGGTGCGGTTACGATCGCCCCATGAACTACAGCCATCACCAGCGATCGGTGGAGCAGGAGGAGGTGATCCGCCAACGGACGGCGGAGTACTTGCGACAAATGGGATCGCCCTACGGGCCGCGGTTGTAGGAGTTACATTTTTTTTTTTAATCGTTGGACGGTCGTTTTTTTCTTTTCTTTTTCTTTTTCTTTTTTCTTTTTTCATTTTTNTGACGGAAATCGTGTGTGGAGAAGCGGTTGACAACAACGTTGATATGATTGTCTCGTACCATCCGCCAATATTTGTACCTCTGAAGTCCGTCACTCAGAGAACGTGGAAGGTATGTTGGTTAATTAATAAGTAGATGAATTAAGGAAAAGCATGACCGATACGTTTATCACCATTAATATATCAATTTTTTGTTTTGACGATACAGTTTAGGGATGTGATAAAAGTGGTTTCTTTTTTGTGTGTGTGTATATGTACAGATGCGGTGTAGATGGATTTTTTTTTTTTTTTTTTTACTATACATGAAGTTGAAGATTTACATATTATGTTACCGAGCAAAGAAAGGAAAATCATTTTCAACGCCTATCGGTGAAATTACTCATTTTCCAATGTGTTTTTGGAGTTTGTACATAACACGTGTAAATATTACTTGATATACAGTTACATTTAAGCTTACAAGAAACTTTTTTGTTGAGTAAGTCACGCTCGAGCGTGCAAGCATAGCACTTATTTTTCACAAAGGAAAAAAAAAAAAGAAAAAAAAACCATATTTTTCTAACTTTCGTACAAAATCTTGCCATGAAATGAACTGCGTACGGCTGTAAATTAAATTTTCTGTGACATTTTTTATCGTATAAAATTTTTCACGCGCTTACAGTATACAATTGTACATAGTATGTATAAATAAACTTTGTAAATAAATCGACGCGAGACGACGATCATAAAGATCTACATCATAAGAAATAAGCCTGTCGGCGAATCATCAAAATACTCTATTGTTATTTATAAGCTGAGCTGTTAAGTTACCGTCTACAATCCCCAAGGAAATTTTTCCCAAATAAATTTCTATTATACATATACTTAAAATTTATCTTTTTTCATTTTCCTCGTTCTCATAATTACCTCGCAAACAGTATATATTTTTGGTGTTATTGTTCTCGTTATTTCATCTAGATACTAGATATTAAAAAAAAGGGAAATTAATATAGTTCACACGTCACAAAAATCATTGCTTACAAAAATATAAAGAATTAAAAAAAAAATAACAGTGAAATCACTCCAGCATCTGCGGCTGCAAGCACACAAAAGAAAAAAAAAATACTTGTAAATATACCTAATCCTAAAGTAAACGCACGACACACGGTATACTGTATATTATAATATACTGGAGACGAAGAACAATAGACACAAGAGTCAAGGGCAGCATTTATCATCTCCACGGCCGTTGTTGTACTTGGGACAGTAGGGCGGCTCTTTGGAGGTCAAGCAAAACGAGCCTCGCGTCCCCATGGGCGTGTTTTGGCCAATGACGAGAGTGTCGCCCAAGCGAGCTGCTATCCGCGGTCCCGCGGGACAACGCCTCGAACATTCCTCGGCCACGAGGTCCCTGCCGCCGTTCACGCTCTGGGCCATGTAACACACCGACCACACGTGGCTGCACAGCTGCTCGTTGCCGCGGTTCTCGCAGAAGGGCTGCATCTTGCCGCCGTTCATACAAAAGTCCACGTGCCCGACATTTCCCAGCTCCCCTGCGCATTTTCACCAAAAAAGAAAACGTCATTGTTTTTTTTTTCATCAGTATATGCTTATATTCTCCCAATGATAGAAAATCGCTAGCCGTAAAACACGACGAAAAGGTACATTCCCACTAACAAGTAGCGCTCAACGAGGAGTAAGGGTCCTCAGAGAGAGAAAGAAGCCTATACCCGCGTCAACTTATTCGTGCAAAAAAAAAACAAAAAAAAAAAACCAATAGCCGTATAGAGCAAAGCCATATATATTATTATATGTGTCGATGATATATACAAAAGTCAATGTCACCGGTAATAATCTAAAAGCATCTTGATTTTGTATTCACGGCGGTGAACTTCCTCTGCGTGACAGTTACCGCTGGACGTGCAACGAAAAAAAAAAAAAAAAAAAAAAAATAACCGCAAGAAAGATCCCCTCCCCCCCCCAGCTCATTACATAAAAGTACACACGCGGCACTCGGCGAAAGAGAGAACGCCTACCGTAGTATCCGGCATTGGTGTGTATGACCTCGACGAAATCGGCGTCGCCGCTGTCCAGCCGATTGACCAGCCCGGGCCTGATGAGCGGCCTCGCGGGATCGAGAGCTATAATCCGGCTCATCCGGAACAGCAGGAACGAGGCCATTTGGCCGCATATGTGTCCGCCGAGGCTGTAGGGATGAAGTTGGATTAATTATCACCGATTGCTGAAGATCACGCGAGTTGTAGTTACCGATGCCGATTTTTCTTTTTCTTTTTTTCATTCAACAATTATTTTGATTCAATCTACAAGTTATTAATTAATAATACATAGAGTTTACCAAAAAGTAATCGGTACATCACAGTACAACTAAAAAATTAAGTTACAGTAAATAACTCGTAAAAAAGTTCACCCAAGAGATTTTTTTTTTTTTTTTTTTCTTACTTCCAAAATCGTGTTTATATTGACGATGTGGAATATAGATCTCACCTGTGCCCGACGCAAGTCGTGCGCTCGATCGGCAACCCGTGATTCCGCAGGCCGGTCAGCGAGTCCGCAAGACAACGAGCTACGGGACGCATGTTGGACACCGCAGCCGGATAGCAGGGAGCTGAGGAATTGTCTTTTAAAAAATAAAATACACTTTTCGTGTTTCCAAATGTTATTTTTCAAGCGCGTTTTGTTACACGTGTGCATTCACTATTTTTTTTTTTTTTTTTTTTTTAACCACGAATAATCACATGTATATACATACATACAAACATTTGGTTATAAACATACAAAGAAAATTGTTCGTGCAGTGAGTTTGCTGGGAAGGTTGCGGAATATTGTACAAACAAGATGACCATACGTACCGTAACTGAGAGCACCCCAGTCTACAAGGAAGACGTTGTAGCTGCCGTTTTGAATGTAGGCGTCACGCAAGACCGACATCGGTAGGGCGTCCTTACCACCTGGTTTTTTTTTTTTTTTTTTTTTTTTTTTTTCAATCAAATATATAGATTATTTATTTGACGTTACAGTGCCGTATAACACAATAAAACAAAGCTCATGCAAATGCTCGCTTGCCTGCTGTAAATATGTTAAATTCCGCAATGAAGGGACTCGAAAATTGAGGGTAAAAAAGAGGAATCACCTGCATAGCCATGAATCAAGATGATGTTCTCCCGGGAGGGCTCGTAGTCCTGTCTGAGCCAATCGGCCACGTGCGCGGGATCGAGTTTGCGCTCGGGGTTCCCTGGCGTGTACAAGTACAGATGGACCTGGGGATCGGGGCAGCCGTTGCAATCGTAGTTCCTGCGCCAGGTGCAGTTACCCTTGTCGTAGGCGTCCGCCAACCCGCTCTCGATCGCGTCGCTTATCGGGCCCCTCGACAACGCCAAGTGCACCAGTGCTCCCAGCAGGACCACCGAAGCTGCGACCTGTTGGCCGATCGGTCGTGAATAGGAGAGAGAGTTTTGCGCCGGGGGTCTGCGGTGCCGCGCGGTTGTAATTCAATGTCGCGCGCGTGAAAGCGTTGGCGTCCTTTTTTTTTTTTTTTCTTTTTCGGTGCGCGGTGGGTTTTCTACGCCTATTGCAGTGGTTGGAGGATTAAGTATATTTCTTCGCCTATTTTTTTTTTTCCTTCCCGAGCACGCGGCAAATCGTAGAGAAAGCTCTGCCGAGCTCTTTATTAACTCGTGGGAAAAGCGAGAGACGATAAGTATTATGTTTTATTGGACGCGGTATAATGTATCGGTAGAGCGTTGGTTGGGCGTAGGACCTGCACATGCCGATATTACATCGAACTTTTTCCTTTATAGTGACGAGTAGACGCATTTACTGTACCGATCGTTCACCACAACCGATCTCTCGCCGATTTTTTCAATTGCAAACCGATCTTAATTGTTATTTGTCCGTGAGTATATTCAGTCAAAAAGTCATGATCCGCCGATCTTTGCGGTATACGCAAGGTACATTTAAAAAAAAAGAAATCGACTTACCCTCTCGATACCCATGCTCCCTAATATTCCTGTATTTAGGCTTGTACGTGCTTTGAACGCAACAGGTCCTATCCAAAAGAAAATCCAAGCCAATGCTGTATTATTTCAACAGAAGTAAAGAAAAAAAAAAAAAAAAGGAGCTAAAGCAAACTCAAGCGAAAGCGCAACCAAGTGCGCTCGTGCACGACAATTCGGCGACTGATGACCGCGAGCAAAGGAGCAGCAGCCGTTGCCGATCTCCACCTTCTCTCACCTTCTCAACTCCGTGTACACCTATACAGGCTCTCTCGCTCGCGCTCCCGTGTGCGCAAAATTTTTATACAGCCATCCGTGGTTGTGGTGCACGTATATACTATGCGAGGGTCCCTTCCTCAACGCCTTATCTGTACCGTTTTCCCGAATACCACGCCCTGACCGACCGTTTCCCCCATAGCTCGATCACCCCCCGAATATGACCAGCACGCCCACCCACCCTCCAAATCTACATGTTTATCTTCACACGGTGATAAGAGGTTGTTTTGAACAACAACGGCTGATAACTCGGAATTTTTAGCCCTCGTGAACGTAAACACAATAAATTTCTACTTTGGGTCTAAATGTTTTACATTTTTAACTCGATTCGTGATGCATTCTAAAAAAAAATTAAAAAAAAAGTCTATGCCCATCGGCCGATACAACGCCGTGCCGGGACCTCCTCCTCCTCCCCGCGTATATATGTAAGTACATACTTGCATCGCGTCACGCGCGCACTTTACCGTTTTTCCAGTAGCGGCCGTATACATTATACCGTTGTCGCTCCCCCCAACCACCCCCTTTTATTGTATTCTTTTGCTCATCAATGTTACCGAATGCTTTTCAATCCAGCGGCTGATGGATAAGGGTTTTGAACATTTTTGTAGCCTCTAGTTTCGGCGAAAATCATCAAGAGTCACGGTCTCCCTCCGTATGATGAGTTGTACTGAATATGGCTATTATTAATTTAATTAAAACCATGATAGCACATTTTTATTAGCAATATGCGTGCACACAGGCTCGTATTTTTTTTTTTTTTTTTTTTTCAAACGCGATTGACATAGAAAGTGCTCGAAACATTGTTGCTCTCGAATCTGTGGGTTATATATACTTAAATTTTGCCATTACGTGTAGTTGCGGCGAAATATAGAGGGACGGAAAGTATACCCCTCGCTGGTCTCTTGTCATTTCAAAGTTGATTGTTGTGATCTTCTTTTTTTTGGGGACGTTGTTCCCTTTTTGCGCTTTTAGGCGAGTTTATACGGCTGCAGATTATTTATTTGTACGACAGAACTTGAGATAAAGTTTGGTTTTTTTTATTTTTGGATTTTGTTGTTTCAAGTCAGAATATTATTTGAAATTTATTTCAAGGTGAGATTAAATTGAAAAAATTTTTTTTGTTAAATCATCGCGTTCACGTTAGTTGGAAAAAAATCGGCTTAAATGTCATTACGGTAACGTCGGTGCAGTTTCAAATTACCAATTCTAAAGGTGTAGCGACCAATGGTATTGTGATTGAGAAGTACGATAATAAATTATGCTGTTTAATCGTTTTTAGGCTTGGGAGTAGCGATGATCGTCTTTGCTGTTACTAAACTTTAAAAACTATTGAAATGAAAAAAAAAAAAAATCATAATATCAATCCGTTCCATCGATCAAAGTAAGTATCCCATTTTTTTCTTTTTTTTTTTTTCTTTCGTAAAACGATCATGGTTATGGTATAATGTGTCCGTAAAGCGAAAGAACATCGTTTTGCTGTTAAATATATTTTCTCAAAATTATGAAACGTGAGCGCGCTAAGCGACGACGGCTCAATCACTTTCTACGATTCATCTGTCCACGTCACTTTCTATATACTTACATTTTTTTTGTGTTTGCCTTTCCCACTTTTACGCACCAAAGTCACGTTTCGGCTTCATTTTCTCGATGGTTCGCAGTTACGCGCTGAGAATATTAATTTTGTGGGCTACGGCTATACTTAAAACTTGAAATTACAGGATTACTTTATATTCACGTGGTTTGAAATTGTTTTTATACTTTTTTTTTTCACATCCTATATACCCTGTACGTATTTAATATCCGTATGATTACTGGTAATTATGTCATGATTAAAATCGTGATACACACATAATAAAAACACCAGTAAAGTTTTTATTTAATTTTTTTTTCTCATTCTAACACATTAAATTCAGTGAACAAGTAATTGTGTCATTAATCATGTAAATTACCGTAGTATAAAGTATTTCTCCTCACGTGTTTATGTGATTTCTCGTTACTTGGTAAATTTTGTTTCTGCATCATATCCACGAAATGTAAGGTCTTTGACAGCAAGTAACTCTATAAAAGCAGTAAATTTGTTCTCCCTTTCAACATATTCGAGTTGCTATCACGCACTTTTGAAAGAAATCACACCTGCAGCCAGTCTGACTTCCGTGGTCGCATGAGGTTGCGATATTTTTTTGCCAAAAGTGCGCTGAGATTTCTTTGTTCCGCGATCTCATTAGCGTCTTTCGGGTGAAATGATGAAAAACTTTACCGTATTTCGTACCGGGAATGTGTGTGCATACGGATTTAATAACGACATTTTCCGATTTTTGTTCCTCCAAAATAGTATCTCGAACAAAAATATCGTTTCGATTTCCCATGGATACACTGGAATTTTCTTGAAAATATTGTTGTAATAGCTGAATCACGGAAAACTCGCCATTTATTTCAGGAAAGTCGTAAAAAATTTGGTCATTTCCCTTTTTTTCTTAATAAAAAGGCCTGCAAAAAAGCAGTAAAATTAAATCGTTATCATTATGGAATACACACCATTGAACAAGACACAAAGTATTTAGAATACCTAATCTTAGTTACGGTAATGTTAAATAGAATAATTATATGTGATTGAGAACTCGAGAATTTATGATTTAATCAGTTACTAGTTGATATCTTAAAAAATATTCATATTCGGGTAACTTGACAATAGATTAGCACTAAGATGTGTTTTCCACCTCGTTTACAAATAGTTTGACAGTAAAAAGTATCCAACAAAAGTGTAAATTACAGGTTTTTTCGTAAGGTGTAATCATATATCAATTTTTTGTTAAAACCAGTGTCATGCAGTGTTTTATAACATCAAAATAAAAAGAACTATATCTTTGTTCAATTAACAAGTATGTATTGTTATGTGGGAAAGAGATTGGTGCGTCGCGAGAAATTTATAACCGATAAAATAACAAACTTGAAGTGAAGATGCAGTCTCGCTGCTCATCAGTTGTATTTTACGCAACAAATTTATCTCGTAGCGCTACCGCGCTCTACTGAATTTTGCAGGAAATTTCAATATTTTGAACTATAGTCCACAGTCAGTGCCATCTAGCGAGGCTAATTCTAAACTTAGTTTACAAAATGTATGCGCACTGTGTCGGTAACACAGGTTCTGTCGTTTCGACGCCTGTCGGTAATCAAAACCTGTGTTACCGACGTTCTACAGTGGGTAAATGCGATACCTACTATGTTGACTGTACTACACGCGCGCTCTAACACCCTCATGATGAGGGCCTCATCGACTGACTGCATGGTATCCCAGAAAACATTGATGATACTGACGTCGTGTAGATGCCAAATTCCAATAAATACAATTAAACTTTAAAAACTTGTAATTTTCAAAAAATAATTTATAGGATGTTTTTAAATGGATAAATGGTACCAACACTCGCAAATACAGTCGCGATATAAGTAGTGCCAATATTAGGTATAAAAAATACCTACAAGCCCGAGCACGAGGTCCAAAACCCAAAAAAAAAGGGTTTTGCCGTGTCACTTTGGTGCCGTTAATCTTTCGTTTACTTCAAACTTATCCTTAATATCCTTGCCCATTAGGAATTGCTTATAGCCAATTGTTTTTCTCAAATAATTATATCAAGTACCTAATCATTCACGTGTAGCAGTCATGAGATGATGTCATGAATGTTTTGACAATCTGCTAGAAACAAAAAAAAAATTTGTTCTTTCGACCCTGGAATCGTTCACTCGTAAGTATCGCAATTTTACAGATGACACTTTGTTTTTGGTATTTGTTTGTTTTGTATTGTCACAGTAATTCGAACACTTGTTTCTTTCTTTGATCGCCCGCGTTAAAACCACAAAAAGAATACCGTTTCTGTCTGAAGGCATTGAATAGTTATACAATTGCTTGATTGAAAACAAATGTGAACTTGACGAATTTATCTTAATTAAAAACATAATTAGCTTAAGACTATTAATTTTTAATATTAAGCTCGATGGTTTTTTTCGGCTGTTCGGACATTCCCTTTCATCTTTGTGTCCCAACCACGTTTTGATGTCAAAAGGTTTTGAAAAAAACAAAAAAATCATATGCACTTTTTTTCAGGTTAAAAAATGGGTGTACTCGATTTGAAGCAAAGCCTGGTTGGACACAAAGGGAGAGTTTGGAACGTTTGTTGGCACCCATCTGGCGAATGGCTTGCCTCCTGCGGTGGAGACAAGGCAATCAGAATTTGGACCCACGACAAGTCCAAATGGGTCATAAAAACAATATTAACCGAGGGCCACACTAGAACAATAAGGGAAGTGTCGTGGTCTCCTTGTGGTAATTACATTGCATCTGCAAGTTTTGATGCAACAGTAGCAATCTGGGATCAGAAAACAGTACAGTTTGAATGCAATACTACACTGGAAGGCCATGAAAATGAGGTAAAAAGTGTCAGTTGGTCGATAAGTGGTCAGCTGCTAGCAACATGCAGTCGTGATAAGTCAGTGTGGGTTTGGGAAACTCATGATGAAGAGTACGAATGTGCTGCTGTGATAAATGCTCATACACAAGATGTCAAAAAGGTAATTATGGTTTACCTCATCTAATAATCCAATTGGAAAATCATCAATCAATATTTGAATTTTATATTCACTTTTGTATTCTTCTTAGGTAAGGTGGCATCCTACCAAAGACATACTTGCATCTGCAAGCTATGATGACACAGTTAAAATCTTCAAAGAGGATACAGCAAGTAGCGACTGGCTCTGTGTATCGACTCTAGAGTCGCATACATCAACAGTGTGGAGCTTATCCTTTGACAGCACAGGAGATCGATTGGTCACCTGTAGTGATGACAAAACCCTCAAGATTTGGCAGCAGTATGAGCCTGGCAATGACAGAGGCATAGCCACACCAGACGACGAGCCAGTCTGGAAGTGCGTTTGCACGTTGTCAGGATTCCATTCCAGAACTATTTACGACGTTGACTGGTGTAAAAAGACAGGCTTGATAGTAAGCGCCTGCGGAGACGACATTATCCGGATTTTTCAAGAAGACAGTGATTCCGACAAGCACCAGCCGACTTTTAATCTCGTCTGTTCGATGGATAATGCACATACCCAAGACGTTAATTGTACACAGTGGAATCCGGCCATAACCGGCGTTATAGCCTCGGCAAGTGATGACGGCACCATTAAAATTTGGCAATACACTGATTGATTCGTGTGTACAGATTCATGTATATTTTCTGGAAATAAATATATATACATTTATTGTTTTGTACGTAAATCACTGGCTCGTTTTTTCATTTCACATCCAATTCTCAAACCCATTCCTTATTAACTTATATTTCAGAAAACAAAAAAATGATGTCATGTAGGAAAAAAAATTATTGTGTGTTTCAGGCTAGTTAATTAATGATTGGTTCCTTTTCAAGAACACTTCGCCTAGCCCCTCAAGTTCAAACCCTAGTGAAAACCACTCGACCACACCTGTTTTCACGTACAATAAGTAGCAAAATGAGTGGACTACCTTTGAAGGAAGTAGTTAAAATTCTCAAGTCTTATGCTCATCCTGCGCTAGCTGAGTCGTGGGATAACGTAGGCTTACTTGTCGAGCCAACAGAGCCCAAAAAGGTATCGTGCATTATGTTGACGAATGACTTGACGGAAATCGTGTGTGGAGAAGCGGTTGACAACAACGTTGATATGATTGTCTCGTACCATCCGCCAATATTTGTACCTCTGAAGTCCGTCACTCAGAGAACGTGGAAGGTATGTTGGTTAATTAATAAGTAGATGAATTAAGGAAAAGCATGACCGATACATTTATCACCATTAGAGCAAAAGTTTAATTGCAACAAATTTTTCTGTGAAACGTCAAAATTTTTGTTTGTAAAAAAATAAGTTGCTTTAAACATTTACGTGAAGCATTTTAGTACAATGCTTTTTTGTTATTATTATTTTTTTTTTCTAACTAGTAATAAAATCACACCAATAACGAAAGTTTTTTTTCTTCGAAATCTTTCACAAAAAAAAATCTCTGGTACAAAGTCAAAGATATATTTTTGAGCTCAATTACTGTATACTACTACTTGAGTCAGTTAGTTAAATAACGTACGTATGTACAATTGATTACTCACATTGGAAAAAATTAATTTCTCTTTAAGGAACGAATTTTAGCCAAATGTTTAGAAAATCGTATAGCTGTGTACTCTCCACACACATCCTTGGATGCCATAAAGGGCGGAGTGAACGATTGGCTTGCGACTGCTTTTGATGTAATGGAGAGTCGTCCGATAACACCGTCAAACAAAAACCCCGAAATCGGCATTGGCAGAATTTGCGTACTAAAAAATGAAATCACAATGGAGAAAGCAGTGAAATTGGTGAAAAAAAAAATCCGACAGTCACACGTACGATTGGCTCGTAGTTCAGATTTTGGTAAGTTACGTGATTTTTTTGTTTCTTATTTATTTTCCCACGTTATCATTCGTGACCTACTTTTCTGTAACGAATTAATTTAAAAATCGTCTTTCACATACATTATTATGCATACGGTTCTGTTACGTAATTTCCATTAAAATACTTGCTACAACGATCTCCTGTCACAACATTGTCGACTAATTATTTTGAAAAATACAGATATATTTTAGAGGTAAACAATTTATATGCACACCAAACACTTAATTATTATATTTTTCCTTTGATAGGATTGAAATAAGTTACATCGATGTTTTCGTTCGTATTTACGTTACAGAGGACGCGTGTTTTATTCCAAAATATTAAACGCTCGTTACATAATAATATATTGACACGCCACAAGGGTTGAAAAAATCCATCTATCCGATCTATTGTATTTATTCAAATGTCCCAGAGAAATAAACTACTGGAATTTCAAGAAAATTGACAAATTCTCGCCAAAAGGTGTTTACGTAAAACGTTAATTAAAAAAAGTGACAGAGAAATTATCGATTTTTATTCTTAAAAGCCCGGTAATTTTTGTCCCCTTCTTTGATAAACTACATTGTGTACGGTTGTAGTTAAAAAAGAGTTGCCGGAAAAACATATCTAGAGTATAATATGTTTTAAGTGCTCGTTTTCTTCTTGATTCATCGACAGCTTCACGTGGTATAAGAACTGTCGCCGTGTGCGCTGGCTCTGGATCTTCCGTATTGAAGGGAGTATCGGCAGATCTGTTCGTGACCGGGGAGATGTTGCATCACGATGTCCTTGACGCCGTGCACGGGAACACCAGCGTCATTCTGACGAATCATTCGCATTCGGAGCGTGGCTTTTTGGATGAGATACTCAAGCCGAAATTGAAAACTTTGTGCGGTGATTCGGTTAAAATCATCTCTGCCACGAAGGACGATGACCCACTGGAAACTGCCTAATTTTCACCTATACTTTTCCATACTTACTTTTTTTTTTACCATCACTTTCGACTGATGAGTATGCGAGTAAGTTGTCCATTGTGATATACTCACAAATAGCATTTGTGTACATATATACGTGTATATTATACGTATTATTAAATGATTGAAATTTTCGACAAATGTGTAATGATGATAATCTTTTGTTCTTAAAATACTATCACCCGCTCGTAGATATCATGTATTCCAGAATCGAAGCGAAAGCGAACAAAGGTACCGCTCCAAAAGAAGAAGAAAAAAAAAGAAAAAACGAAAAAAAAACGAAAAATTTTACAAAAAGACCCTTACCTTGAAAAACTACACGCAACTGTGCGAGAGATGCGGGAAGGAAGAAAAAAAAAAAGAGAAAAGAAAGGAACGGAGTGGGAGTGTACGGAGCGTTCGGCTCTTCGATGTATTCCGAGGCAAACTGCTGTGCCGCACCGACGACACGCCTCGAAGGTCCAACCGGAACACCCTGATGGGGCTCCGTCCGAGCGCCGATCGACTGTATACCCGCACACACATAATATTATACTCTCTGATGTTCTCGCTAGCGCGCGCCTTTGCTTCCCACTCCTCGGCTTTCCTGAACTTACATACATACCTTGCCGATACCCAGCTCCTCTTTCTTCCTTATACTATCCTTTACGTGCGGGCACCTATATATCTTTTTCTCTCTCTCTCTCTCTTTTGCTTCTTATATCCCGGAGGAGACATGTATAAGAGAACAATATATATAGGCGCGAGCAGGGCAAGAGAGAAAGAGCGGGCCTAGCACTGTATATCGGCAAGCCGGACCGCGACGACGTTGACCCACGCGCGCGCGATACAGCCGCCGACGTCGCGTGTACTTGTGTACTTATTGTGTATGGGTCCGTGTATAATGCGAGAAACGAGTACTTGTGTATATGGTGGTTGCTTGGTTGGTCCTGCGGTGCAGCAGTATAAGGAGCGCCGTCAGGGGAGAACCGGATCCTTTTCGGACCCGCGTTCGAGTATCGGCGCGCATAAACTGCGATAACCCCGAGTCTCTGTCATTTCGGCTGTGGCTCGAGAGCCGGTGGTTTCTCGAAATAAGCGTTGATTCTGATTTTTCGATGAAAAACGTTATTTTCTTATTCTTTTTGTCGATAATCCTTTGAAAAGTGCGACGAAAGGTGCGCGAGCGCGAGTTACGGTCAGTGTTGTATGACTGACAGTGAAAAGGAACTGTTGCTGGATTGTTGTTCATGTCTCCCTCCGCGGAAGGAAAGGGAGACCGGTCGCATCGGCTCGCAACATCGGCAACTGGAGCCCCAGAGGAGAGAAAAAGGTATATATATATATATACACTTGTAACAACTTCTGCGTTACGCGTATGGGTACAATATATTATCATCATCGTTAAAAGATGCGCAACGGTGCATCTTCTTCCTGATGTTTCTCGCGTAGCGCGTGCACGGCTTCTTGTTTCTCCTTTTGTTCGTTTTGTCGCGTGCGTATACCCATACTTACTCGCACGCGGAAGAGTTTACGGTGATTTGCCATGGCGTGACGTGACGCGATGCAGTTGCGTGCCGGAGTCGACGGGAGAAAATGCGTTTTGTTCCCGTAATGATTGTTAATGAGGCGCGCTGAGCCAAATGGCTTTTCATGTACCCTTTCTCGGGTCATTATTTCAACTGTGTTGGCCCGAGTTGTTACAAAAGAACGAGATTCTTTTTTGTAGAAATTTCGTGACTCGTAAAAATTTTACTTGCTCGGGTTTACGTGAAACTCTTCGCTCACGAGCCAGTAGTAGGGTAGTAAACTCGGTCAGACGTATATACGCATCGTAGCGAAAAAAAAAGAATCTCTATGTACGTTTCAAACAATTGCTATCGGTGATCGAATCGGTAAACTCACGCGCTGGTGCTTTGATTTTATTTAATACTCAAACAAAGTCGATCGAAACGAAAAAGAGAGTTTTCGAATCAAATAGCTCATTTTACCCCACTAGCTTTCACTTTCCGCTGTATTTATGGCTATTAATGTCCCTTATCGTATAATGAACAACCGATCCGGCCGATTTGTTCGAGGTATAAACTTTTACTGCTCGCGTGAATAACAAAATTCAACACTCCGATTTCGCCACCTGGTTTACCGATACATACCGATCTCGGGGATCGATTTGCCTTGCCGTTCCGTTCGGTTGAACATCGAAAGTCGCATGGACTAACGGGCTGACCGATTGGCCATCGGTATGAAAAAATCGAATCACAGTGGAGTTGAAAAGCAACGGTTGAAACACGAGAAGACGACGACAACGACGCATCAGATGATAAAGAGACAAAAGTATAGAGGAAGGCGAAGGGAGACAGATGTCACTTATTAGCCGTACACCGCACGCGGAAGGCTCTCCCGGAGGCGCGCTCCTCCCACCCTTGCGTTGTCCATACAGACTCCTCTCGGATAAATAATCCACTCCTCGTGCTCGCGTCAGACAGACAGACGTCGCGTCTCTGTTGGGTTGGCATTGCGTGTGTGTATATTTTATTGTCTACCAGTGACCGGAGTCCGGAAAAATCGCTTCCGGTGTTGGTGCTTATGGTACACTTGCACGTGATAGTATATAAGTGGACCGCATATTGTATCCCTTACCGTCGTCGTCCTCGTCGTGCACTAACCCTGCAGACTTTCAATTCGCCGATCGTAAGTACAGGCTACTCTGTATACATGTACATATTTTTGTCGATAAGAGGTGTAGATCAAACAGGCATATAGTACGTATAAGTAAAATTACCACAATGTGCGCATGGTGCCGGTGATGCTGCGTATTTAAGTAAATGCCGCATGGCAGCTGTGTTTGTAAGCCCGAGTCCGAGCCTTATACGGTGCGCTCTTTCGTCCTCCGCCTCCTCCTGCTGTTCTCTCCGGCTCTTTATGTTCTATACACGCGCTTGTACATCGTCGCAGCCTTTCTCATCAGCTGGAAAATCAGTCGAGGGAAAAAACATGTACTACGTACGTAGTGACGGGTCCTCGATGAATTTCTATACTTGTATGTTATAGATGTTTGTTCGAGCGTTCCTGCGTATTGAGATGAAAGGAAAATAAGGAGTTGGTTGATGTATACGCTCGTGTGTGTTGTTTTATCGCTCGACGCGTGGGCTGACCGAATCGTGTACAAGAAAATAATACGATGACAACAAAAAAAGGTGGAGAGCGTTTTTTTTTTTTGGGGATATGTGTTATTTTACCGGTGGACCAATCGAAGTTAATAGAGCGGTGATCGTCAAAGTGCACCGATATTATTTTGTCAATCGAATGCCGGTGTATTATTTTATCACGAATCTGAGACAGTGCAGGGAACAATGAGATCTTTTTGAGCCCGATAAAATGGCACTTGACATGCGCCTCCGTGTAACCCGGTTACCGTATACTCACGTGTGTGTACCTCACACACTCGTCCAACCGATTTCACTCTTTCACTCAATTTCTCCGTACACGTGTGCAACACACGCGGCGTAGAGAGCTGCCCGGGTGAAAAAATGCCACGCGTTCTTTCTTCTTTTGTTCCTCCGTTCCCGATAACACAGCTGGGCTCACTATACCGATATACTCCGATAAGGTTAAGATGGACCTAAACTTTGAAGATTATGTAGGCATTTTAAATCTGCCGATTTTGCCCGCTAAGTTAGATTATTTATACAAACAACATGAGCGCTCGGTGTGCTCCCGCTACGTATACGTTAATCAAACAAAGCCCGGCAGCTCGTTATCCTTGGATAACCGAAAAGAAAAAAAAAACCGTCAAATGTATAGATACATCGACCGCGTGTCAGAACTGTTGTGTGCCGTAGATCGACGATCGATTTACCTTGGCGAGATCCATCTAACGCTCTCGAGACCAAAAAAAAAAAAAAAAAAAAAAAAACACGCATACGCCTTTTCATTCACGTCGCGCTGGTGATTCATTCATCCGTGCATTCGCGCGTGTTTGCGAAAGCGCTTCTCGACATGTAAAACGCGTCGAGTTGGTACGAACCGATACCGATTGTACGGCATTCCCAGTGCGCGTGTGCGTTCTTATGTGTACCGAATCTCGGGGGGGGGGGGGAAACACCGATTTCACGTTTTTACACCTACCTGAGGTATAATTTTTGGAACTCACGAATCGTCCAGGGAAAAAGTTATTGGTAGCCAAATCACGTTTTTTCCCCCTCAATACAAAGCGAGAGAAGGAGATCGGTTGGATTATCCGCGTCTTGGGTCATCGATGAGGATTGGAAGTTGTGACTCCTTACAACAAATGCGTCAGACGAGGAAGTGTATATATATACGGCATGTATACTTGTTGCAGGTGACGCAAATGAGACAATACGGGAAAAAATGACCATTTCGTATGTGTGTGTGAGTAGTATACGACTACGGTGTCGTTAGTTTTAGCGGGAGAATCAGGAATTTTGTGGATATACGGCTCTCACTCTCGTGACTTATTTTCAAGGGTATACCTTTGATTGATTCTTCAGAACGATGTTCTAAAAATGATTGGCCACCGCGGAATCTCGGCATCGTACCGCAGTTATTACCCAAGGTTTTGTTTGAATGTTCAGCTGTTGGAAAAACGCTTCGGCTTTGTATGAATCCACACATTTATGGTTCGAGCTATGATGTCACTATGCAAAATCGGTATGTATCGGTATGTTTATCGATGACGCCGCTTCTACATTTAAAACCGTGATGTTTACCTCCATGAATATTATTATTCGGTTCTTCAAACGTAGAAAAATAGAAAAAACAATTGTTTCAAAAATCACCCTTCGATCTCTTTTTCATGCGTCTTTTGTTAACAAGTTAAATCGAACGATTACGCGTAGAAGCACAACGCTCAATGGAATGAAGTTATTTGTTCGAAGGCGTGTAAAATAAAATGCAAAACGCTTTACAAATAACGATATACGATCAGCTACACGCGTGTATACTTGGCTTTTCGAACTTCCCTTTCCTTCTACATTTTCCTTCGCACTTCACATTACGTTATACTCGATCCAGTTCGTATGCACTCTGTTACAGTTATATCACTTGGCTATGTACCGTATACGCGACACAGTGCAGTAAACGCGCGGAAATTGGTACAAACGAGAGCCAAAATAATCTTGTGGTTATAGTTGGGGACTCGCCAAACAAAGTTGAAACAGGAAGGTGGTGATGGGTTGTACCGCTGTCACGTCTTTTGTGCCTATTATGATATCGCCGAGATTTGAGTACTTTGGCCCCCCACAAGGCGTATAGAACGAACTACCTGTCAAATTATTATTTTGCCAATCATCAAAATCGACTCGCGTATACTCTTGCATAAAACTTATGTATATATAACGTTGTTGTACGTATGTTATACTCGTGTGTATACATGGAAAGAGTGTGAGTAGGAGTATGTTTTCTTCGAACGGAATAATGAACTTTCTTCGCGTGACTGCGGAGAGACGACCCCACCAACTGAAGCAGTACGTGGTGTAGTAGACAATCCGTGGGATTTTCCGGTGCAGCATAAGTACACGTACCTACATCCCGTGTACACGTAATTAACCGATACTATTCGGTGGTCCTAATTTTTTTTTTCTCTCTTCATCCGTTCCAAGCAATTAACGCACCCTCCGATCCTTCGCATTGCGTATACCGATACTTGCCGTCTATGCGTAAGTAATTTTATGAATTTTGATTCGTTAAAAACTGATTTTGGACCGTTGGGACTCTGATTTATTAGTGAGGCACATTAGGTTTTTTTTTTCAAACGCCTACGTTTCGTAAATCAGAGTTCGAGATATCACTCAACCGTGGGTTTTTCGAGTGTAAAGAGTTAATGGTGAAATAAATCGCAAAAGCGCAGCAGCATAATTTACAAGCGTGGAAAAATTACTCAACCATATTGAGTGAAAACCCGCTTGCAAGGTGGAAACAACGTGGAACGCCAACCTTTTATTCAAATTAGCCCGATTTTGTCGTTAACCGTTGTTCCGGTGAACTTTAGATGGATACGGTGTACGGAATATGCATCATTTCCAAACAAAAAGTAGGTCCCATTAATCACAATGACGGTTGTACGAAATCACAGATCTCAGAACATTTTTCCCTCTTTTGTTCTACTTGAATATCTTAAAAAATATATTTTCTACGTGTAGGTAAATTATTTGCTCGCGCGACATGATATTATATATATACGCAATCGATGAATCAAAATGAATTGATGAATCGTCATACGTTTGCACACGCGATAGTGGTTATTTTATACACACGTTTCGACACCCGAATACCTTCAAGCCTCGGTCATCTTTGAAAATACCTCATTCATTCGTCCATTTATATCGGTTGAAGAAAAAAAAAAAAGCGATGCTTGAATTACTTGGACACGGAGCATACGAAAATACCTATACACGAACCGATTCCCGATCTCATCGGTCCGTGTTATCGCACAGGATCGCTCATACTGCGAACAGGAAATAAAAACTACATCCTTCCATCGATTCGACTCTCTTTGGATGGAAAAAAAAAAAAAAACTCGACGTAAGCGTTTGTTTTTATCGAGACACAATAAATCGTGAGAAGCGCTCGGACACACTTTCCACCTAATTTCCATTTGGTCTCTATACACGTTTCACTTTCGTGCCTCTGGCCACAACGATAACAATGCAAGAAAGATCCCCCAAAAACCCGTTAAACAAAAAGATACAATACCGCTACATACCTCCCTCCAGAAGATACGGTTCAGTACGGACAACTTTCGGTATAATACTCGCGTTATTTGCTCGTCCATCGCTGTTCATTCCCTTTTCACACTCTAATTGTACTTCCACGAAATTTGTTCCATTGGTCTCTTACACAAGTATTTAAATTGGATTTTTTTTTTTTTTTTTTTTTTTTTTTCGGCAATTCAACAGTCACCTTGTGCAACTAGATAGTCGATAAAAAATAAGGAATTTATACAAAACCACGGGTTTTTGTTCCAAAATTAATTTTCTTGACGACAGATGTGTATATAGGTATACTTGTAACGACTCACATTTTAGGGTAGACAACGAACCATCTCACAACTGTAAGATAAGTAAAACAAAACGTTAAACGTCGCACACAGTTGACACGTCCGTTGAAACCGATAGACGTGTAGTGACTTCTTCCGGGGTAGGTACGTGTAATGAACCAAAAAAAAAAAAAAAAAAAAAAAAAAAAAAAAAAAAAAAAAAAAAAGGCAAAGTGATAAGAAGGAGGGTATACTCGTAACGGGTCTTCCGCGGCCTATACACATAAGATCGTGCCCGCTCCGCATGCTCCATTTGCGCTCCTATATGCACACTCTCTCGCGCGCGGGATTTATAACGGCTCGCCCGCGAGTTCCTATACACATTGGGAGCTATTTTATACATGCATACATGTATAGCGTGTCTCTTTTTGCCTTTTATGTACTTGTATCGGTATGTGTTTAGAAAATATACATATGTATATATATATATAAATATTCGCTACCGCGAATCGAAGAGGGAGAATGCACGATTTGTTCGCCACCGCCGCACTTATAATTAGCCTGGCATACATACAGGTACGTATTATATACATGATGGGTACGCAGGATCAAGAACAATATAAACCGTGTGTACCATAATATGCACTTACTTTTACACTTATCGATGCACATACTTATATGTATACACTTATTTAACGTACGCTCGTGTGGTCGATGGCTCATTGATTATATATTACATACGTAGGTATAGAGCCGGTGAGTATATAGGTGTACCTATAACTATTAATTTAAGAGTAGGTGGTGTATACATACTCGGCTCGTTATTCGCGGTTGATCGGTAATTTTCAGCTAATTGCTTACAGCGTTACTTCCCCATCTCCCCTCCCCCCTCAATCTACGAGAGAAAGAGGGACATGATAAATTATCATTTTTTGTCCTCCCCTCTTATATATAATATACAACGGGGCTTTGTATTGTCCTTACAACTATGCACATATATTGTGGTATTTATTGTATATATACCGATACGATAACGATTTGCTTATCTTTTTGTTTATTTTTCAATTGTAACCATCTAGAGCCGTGTACATTTGCAACGATTTTTATTTATTGTTTTTAACTATAAATCGAATCGCGATGAGAAAAAACAATGTCCTACGAATACTACTTCGTTTACCTGTGACATGTATATATTTATATAGAACGCAGGGGAGGAAACCATACGTATAATGTCCACGTATATGGCCGTGGGATGATTTTTACTCGCGGCGTGCCAGCCACGCACCGTCGGAAAAAAATGAAAGAAAAAAAAAAGACCTTACACCTATACGTGCGGCGTGTGTATATATATCGTTCATCTGCATGAATAAATAAATAAATATACGTGTGCCCAACGCGCGTAGTATACGAGGTATATACGATGCGTAAAACCTCGGGCTGTATACATCATGAAGACTTGCTTTCCTCGTTTCTTTTTTTTTTTTGTTTGTATTCGAACAATGACTCTCTCTATTTTTCTCTTATTTTTTTTTGTGTGCCCCCTCCTGCGCAGTCATTGTTCACTGTTTTCTCTCAAACTTTGGTGCAGGTGTATATACATACCAAATGCTGTTTCCTTCACCGAGCATCAGGTATACACCGAGAGAGAAAAACAAGCCGATTGTACTCGTAGACGTGTTTTAATCACACTCGGAGCCAGAGAGAGAGAGAGAGAGAGATTTTATGGGGGGGGCCGGCTAATTTTCCGCGCGTGTACCTCGTACACTTCTTATACCTGTATATAACATATACGAAACAAGTTAATTTCAACGTCGGAATGTGCATAGTACAAGTACTCCAAAGCGAGCCTATATCCATAGGTATACATCTCGCCAGAGTATCTGCTTCAACAAATGAACTTTTCACTTTCGTCCGAGCGTACTTATATATATATATAATGTCCATTGCGGAGAGAGAAAACGTACAAATTCACACAATTGGCATATGTAGGTATGTCGGTATGTGCACCCTTTGTTTTTCTATATAGGTACTTTCTCTCGTGTAGGTATTAAGATTGCACACGCGCTTGACCATTCCGCGAGGCAAGTTACAAGTAGACCTTGAGACGTACACCAATGCGAAGGAACCACACACACGCGTGCCATTAAACACCCAAATGTATATATACGCGTTATTCTCAATAGCAGGTAATTTTTCATAAATTTCCACACTCCATGTAAGTATACATCAGAGGGATGTTAATACAAGTGAAAGATGTATATATTATGCCGGGGTTCAACTGTATAATAACATGATAAAGCGCGGTGATTCACGTACACACTGCGCACGAGTACCCCAAAGGAGATGATATACTGTGCACAGGGAACCAACGAAAAAAAAAAAAAAAAAAAAAAAAAGAAAAGGAAGCCAATCCGCAGACGCGATCGGCGTGCAATGCTCGTCCTTGAGCTTGTCGGCGTGAATATACATAGGTATTACTCGTGCAGGACTCCCCCAGCCCCCAGCTGCCACATGAATGTATACATACTGCCGCTGCACAAGTCGAGGAGAACGAGTTGAGCATATCCACCCACTCGCTCTCCTCTCCCGCGGCAAATCCTCTCAAGGCGACGCTCTTTTCTTCTCGTTTTATTTTTTTAACTTTTACACGGGCTTTTTTTAACTCATTTTTCTCATGCACCTTTTTTTTCTTTCATTTGCAATATCTATTGTCCGTTGTTTTTTTTTTTTTTTTTTTTTTTTTTTTTTTTTTTTTTTTTTGCGAGAGAGCTGTAATTTTGCAACATTATAAATATCCTTGCTTGTAATTATGAAATTACCAGAGATCCTTATCGTGACTCCTTAATTTTATTTATTTACTTTATTTATGTTTCTATGGTAGAATCATCCGAAGATAAATAAAGAAGAAAAAAAAAGTTTCAGTAGAACGAGTCGAGTGTTGGTAAGACGCTAGTTGGTAAGACACCATATTATATGCGTCAAGTGACAGACGAGAGGAGAATTGGGTATTTCCCAACAACTTGTTGATTTTGAGTCCCGAAACGATTCGTTTTATAATGACTTAAATTGGGGACGCGAAATTACCGTAGGTATGCATTTTCATCCGATCGAGTTTATTTTGCACGACAAAAGCTTCGTCGTGATACACGAGAAACAATTTGACTTTTATGTTAACGTAAACATAAAAAAAAGAAGAAGTTACACGCTCTCTCCCTCGATTTTTTTTACATATCGTTTCATTGCCTCGACCACGTGTGGTGTACCAACACATTTGATCCTTTTTTTTTTTTTTTTTCTCTCTCTCTTCACGGAAATCCCTGCTTGAGTTATACCATATTACGGAGCAGAGCTGTAAACAAAGTGTTTGCCAATAATCGAAACGCGAATGTATTTCCCCCGGAGGCGTGACGCAATTTTTGCGTAACTCGCGCGTACAACTCTCGTTTTCATTTCTCCCCCACGCCGTCACCACCGTACTTAAAGGCGATAGGAAAAAAAAAAAAAAAAAAAAAAAAAAAAAAAAAAGTTTTGAAACTACTAGCCTGTATGGAAACACTTTTGAATGTCCATTAAACTCGCGCGCAAAGATGTGCGTGGGAGCGTCATTGGTTCCTGTCCGATTGATCATGTTTTTCGTCTTTCTTCCAGAAGCTCGTTCCGAGGAGTGGAGCCGAGGTGTATCGGCAGAGCAACGGCGAGCCGGTGAGGGAATCAGCTGCAGGCGGAGAGAGGCCGGGCCCCCGCGAGGTTCGCGTGGGCCCACACGTATATACTTGCATCGGCGGAGAGGGAGAAGGACAGAGCGAAGATGGAGGTGGTGCTGTCGCCGGGCAACCTCGGGGGCGACAGCGCGGACGGGGCCCCGTTTCGCAACGAGGACGTGCGCGAGTGGTCGAGGGTCGATCGGATCACGGGCATGTTGGAGAGGGCGCGCGTCGAGACTGGCCGGTGGCGGGCCAACACGCGGGATGCTGCACACTCGTACGGAAAGGTCGGGGATTCGGGTCATTTTCATTTTTTTCCTTTTTTTTTTCTTATATATTTATATATATATAGCCTACATAATCATCATCGGCGTCGACGAGGGAAGAGTGAAACGTTGAGTTGGTATACAAGTAACGTACAAGTCCAAGTAGACGCTTCAACAATTTTTTTCTTTTTTTTTTATCGACAAGTAATTTAGGATTAAACCAACGGTTCAAACAATTTTTTTAAACTTGAACAGTTTCTTCTAAAACGATTGACTAGGAAAGGTAGATTAGTACATACATTTTTAATTGATGATACACCAATTTGTTTGTTCATCAAATGGTTCATAAACTCGGTATTTCCTAATACACCGATCGAGTAACAAGTGAGATCGTTATCGGGAAATCGGCAAAAAAAAAACCTTTGCGTCCACTTACCGATTATTACCGATCAGCTGCCGATGGACGTAGCCCACGCCATCGATCGTAAATAAACTAACTATATTATCGAGTTCGCTCAACCCAACAGTGTACATGCACGAGGTACCGATAAACTGCGGCATTCATTGTATACCGATCGTAAGTGTTTCTCAACAACGAAGCCAACCAGTTGAAATAAACGGCAAATTAAATCGAGAAAACGTCCAAAAAAAAAAAGGAGAGCAAAAACACATGCGCATTAAGTATCTCTTCCTCTCCTCGGATACACTTTACCTATACACGTATATATAATCAGCTAACCGGCCAATTGACTTCACTTGGGAGCGCGCGCTCACTCCCAAATTGCTCGCAACTTTCTACCATGTATTACTTGATTCAACGCCCATATAAGTAAGCCCCCATCAGGAGAGTTATCGCTCTCGTTTAAGTATTTTCACTTTCGCGTTCTTACCTCGAATCCTCGGTTTGTTGTTTTTGTTGCCCCTTACCGTGCACACGCGGTAAAAGAGAGAGAGAGAGAGAGCTTTCCCCCCCCGCAAAAAAAGCCGAGGGTTGCGAGAGCAGAGACGTATACGTATATATATGAACAACGCGTCAACCGATACGTGTGTAAAATATATATGTGACGATGGGCGGTGGAGTCAGAGAAGAAGCGGCGCGTGGGGCGACGACGATTTCGCGTGAGCACCGCGCGAATATTGCACACCGCGTATACCTGGCCAACGTCAGTAGCCCCATGTCGCGCTCGCCGCGTCGTTATACCTTACGTGTGCGCGCGGAGAACTCCAATATAATATATACAACCACTTTTTTTATACCTATATCTCTTTGAGTCATTAACGTCATATGTATATAATATACTGACGCGCACAAGTAAAATACGTATATAGTGGCGCACCTTTCCCCCCCCCCCCTAAACCTCGTTTATCGCCCGCGTAATAAGTACACGCTACTTGCCTACCGTGCACTTGTACCTACATACTTATAGTTTCGTGGAAAAATATCGTTTTGTTTTCCTATACGATATCATGGAGAGGACAATCGACACATCAAACTATATTGGATCGCGAAACATGTGAATTTTGGGTGCTCGTCAATTATTGTTGTATACGGATTGAGTTATACATTGGATACATCGGTATAATTACACTGCGATCAAACAAGATGGTATGACTACGTATATTATACATATACTATTATATATATATTTTTTTTTAATTTAAATCCTGCGTGTATATATAATATGTATATATGCGTTAAAAAAAATGTCATGACGATCGATAGCTGTTTCCGTCAAAATTCAATAGAAAAAACTCAAAGAGCCTTTGTTTCCCAAACGTCGGGCGAAGCCGCGCAAAGACTAGCCAAACGAATAAAAAAAGAGAAGAAACAAAAAAAATCGTACACACGGCCGGGTGTTGTATGCGCCGCGAGCACATCCTGCGGAGACTCATAAACCTTTTTATTGGCGTGTATACGTATCTTCTTTTTTTTTTTTTTTTTTCTTTTTTACCTATACGTGCATGAAACAAGTGTGGCTCTTTGTTGTTGAGTTTTTCTTTTGGCAAGTATATACTTAAAATGTATACTGGCTACACACTGTGCGTGGACTCGATTTTTAAAAGGGGGTACGGATCGGTTGCAACTCGATGAAAAAAAAAAAAAATGGAAAAATTATCAACGCGTCGTAAATAAAAAATCCACCAACCCTCCTGACCAACCCCCTCGCAATCAGCACCTCGTTCGCGCATAGTTTCCAATTATCCTTGCTGAGAAAAGTAAAAGTAAACACAGAGCCAGAGCGCTAATTGCTAGTGCAAAGCTCCTCCTACCATCGAGCGTGCGATGTGTCATTACACAGAGGAAAAAAGTGTCTCCTCCTCTCCTCTCCTTTCCCTCTTTTTCTCAGGTGAGAAGCAGCAGCGCGAGCGATTCCTTATCCGGCGAGTCGAGGCGAAAGAGATACGCGGTGCTCGAAGGCGACGCGACCTACTGCGGTTGCTAATAGTTGTGCAATTTTCGTGCATTATTATTTACACACCATATACATTATATATATATATACACAGTTGCTCTATAGGGGACGAGCTGCGCGAAGCTGTATATATAGAGGACCAATTAGGGAGGGGAAACGCGCAGCTAATGTACACCTCGGGCGAAAAGTCGAGAGAGAGAGAGAGGAAAATTTCACTCTTCCCGTGCCGTTACGACGAGATGTGACAGGTGAATGATTTTTTTCCTCACTTTTTTTTTTTTCGCTCCGTGACTCCACGACGCGCAGATGGTTGACTCGAGAGAGCGGAACTCGGCGGACGGCAGTTTGGTGCAGAGGGCTCGCCGCCAGGTCGAGATATTCCAGAGCCAGGGCACCGGGGGCAGGTCGTTCCAGGTGGTCAGAGCCTCCCAGTGGTCCTCCTCGAGAGCCAAGGACACCGGTATCTTCGACGTCCCCAGCGTCAGTACAAACCGTTTGTCCGATTGTCTTTTGTATACCCATACATTTCAAAAACTTTTCGCGTCCCCCCCGCAGTCCAGCTCCATCAGCAGTACGGAGCAGCAGCCGGCAGTCGTCGCGGGCAGTCCACCGGTGACGAACGGCGAGGCCACGAGCCTCGCCTCGAGACTGAGCCTCTGGCGCTCGAGCTTCCACGACAAGGCCTCGGACCTCGAGCGGCTCTCCAGCCTATGCCGTAAGCTCCACGACGAGGCCCTCAGCCAGAGCACCAACTTCTGGTCCCTGAGATCGGGCTCCCGGAGCCCGTCCCCTCTACCACCGCCGATGGCCCAAAACGGCCACCGCGAGCCACCGAGCGACGACAACACCAGCGACGCCAGTTCCAACAAATCCTCGTTGTTGTTGGCGACCGAGCGCAGGAGCAACTCGACCGAGGACTTGTCCAGCGACGCCTTCGCCAGGGACTGCCGGACCCGCAGGTCGCTCCAGGTCGGCCCCGACAACTCCCCCGAACCTACGGCGAGCACCGACAAACTCGTCGCCGAGCGCGCCCGCAAGTTCGAGGAGGCCGCGAGGCGCCGGGCCACCGGGGAATCACCATCCACCGGCAAGCCCAGGAGGTTCGCGAGGCAGTTCGCGTCGATCGCCGACAACGACTTTGTCAAGAACGACCCGAAGCACCCGTCCAAGCAACCAACGGCCCACAAGGAGCCCGGTGGTCGGTGCAAGCCTATATACGACACATAATAATATGTGGCCCAATCGAGTAAAGAGACGATGTCCATTGGTTTCAGCGGGTCGCAACAACAAGACGGTCGTGCACCTGAGGAGCGCGGCGTCGCCCGACAGGAGCGAGTCGAACGACACCCGGGAGCCCGAGTACTCGATGCTGGTGGACGCTAGCTCGGCTCCTGTGTTGGCCAACGGCAAGCCGGTCAAGAGGGTCGAGTTTTGCAAGACGGAGATACACTTTGCCCCCGACTCGGGCAAGGTCAATATAGTCGAGACAGACGGCAAGCCACCTCCCACGAACAAGTTCCGGAGACGCAGGAGGAACAATAACGCTCCTCCCATGGCCAATGGTGCGCTCCAGGTATGTCTCCTTTTTTTTTTTATTAAGATCGGTTCGTGATACTTTATTGAGACGAGTTGACGGTGGCAGAAGAGCGACCTGCCGTTGGTGCACTTTGGCGACACGTCCTACGAAAAGTTTATATTCGGCAAGCCGCCGGCGACGCGGGACGATTCGTCGGCCGTGGTGGACGCCGAGGGTGGCTGCAAGAGTCACGAGCCGGTGGCGCAGCGTTGGGCCTCGCCAGGAGCATCGAGGGAGGATCACGCGACGGAGGAGAGAGTTGGCGACCGCAGGCATCCGCAGAAGGGCGCGCACACGACGACCGTCAACTTCCTCGGTAGCGAGAACGCCGGTGGGGCTCTGATGCCGAGCATCGGCCAAGGTATGTATGTTTGTTGGCTTGTGCTGGTGGTTTTTCTTTTTCTTTTTCAGCGTATACTTGCATTGTCTACTAACGAGGTAGGTTTTGGATGGATGTATGTTATTGTGTACTGGGATACAGTATAGTAACAGCCTGAGGATGTGACATGTGTGTTTATTATGGTAATTGTATCGCGGGGGCGTGACTAAAAACTATTGGCGAAAATGTATTTCGGTTCTCTTAGTTGAAATAATAACCGCACGGTAACACACAGTGTCCCTCGCTCATTAATCGCATCGCAAATTCATACCTCATCGGTTGATCGACCAATTCACTAAAAAAAAAAAAAAAAAAAAAAAAAAAAAAAAAAAAAAAAAAAAAAAANCCAGGCATCGGCGGAGAATAAAAAAAAAAAAAAAAAATGAAAAAGAAGCACTGCATGAGTATATTCGCTACTACCCACGGGGAAGAGAGCAGTCTAGCCCAATATGGCACTTGCAGGAGCCAACGTAGCGGGCATTCGGCTGCAATTTGCGGCGTCGAGCCGCAGCCTCAGCCCGATAAACTTCGGCGACGAGCGCGTCAGCCGTACCACCAAGATAACCGTCCACTTGCCAGCGCCCACCATGATCTACCACCACCACCACCGTCACCGGCTGAGTCCGTTCGCGAACCTGAAATCGGTCCAACTAGTCATGAGTATCGGCAAAGAGCTGCAGTCGCTCGATCGGCTCTTCTCCACGCTCTGCAACAACAGTACAAGTAATGGCAGTGACAACGATGACTGCAGTGGTACGAGTACAGAAGCCGGCACCCAGAAGCTGTGGTCGCTGAAGCTCGATGATGAGAAAAAGCCGGCCAATGATGGTGACGATGATCGGCAGTCTAGGATCGTTGTCGACCAATCGCGAATGATCGAGGGTACAGCAGTATACATATAATCCATTTTTGTACATAGTTTCGTTGAAAACAAAAAGAAAAAAAAAAGTACATATTGTTAAGCCGGCTGCGATTTGTATATATTACATTATTATTATCATCATTCGCTTCAAGGGGGACAATTCATTCTGATTTTCCTTTCAACTCACGCTTTGGGCGTATGTTTCACGCGTCACTTTCGCTTCCACATAATACACACTCCACTCGCAACGATCGTTACGTATCGTTGAGTTTTCGATTCTTGTAAAGTACTGTGCAGGCAGGAAGCTTGGATTATTATTGTTTGTTTTTTTTTTTTTCGCGTAGTTAAGCCACGTTTTTATCTACCGATTTTTCTAGATAAACCCAGCAACGTTTACCCATCGATCGACGTCGCGTCAAAGGAAATCGGCCGACAGGAGCAAGTGATATCCAAGGACTCGGACAACAACCAGGTGCTGTTGAAAATCGTCACCACGCACAAACCGACCCTTGCCAGAGTTGAAAACGACCATCAGCCGGTCAGACCCCTCAGATCCCGATCGATGGCCAAGAGTCTCGGTAGCGACGAGGTCGACGTTCCCTCGGCCAACGAAGAAGCCAAAGACCCGCACTATGATAGCGTCTCCGTAGGTGCGATTCCCAACGGGACGACGAGCGACGCCGGTAAGGACAACAGCGACGGCAAAGATGCCCAGCCGACGTACGAGAACGTGTTCGACACCGTGGGCACGCCGGTCTACGAGAATTTCCAGGTCACCAGGGGTGCCGACAAGCTCGTCAAGAGGATGAACAAATCGTCCGCCGTCGAGAAGACGCCGGTTGGCCCAGCCGCGCACGACAAAAAGCACAGAAGATTGTCGTCGCGAGCCAGTGGTGATTCTACCGACCGGGCGTCGAGCAAGAACGTTAAGGCTAAGGGTAGTACCCGGCCCGAGACTCCGGTCTCAACCACGAGGAGCCTCCGGTCGAACGGCTCGAGGGAGAGCTCGGTCAGAAAGGTCAAGGAAGCCAAGCCGGTGAAGGAGGATGGCTCGAGGAGCGCGCAAGCGAGGAGAAAGACTGGCTCGAAGGAACCCTCGGCTCAAGCGTCGGAGCGCAAGGGTGTCGAGAAAAACGGCGGCGGGTCTGTCAGGTTCGTGTGATTTTTGGCGTAAATGTAAGTTTTTATTGCCAATGGGAGGACTGATGGTGTAACATTTCGATTCGTTGACAATTGTAGGTCGAAAAAGACACCGGTAGAGGTGGTGTATCAGACTGCGGTGTACAACATCAAGAACGAGAATTTGAACAAACCAAAAGTGAAGGAGGTGAAGGGCCCCCGTTTGATAAACGATCTCATTTGCGGCAGCAAAACGAAACGCCCGTCGGATAAGAAACCGATCAAGAGTGAGTAATCGCATTGTTGTGTCGTGTCGATACGTGTGATAGTTGGTACAATTTTTTTTTGAACCGTTATTTCCAGCAGCTAATGTGTCGCAGAATACAAGCAAGAGAAAAGAAATGCCCACGGTTACGAAAAGGTATGGTAAAATCAACTATGTTTGGATATTATCGACATTTTATGTATAGTACACTTGTTTTTGTTTCAGATAGTTGACGGTGGCTCCCTCAAAGTTGGAATAACTAATGAATATTTAGCCTTTGATACTAATATTTAAGTAATTAATGTTAATTGAAGCGGAATAAAAGTTCCTCTCGAGATTTTTTTTTTTTTTTTTTTTTTTTTTTTTAACAAGTACTTGCATAATAATTTATTAATGTTAATTGAAGCGGAATAAAAGTTCCTCTCGAGATTTTTTTTTTTTTTTTTTTTTTTTTCATATGAAATTTGTACATTTTTTAACACTGACCCTGCCATTATTGACTGAAATAAATAATCTCATGGAGTTTGATAACGGTGAAGCTTCTTGTATTTTTTTTTACCTCCCCTCACAAGAGATTTAAAAAAGTAGAACAACGTAAGGACGCAATTGTAACTGAATTAAAATATGAAATGATAAATTTTCGAATAAAGATCACAAAGCCCAAAACTATTGAATTATTGTTTATCATCTTATTTTTCTAAATACATTTATGTACATAACAAGTTCAAAAAAATCATAATACGATGAATCACGATGTTAAAAATTCCAACACTTATATCATAATCATAATCCTATGTATTTTACAAAATAATATTAACAATTTTTCAGAGGAAAGACACAACAAATTGAACACAACTTACAAAGCTGTAGTATAAGTTAGTTGTTTAAGAGCGAGGAAAAACTCTCAAACTTTAAGAAGATATCTGTAAGGTATGCAAGTTGTTTGAAATCTGGTTTCAATAATTGTGCTCTCTGCATAGTAACTTAATAACTAAAATTACATGTATGATTGTAAAGTAAATTGTACTTATATGGTATTGCTGATGTCTAATCTAGGTCGCTTTCGCCCCTCTTCTGGGGAATCACCATTTGTTGACAGCAAGTCCCTTTTTCTTCCGTTGTTTGCCAACTAAAAACAAATCGTAACTAGAAATTGTTTGGATTTGTGGTAAACGTAAAATAAAATAAATTAATACGATTGATCCTTACATTTTTATCCCATTTCTGATGCAAATATTTTAAAATAATCGTTTTAGTTTCCGTCACAATAACTGAAAAAATAAAATATACTCAATGTTAGTTTTCTAATGACAATCATATTCATGATTATGAGCCACATACCCTGTTCTGAAGGATAGTCTTTTGTGGGAAGATAGACAGATGGTCGTTTTATGCAAGTCCTATTAGCATTGTCCGTGTGGAAATTAGCAAAATTGTTTTCATTGATCGAAGGCAATCCACTGAGAAACTCAGCAACAGACTGAAATCATAAACCCATGCAGATAGCAGAAATAGATACAACAAATGAAGCCAACAAGTACCAAAGTACAAAGGCAGTCAATGAGGTTAAATTGTTAAAAACTGATATGAAAAAGACAATCTGCATTCCAGAAGGTTAACTAATCGTGTTATTCAAACAAAGAACTTGTAAAAGTTTGCACAAATAAGTCTGGAATAGCTGGTAAACTGGTTTGTAAATAACCTGAAAGCTAAATTTGAGAAATGCTTACCGTTTTGGAAGATTCTGAGGCCCCGTTCAGGACCATTTTTAAAAATACAGCAGACTCCTATATGAAGCAGATTTGATGGCAAACGAGAAATCAAGTGAAAAGATCTTATTGCTTCGTGAAAAACACAAAAATACACGTAACTTCTAACTTTGCCTCCAGCGTTTTGATGATACTTCTTTTGTACACTTTGTCTAGTGTTTCAGTCGAGAATGTAAGTATATACTGCAGCATACGTAAGTGTACGACTAAAGTACACGTTTGCTCCAAAATTGTCCAAATATACTGTTTACATCAGCTGTATAAGCACGAAATAGTCGAGTCCAGACGACTCGATACGGTAGGCAAACCTTTCGGAGCAAGTCATTTTAGGAGTGCGGCATTTACCTATACATTCCTTTTACTTGGGTAGTCTATACCAGGGTATATAATATATGGAAGAATAATGGAAGTACTCGGACAATCTTTTTTTTTTTTTTTTTTTTTTTTTTAACAAGTACTTGCATAATTTTTTCTTAACCGACGCGACTACTTGTAAAAAATATTATGTTTTAACAAGACAAACATGCGACAGAGTCTGCGAGCTTACATTCATTCAACTAAATTATTTTTCACTCGTTAAGCGCACTCGTAACAAACAACATAATTTTCATACTTATAACTAATACGCGTTTCTCACGCTCCCATTGGCCAGGGCACAAGGTTCGTTTGGGGCTTAGCTTGGAGCAGCTCGGAGGAGCTCTACCGAACTTTGCCTTTGGAGCGCCTCTGAGCAAATTCCTACAGTCAGTATATCTATATTGACAGACGTATATATACGTCTTGGCCATATATATAGACATACCGACTGTAGGAATTTGCTGGGAGGCGCTCCGAGCTGCTCCAAGCTAAGCCCCAAACGAACCTACAGTTAATGAGTCAGATGCAGCGTTGCCGTTCTATACAAGCTAGCTGGCAGGATCCATAGAGGCAAAACAATCAAACACAACCGGCAACGTTGGCTCGCAACAAGGTGAGAGAAAAACGCGTACCGCTTCAAACGCCGCTATGTCGTTTGATTAATGAGTCTGATATGGTGCTCGCACCGATGTGTACAAAAATTTAAAATCCAAACGTGCCTCAACTTAGTGATGAAAAAGTTGAGTGGACATCAGGTGAAGGTGCCAAGTCCGAGGTATCAGTGGGAAGAGGATGCAGAAAGCGACCTACATTAATTGGAGCCCAGGTGACCTTCGACCCCTTTTTGCCTGCAGCGGAAACCTGTTGCATTGTGTATACTTGCTTGAGAGTTGACAGACGGAGAACCCGCGAGGATGGAAGTTGTCAAGTGGAGCGAGCTCGACAAGAAGCCGAGCTGCCCGAACCACTATGTGTTCCGAACAAGATCGGTGTACGACGGTAGCAGCAGCTGCTGCTCCAAACCCTTGACCGTCAACTTCACCCACTGTGCCTTCGATCCGCACGACGAGGCGCTCGTTGCCATCGACAACAATGGCATGGCCTACTACATTGACCTGACTGATGCTCCTGCTTACAAGAAATTGGGCTGTATCGGCCTGTGCACGTTTTTGACCTTCAATCCCTATGACAGGGGTGAGCTCTTGATTGGCTTGAGTTCCACAAACATCAAGGTCATGAGGATCAATTCCATCAACGACTTCTGTTCCTTGTCTGGGCACACCGCACCACCCACCGATATATCGTTTTACAAGGAGTACTGCCTGACTGTCTCCAACAAGGAAGTTATCGTGTGGCACGTCAAGTCTTACTGCAGAGCTCACATGCTACGTCTGAACGTCAAGAATTTGGTCATCAAGAAGGCCAAGTTTTCGAGTTTGGGCGTCGTTGCCGTTTTGTATCAGAGTAACGTTATACAGACTTGGATGTTTCAGCAATTTCAGCAGGATAACAAAATGGATTTGGAAAAGTTGGGACTGAAGAATGTCAAGGACTTTGACTTTACCAAGGATGGCAGAGCCATGATTGTCTGTGGATTGCAAAATACCATTTTAGTGTTTTTCACGTCAAATTGGCAGTTGATGAAAAGAATGGACTTTCGGGAAAGTTTCAGCGGAAGCAGACAGCTCGTTGTGATTCCAGTGCCTTTAGATGGGGGAGCGAATTCGATTATTGCAGTCATCACTTCTGATCGCATGCTCAGGTTTATAAACTTGGCAATGGCTAGTGTCTTACAAAACTGTTGTGACTTGCAAAGTGGTTTCAAAAGGATGGTTGTTTCACCCAGAGGGTATTTCATGGTGCAGATAAGTAAACATGGTTTTTTAGAAATTTCCATGTTAGATAAGGTTTTAAATATAAAAATTAGCTCTTGCTCGAGTAGCGACAAAAGCAAGGAACGAGCGCCAGTAATAAAAAAGTCAGCAACCTCGTCTGTTTTTCATAAAGCAGAGTACCATTTAAAATGCGTGAGAACTGCTTTGAAAGAAGAATTGAAATTACCTAGACTACTTCCTATTTTGAAAGAATTTGGAGAGTACCCTGGAAAGTACAGAAAGCTCATTTGGATGACAATAATGGAATTACCTAGTAATAAAAAAGCTTATATAGATTTATCTAACAAGACTCCGCATGAAGCTATGTTTCAGTTGCTAAAAAATGATCCCTTGTTAGAAAGATGTAAGAGTTCTCTTTTAGGGACAACAGTGAGTTGTTTACTCCACTGGTGCCCAGTACTCAAAGAGTGTATCTACATTCCAAAACTTGTAGTGCCTTTTTTAAATGTTTTTCAGGTACATCATTCAATCATCATTATATTAATTATGTCTTTTGATTTTAATTTAAAAAAAACTTTTTTTTTTTTTTTTTTTTTTTCAGAAAAATCCTGTTATGGGATTTGAAGCGATACTTTATATATTGTTAAATTACTGTCAAAGATGGTTCGAGTACCATCCCCTGCCACCACTAAATATTTTAGGTATAGTGGAGAATATTTTACTAGAAGCAGATCCACAGCTCTTCGATTATTTTTGTGAAAAAAATATCTCTTCAACCGACTACGCTTGGCCTATGATGCAAACTTTGATGACTGAAGTGCTGTCTACAAATGATTGGTTAATTATGTGGGATCACATTCTTTCGATTCAAAAACCTTGGTTCTTTTTAATGTGCATAATAGCCTACAGTATATTGCACAGAATAATCATTATGACAAAGCTTCAAAAAGCGAATGACATTAGGCAATTTTATAAGACTGAGGGACACGTCTCTATGAAAACTTTGTTAAAATTGGCTTACAAATTTGACTGTGGAACGCCTCCTCGAATTCATCCGCGGCGATATCTCAGGTACTTAAAACTTTTAAACGCATTTAATAATTAGATTCAGTAAATTCATTAAATTTTGTGGTTTATTCTAGATATGAAATCATGACCGTGCCGAAAGATGGGCCATATTTACCATTTTTGCAAGATGAATTCCCGAGTTACTTGACAGATGAGTTACGCGGATTAAATTTAAAAAATCTCAAAGACAAAGAGCGTCGTTTAAAAGGATTTTATTTACACGCTATGGAACTTTTAGAGGAAAAAAGACTGTGCGAAGAAAGCGAACTTTTTATGAGACATGTACATAAGATGCGATTAAAAGGTAAATTTTTTTATGATTAATACAAAAGATTAGTTAATTGTTCTTGAACCAAGGATTTTTTTAGAACTTCGCAAGTGCTACGAAAATCGAGTGCACGACGACGAAAGGCTACTAGAGTACGTGAGACACAAAACAGATGCTGTGAGTCCCGCCGGTTATTTACGTGAAGACATGCATAACAGCGTAATGAGTTTAAACGGGCGAAAATCTGGTTGTACAGCGGATTATAAAAAAAAGAAAAGAAGAAAAAGCAAATCGGAAAGTTGTAAGCAGTTGCAGGAACAAGTTGAAAGACTCGAATATGAAGTACAGAGATTGCTCACAAAGCTACAAAGTTCATCAAGGTCCCGATATATATAGGGTGTGATGATTGTATTATTTATGGTTGAGCGCTTGACACTATAACGTTATCTAGTCCTATTAAGATTTTAGAAAGTTAAACAGTTAATGGATTACAAATATATTTTTATATATTTCTATAAAATAAAAAAATATAAATTTTCACAATTTTTTTACGTGTAAAATGGTAACTTGCTAATTTTAGCCAGCTGAAAAAACACATTTCACGAGTCGTATTGTATCAAAGAATGAACTGGAGCCGTTAACTTTGTACGGCCTTTCAAAGAACTCAATTCTACGATGAAAAAACATTGAACAACACTCATTCCAGCTGATTTTACTAATTTTTCTGCAGCTTCCATAGTTCCTGAAATAAACATGTTTCAAGTACAAATTATTTTTTTAGAGCAGAGTAATATAGTTCATTCGAAATAAGATTAGCTCTATACCTCCAGTAGCTATGAGATCGTCTACAAGAAGAACTTTATTTTTTCCATGCAAGTCATTAATTTGCATTTCTATGGTATCTTCACCATACTCCATAGTATAACTTTGTTGAATAACTTTGCCAGGCAGCTTTCCCTTCTTTCTTATTGGAATAAACGGTTTAGCTAACCCAAGACTAATTAGTGGACCCAGCAGAAATCCTCTTGAGTCTAATCCCACAATTAATTCAATATCTAAGAGAGCAACGTGACCAAGTATTAGATCCGTCATTGCTTGCATAGCTGCTGCATTTCTGAATATTCCAAATATATCTCTGAAAGTAAAATTTGATTGTAATAATAACTAATTGAATACAAATGTTAAAGCTAATAGGTTCACTTCTTTACCTAAATATTACTCCTGGTTTTGGGAAATCAGGATAGCTTGTAAGGGCATCTTTTACCAATTTCAATTTTTGGGATTTTTCCATTTTCTATTGAGTGTACGAAAATATTATTAACGATACCAAGTAACGATAAATAATGTCTTCATGAAAAAAATATCATAAATGTGGCATAATATTAAGAAACGCACCCTTTATTTTATACAGATAAAAGAAAAAATATTTTACTTCTCATTTGACTGTAAATGATGAGTTAAAAACAGATAATTTAATATTATTAAAATAAATAATAAAAATAAAAATTCAAGTTTAAATCATAACATTGTCCATATTGTTACTTACATCGACGTTTAGTATGAACGATTTTCCAAAAGCAAAAACAATTGATATTTCTGAAATTTCGTAGGTTACATTGAGAAAAAAAAAACTGTATTACAAGTGATCGTGAGGTGACAATTTAGTAAACGTAAAAAAATTTTTAAAAACTTCGGAACGAAAATTTACCCGAACAAAATCAAATATCAAAGACTGTTACTGTCACCTCATGTTTCTTTAAGCGCGTGATAAGCACTCGATGTGCTTTCGATAACCACACCCGCAATGATAATAAGTTTTTTTAAGCGTAACTCCATTCATGCGAAACAGTCAAGAGATTGCGCGAGCAAACAAACTTCGATTGTTTTGCAACTTATGTGTCATATCAAAATCTATAAGCAGTAAATACATTTTCTGAAAATACAATCGCAGACCAGTCGCTTACAAACATCACTCATCAATGAGCTTTGTTAACTTTGGAAATTAAATGTAAACAAACAAATTTATGGTTTTTTCAAGTACTACGAGGAGACATGCAACAAGTAAGTTTGATGATTGATTTGATTTTTTATCGAATTTACGATGGATTTGCAAAATTTTTTTTTGTTTTTCTAAAAAAATGATCAAATTTTTTGAATAAAAATGACATTCAGGGTTTACCTAAGAGTTCCTACCTGACCGGCAGCTGCTCATTTTCATCACATGTGAGCTGAGCTGAGCTAAATAAACCTATTGAGGGTACGAAGAGGAGAAGTGGGGGTACTAGAAAAAAAAAGGAGAAATAAAATTTTTTGGAGTAATCTTATGGGCCAGCTAAAGATACACATATATAGTGTCACAGTGCACTTACACATAAGGTACCCATTGTAGAAGATTTTAATCTTGTAGAATATGTTATTAGTCATCCGTACGACGACGAGCGACGTCTTTACTGTTTATTGTTATTATTAATCAGCTGCATTGAATGCGCAGCTAGAGTTGAGGGATAACAAGAACGACGTCAACGTATGAAAAACAAATTATCATCATCGTATGTGTTGAGCGACGCCTGAACACTTGAACAGCCGCAGTGAGGTGACAGTTCCATGCAACACCAAATCTCCTTGTGTAAATCTAAATAAATATAGCATTACTTGGAGCCAAAAGAGAAGCCCTACGGATACCCACCCTCGTATACTTAAGTCGAGGAATCACGTTTGTTACGTGTTTTTTTCATAGCTTTGGCTGAGTAAAAACGCAGCCAAGATGATGAGTTTTCTCTCTGGCTCGCCTTTTGACGCTGACGTCGGTGAGTGTATATACCTACCTGTTTTACGGTATTGCTTTCTTCTCGTCATTGTTGTTTTAAAGACTGATTTTTGCTGAACAAAACGCGCAATTTACTTATTGTGTAAAGTGCCAATCATGATAAGAGTTATCATTTCAGCATTTAGTTTTACCATTTTTGTTTTCATTGCTTGATACACTAACTCTGCTGTTTGAACAAAGATATTTTATTAATTTACAATGGCATAATTGTTCATCCTTGGTTTGGAAAATAAATGTGAGTACTAATGTAGATTATTTTTTTTTGCAGAAAAAGCGACCAGTGAAAAGAGTACAGCTGAAGATTGGGGTCTCATCATGGAGATATGCGACAAGGTCGGTAATTCACCTCACCATGCCAGGGACTGTCTTCGTTCCATCATGAAGAGATTAAATGCCCAGGATCCGCATATTGTGATATTGGCTGTGACTGTGAGTAATTGCTCATTGCTGTAGTTCATTGTTCGTTAAGGTTATCAAAAACATACGTTTTCTGTGTAATAACTTTATTGCATCAGATTCAATGAGTTTGTCTGATATCTGAGAAAAGCCAATAATTTTACATGGCTTGTCATTTAGATCTAGTATGGATAATAACTGATACAATTGGCAAATTTCTAACGCAAAATTTTAATATAATACAATTTTTTTACAGTTACTTGATGCCTGCTCCAGTAATTGTGGAAAAGTATTTCACTTGGAAATTGCATCAAGAGATTTTGAAAATCAGTTTCTGAAGCTCATAAACAATAATCGTAGTCAACCAAAAATTTATGAAAAATTGAAAGGACTTTTAAAAAAGTGGGCTGAAGGTGATTTTAAGACAGATCCTCAGCTTAATCTAATTCCAAGTCTGTATCAGAAACTAAAATCGGAAGGTCATGACTTTTCTGCACCCACTGAAACAGTAAGAAAATTTATTTTGTTTTTGGATTTTTTTTTATTATTATTTTTTTAATACTTTCTATCCAATAAAACGCTTATTCTTCCAATTTTGTAGCCAAAACAAACTTATGCAGTGTGTAAGGATCCAAACGTTGTTACCAGTACTCAAGAAGAAGAAGAGATAGCCAAAGGGTAACTTTCTTCTTAATTTATTATCTCTTAAAAATAAATAAATATAATAAAGTCTATAAAATTGTTCCGATTTGCAGCTATTGAATTATCACTTCAAGAAAGTACCAAGCAGTCAACTATTTCCCATCACAGTTCACCATCCTCTAAAAAACCACCCAGTCTGTATCCAAGCGTGAGCTCAGCATTAGTTACTTCTGCCAACCTGGAAGGCAGGAAAGTTAAGGCGTTGTATGATTTCGAAGCCGTGGAGGATAACGAACTAACATTTTCTGCAGGAGAAATAAGTAAACATTTATAAATCTTTTAAGTAAACGATAAATTGATTGCAACCACTGACAACTTTTATCGATTATAGTTCATATTTTGGATGATTCTGATCCAAATTGGTGGAAAGGCAGTACCCCACGAGGTGAAGGATTGTTTCCTTCAAACTTTGTCACAGCTGATTTAACTATTGAACCAGAACAATTCACCAGTAAGTATTTATTTCAACGTTATTTTCGATCACGACAAATTTTTTAAATGTTTTGTACGTTTTTTTTAGAATTAGAAAGCAACAGCAAAAAATCAGTTCAGTTTGCTGAAGAAGTGGAAGTAAAAACTATAAAAAAAGAACCAGAGGTGGTAGAGGTTCAAATAGATGAACAAAAAATGGACAGACTTCTACATCTATTGCTTGAAGCTGACCCTCAGTCTGGTGCCACTGATCCTCAAGAAATGATAGACTTAGAAGGTAATTGTGATAGGAATCTTATTAATGGGAACCGCTTAACTTAGTATTATTTTATTAATAATTCAACTTGTTATATCAGAACAAGTCAACGCAATGGGACCACTAATAGACACAGCTCTAGAAAAAGTAGATAAGCAGCACTCCATTCTGACTCAATTGAGTTCTGATTTGGTGGAAGCTATGAACTTGTACCATACACTGATGCGAGAACCTGCCATATCCAGCTACACTTTACCTAAAATGCCACCCCAGCAAATGGTTTATCCATTCGGTCACCCTCAAGCTGGTCATCCGCAGATGGTACATCCTGGACTAGCTGGACACCCTCAGGTGATGCAAGGTGGACATCTGCAAGGGGGGCACTCTCAACAGGGTCACCCACAAGTCATCCCTGGACACGTTGGTCATCCGCAGGCCTCTCATCCTCATCCACAGGTGGCACACCAAGTACAGCATCCGCACCCTGGACATTCACACCCTCAGCAGGGACTCCCACACGTAAGTGCATATTAAACAAAAAAATTGCCTTAGAATCAGAAAATTTAAATAAGTATGAATTGTAATGATTTCCTATTTTTTTTCAGATGCTCAACGGTGTCCAGCCGGTACCTGATATGGACAGTTTAATGAATATGTATCGAGGAGGATCTGTCCCTGGCTTGAGTGGGCACAACATGACGTTACCTCATCATTTTCATACACCTGCTGGACTGAAACAAATACATCCTGAAGAGCGCCCAGAAACTCAACAATCCAATCAAAGCAACATTCCTTATATGCAACAAGGGTAATTGATAGACAATTTTTTATATTAATTTTTTTTCAATTTGCTAGCTTTTATTTATTGATTACTCCATTTTTATAAGTGCGTAGTAAATATAATAACTTGGTTAAAAATTTTAAGAATCTTTATAATTTCATTACATTAAGTTTTATTTTACTTAACAGCTGTTTTGATAAACTATACATTACTGAGATGTTGAGTATTCGTGTAAATGTATTGAAATACTTAGCATCTGAAAGAAGCATAGTGTATCGAAAAATCTGTAGTGTAAAATACAATTTAAGGTAATTTTTAGATCTTTAAACTCAAATTAATTTTATTCACGCTCCTTAGATGTAAATTTTTACCTAGTGAATTTGTTATTTGAATATAATCACCTGTGAAAATCACCCACTTGCTTTTTGACTAGACAATATTTATTGATCAGAAAGGGTTAAAGTATTATGAAATATTAAAAAGAATATCAAAGCTATTCGTAAATAACTATAATGTTGTAGAAGATCTGGAGTTATGGCACAACATTAGTGACTCTTTGTGCATGAGTAGACTCATGATACCTTACTTTGAACTTGTTAATAATGACAACATTTTTTCATAATCACTAAAATTACAAGATTTAGTTTGTTAATGTATCGTAACAGATTATCAGGACATAGTGGAACTCCAGTGTCTCACATGACGCAAGTGCCGTCTGGTCAACAGCTCAGTAATCAGCCACAACAACAATTTCCACCACCTAACGGTCAACGCATATTATAAGTACGAGAAGATAAATTTTTAAGTTTATCGCGGACGATGGATGAAAACACGGAAATAAATCTATATTCAGCGATCGCACGGTATCCGCTATACTCTGAAAACGTCGAAAAAAAATATATCTGCTAGCTAAAAATCTTCGGTCTTTCGTAATCAAGATTTGACGCAGTTGATTTCATACACATTACATGGTGTACGTACATTTACATGTACACGTGTATGGTGAATTGGTGATACTGTAAGGGTATGCGTGATTCGATATAACTAATTCTGTTGATTTTTATAGCGAGAAAAGTTAAGGTAAAAAGAGCAATCCTCATGATATAACAGTGTACTGATCCGCCAATATTACGTGACGGAGGAAAGAAAACTACCACGATGCCAGATTAATATACATATATACATATTATTGCATTCCCATGTCTTTTTTGATTCTAGCGATGATTATCCGTTTATTAAATTTTTTAGTAATATATTAAATCATGTAGTAGTTACTACATAATACATTATTACATGAAACAGCTAAATAACATTACAAGTGAAGAATCCAGCCATCAATTTGTACTTCAGAAGTATCAAATAAAATATTTAGTTGAATTCTGAAACATAAATTAGTGACAGGGTAATCATGAAAAACTATATTAATTTTTTATTATTTAATAGTTTTTTAAGTTGAAAAAGATGGACGCCGTTTGGAAGAAAATTCGATATGCAAGTAATTTAATAAGCCTTTTCTAGTTTTTATACCAATGTAATGAAAAAAAAAAGAAACAAATAAATGCATCAAAACAAACGAACAAAAAATTATACACAGTCCTGTCAGTCCTCCTAATTTAACTGGCAATATTAGCTGTGTATAATCTTATTAATGTATTGTAAGCTAACGGGTCTATAATACATTAAAAGTCTAAATAATTTCTCAAAATTTCTCCAGATAAAACGAAGTAAAAAAAAAAAAAAAAAAAATCAATTTATTTAAGAAGACTACAATTAAAGTGTATATCGATAGTTGAAAAACCATTCAACTGCTGTAAATAATTTTAATTAAAAATGGTGTAATAAGTTAGCGATAAAATGAACGATATAGAATTCTGCGAAGTTTATAAATGCATACCTTTTGGCTTGTTTGGCAATCGATGCCTGCGGAAAATTTAAATATGCGTTAGGTGCAATGAATGCGTTTAATTGTTGCGTTGGTCGAGGTGAAAAAAAATCCGAGTGATAAAGAATAAAGTCTTTTTGATCCAATAACGAATATTATTCTGTACACGAGTGGTGTTTATATGTGCGCTTTTTAACTCTATTTTACGTGAAAGACGCGTTTATTAAAAACAAAAGATAAGAAGTATACGCGATCGAGAAAACGGAAACGGAAGCTGCGGGTCCAGCGGCGACTTGACTGACACGACAGAGTTTGATAAACTTCTTTAACTCTATTATTTTTTTTTTTCCTTAAGCCGTGATCTACAATTCAATACTTATACTTAATATTAATAATTTTTTTCGGTCTTGCCCCGAACTTTGCAAGGATTAGAGAGGATTTTATGTATATTAATAGTATATGAAAACGAGTCTGAAAGAATGAGCGAGAGGATTCTTTAATGAAACGAAAAAAGATGTCATAATTACTATTATTGTATTCGTTATGTTGTAATTAAACTATCATTATTTACGTAAAAAAAAAAGATATTTTACTTTTTTTTTTCATCCATCCTGACCATTTTTATTCGCATTTGTTCTCGTGAAACATTTTGTAATTTGAATAGTACAATTTAACCGCAAATACAATTTTGACATACACGTTTTAAATTACCCATAAAAAGTCATATTCATGAAATGTTGAAACGCTTTCCATCGCAACTACCAGCGTTATAACAATTTAAAGATACCACATTTTGTAGCAGTAAATGTATCTGGATGAAGGTAAGTCCATACTTATACTTATTCTTTTTCAACGTATACGACATAAGGAAATATAGGATATACTTTCTACAAACGGAAATCATCACGGTGTAGGTGTACGTACGCAATGATCGTAATTATTTATTGACACTTTCTTTCGAGATTCTCTATATAGCTTTCGCTCGAATCTATGTATTTCGAACCACAGCCGCGGTATTACTTATTTACTTGTCGTTTTATTCTTCTATTTTGATGTTATCAAGTACGATACTTTGTTCTCGTCAAGAGCATTTTTGTTTATTTGTTGAATTGGAAATAGATGCTTTTCGGCCATTATGTGCCCTAAGGATACCCTACTTTTACGTAATTTTTAATCACGCAAATTGCTCAAACAATGTCAACTGTTTTTTTATCTATCAATGGGATAAGTTGCGGCTGGTTTATAATTGATTGCATGCGGCACTGCCATAAGTTGTAATAATTATTCGGATCAGCGCCATCTAGCGGTCTTCATTTTTTCGCGAAAAGTGGCTCCTAAAATTCTGAAGCAGAGCAATCAGGCTTAGAGCCATTTAGTTAATTATAAACCAGCCGCAACTAATCGCATGGATATGAAATGAAAAAATAACGATATATGTGTTTTTGGCGGCAAGTTAACAATCTATTTTTTACCAAAAAAACGACCTCTTATATATTTATACTTTTGAAGATAAATTTTTGAGTAAAAGATAGATTTTTAACTTGCCGCCAAAAACACACGTATCGTTATTTTTTTATTTTATAGCTTCATCATAAGTTGCGGCTGGTTTATAATTGACTAAATGGCTCTAATCCTGATTGCTCTGATTGAGAATTTTAGGAGCCACTTTTGGCCAAAAAATTTAGACCGCTAGATGGCGCTGATTCAAATAATTATTACTGCTTACAGTAGAACCATGTAATCGATTACAATCCAGCCGCAACTAATCACATAGATAGAAAGTTAAATGTTAACATTTTCTGGGCTATTTGCGGCGAGTGAACAATTTACCTTTTATCCGAAAATCGACCTCCAAAAGTATAGATATTCTACTTACATATTTCAATAAAATCGAAAAAATTTTTTGCAGTTTGTGACAAGTTTGGAACCGATCTTATGGAAATTTGGTATGAAAATTAAAATACCCATCTTGTATTAAAATTTGCACCCGTGACATTAATTGGAATGTAACTAATAAATATTCGCGAAAATGTCCAAAAATGACGGTTTTTGGAGATTTGTAAAAAAAAAAAACAACTGGGTAGATTTTAAAAACTGGTTTGGCCATTTTTACTATTTTTTGGAGGGCCTTTGCTGACATTTCTAGCAACACAATTTTACTTAAATCACTTTTAATTTTCAAATTCTTGTGGTTACTTTTTTTTTCATCCTAATAATTGCAATTTCTGGAAATTTCAAAGGATTTTCTACCAATTCTACAGTCTACGATGCAAATCGAATGCACCCATTGTCAATTTAAAAATATTTGCATAGACCGAAAATTGCATGTGAGTTTTAAATTTTAAACACGAACATATGAACAGTAACTTTTAACTTTTCAACATCTACCTTTTCTTATGATTTACTTTACTTTTTGAAATTTTTGTTTAATCATGTTCATATATTATGAACTTTTTCCTCTCTTCTATTTTATGGTTGTTGTCTCTATTCAAAATTTTATGAGGTAATGATTTTCCGTTTTCTCCTTACGATCGCTTATTTTTAGCTGCGCGACTTTTCCATGAGTTCTACAGAAAATCTCTCCCATCACTTTTCTCTGGTAATAAAAATTGACGAAGCTTACAGTAAGCAACTAATGAAAAATTAAAAAAAATTTATATAATCGTAGCAGTGGCCTTAATGAGACTATTAATGAGAGAGAAAAAAACATTAGTCTAATTGATGGTAAACGTGACTACTCGATATAAAAAGAGCCATTTGGCTTGAAATTGTTGTGATATATACTTCTTCCTTGGGCGACGATGTCTTACAATCGAGGGAAACATCGTTTTATCGGCTAAAGCGACCCTCGAAGCAACAATTACACTGTCCTTCGACTATAAAGTTACCCCCTCATTACAACTCCGTAAGTTCTACATACCCCACAATGAGGAAATAAAGTGTTGTTTTAATACGTGAAATAATAAAACGACAATTTTCTATAGACTTACACGCAAGGACACACATTACATATACTTCACGAGAATCGATACAAACCATCAGACCAACACAGTTTACCAATAATATATACATATACATACACCTTTAGTCAAATCATCGTACGCGTGTATTTTAATAAATAGTATGTGCTTAACAAAAACTATAGTGCTTGCTGACATAAATGAAGAAAAAAAACACACGAGGAACAATAATCCTTGTTAGGTGCATTTTTTTCTTCAAGTCGATCATTTCAGGGTATTGGCTTTTCCTTAATGGTACATGAACATATATAGTAGCACGTATACGAGATATAAAATGTATGCGAACCGATGAAGCAAAACGAGATTTTTTTTTTATGATAAAAACAAAGCTATGTTCGTTTGGATATTGTTGATGACCATAAAATAACAATAGAGTGTTAAAGCGAAACGGGAGAAATTTCTGCTCGTGAGTATAATATATGCTCGTGAAAGTTTGCGGCTTGGAAAGCTGTTTGAGTGTAAATTTTTGTTGAAAATTTCGTACTTACATTTACCACATGCTTTTTTTTATATGCACTCACAGCAATCAGAAGTATGAACAATAAAAATCAACATCGTGCGTGTAATTAATTTATTTTTTATCGTTAACGTGACTATGATAATCAGGGCGCATTTTGCATTTGCCACGTCAATAATAATAGGTAGGTATACATGCACGTGTTAAATATCACGTCAACGACAAACGCACTTGTAAGAAACGAAAATGATGAAAAAAAAATAATAACAACGGTACTGATTGGCATGGATTATTTGTCCAAAAAAAAATAACTTATTTATTAGAGACGATGAGCATATTGCATTTGACGTTTAAATAATATGTATGTTTACAAAAAATGTCAAAAGTCCAGCCAATGAGGAGAATTTAGAAAAAAAATGCTTTAAAAAATCGTTAACACGCTATTTCCTATACTTATCTACTGTGAAAAAAATTTTTTTGTCCCCGCATCGATGACTTTGCCATAAAAAAATGCAAATGGCCCCGTCTGCCGAGTCGCGGGACGCGTTTTGAAATGTGTCAAAAAAAAAGGTGCCTTGCACACGAATAAAACAACCGCAGAAGTAAATGATAATATCTTTCAAGATTTATAACTAAAAGAGGGTTGTGGCTCATTAATTTTTCATAAAAGCCATATTGATTTAGGAATCTTTGACTTTAAACCCATAAACATCTTCCAATAATTTATGTTTGGCAACCACTGCATTAACTTTTATCTCGAAAAATATTTATTTCGTTCTAATTAAAAAAAAAAAAAAAAATTGTTTGAGAACGCCAGAAATTTTTAAAATTGTTTTATTCTATTCGCACTAGTAAGGACACAATATCAAACTGTTAAGTAGTGGATCTTCAAAAAAATCAAGTTGGATGCAAAATACTCGAATGGAAACATAACTATTTAGGTACGGAAACCAGAACTGACCCAAGAGCGCATGTCTTAAAACACTCGTACCTATACAATTTCGTAAAAAATTTAATTAAAACGTCTAAAATTCCATGTAATTTATACACATGGTGTAACAAACAAAAGGAAACAATAAAAATTAAAAAATAACTAAAAAGTAATCAGTAGTGCCCTAAAAATGCATTTTCAGTCGCTTGTGTTAATTTAACATTTATGCGCTAACAAAGCCTACACGGACGATTGCAAGTAGGCACACGCGATTTATGTTCCATATTTTCCGTGCGTGCCAAAGTCCCACTTTGTAAGGGAAAAAGATGGACTCGAGAGTGCGGTATAGCTCAGCCGCAATTATCGGTGACAATCTCATTTGAAGAAAAAAAAAAAAAAATGTGTACATAATATACTCGGGTTAACCTGCATACATTTTTTTTGCGTCTCCATCCAATACTTCACATTC